TGTGTAAAAATACAGATTTTGCTAACAAATGTATTTTCCTTGAAAACAAAATTACCTCCTATATGAAAAAGTCATTGCATCTACAAAGTAACTAGTCATGCAGATTTTTGTACATAATGCCTAGCCTGGAAATTCTTGGTAAGATATATTAGTAAGATATATTCTTGGTATTTATAGTACAAAACTAGTCTACTGGTCGCTGCTTTCTAGTCATAGTCGACTATTATGACTTGTCGTCCCAATCCAACTCAATACTAAATATACTGTCGTTTAGTAACACCAGGAAGCCGAGTGAGTGAGTGGTTGGTGGTGGTCGGAGGGGCCGATGGCGCAGACTGGTCGCCTCGCTTCAGTCAGTCTACCCCAGGGCAGCTGTGGCTATAATAGTTGCTTACCACCACCAAGTATGGAGTGAATGAATAGTGCAATGTTAAGCGTCTTTGAGTGTCCAGAAAAGCACTACATAAAACTGATGCATTATTATTATTATTATAAATATGAGGCCATGACTTAAAATTTCTGTGATCATTTGCAAAATATATACCTTTTATCTATTTTTTTCAGCACCATCCACTACTCTAGTATCACGAAAGGAAAGGAAGGTGAAGAAGCAACTGGAATTTGAGGAGACAAGTGTCCCAGAAGAGTTGCAACAAGAAGTGTCAACACCCTGCATGGAAATGCAAGACCTGCAGCAGACGGAATTAGGCATTGACAAAATCAACGATGATTCGGTCTCCACCATCATAATACTAAATACACCTGAAACAAAAGAAAATGAAGAAAGGGAAATAATTTTATTTTTATACATTAACATATCACATCTAGGAGAGTGACAATTGACCAGAGCAAAAACACTGACAAATTGCAAGTAAATGATACAAATGTTTTCATGTCAATCTTCACGTCTTTTAGTATTTCTACTTATACAATGTCTAATAAACTATTTCTCATTAGAAATGTTAAAGTCTTGCTGTTGTCGTTAGACACTACATTCAATAAAACTTAATCTGATGACTGGTTATTGCAAAAAATAACCAGTCATAAAAAGTGTGAATAGAGGGTATGCCATTTTACTTTAAAATGTAAATAGAAATGTAATCTCAAATGAATGGACACATTGAGGGGCAAATCAAAGAATAACAAAATAATACCAATGCCATGCCACTGTTTTCTGTTGCTATGTTATGACATCGCTATGCATAATGGTCGGCAGCTCTACACCGATAAGCAACAATGAAATGCACTAGTTGTGTGGGGAATAAGTGGAATTTCTGCAGTTAGCCTTTTTTGGCTTTTGAAAAAAACTGTCCCTCACTTACACTGTACAAGCTGTGCCACTGACAGACTGAGCTCATTACAGCCACATTGTAACAGAATGCTTTTGAATGTCATAACATAGTTAATGTTATCGATGCTTGATGGGTATTTAAATATTACTACAAGTGTAGGACACATGGTATGTACACATGGTGTTCATACCAGGGGACTTGATGAGGTAATTGTATATGTCTGGATACTCGAGCCTGGGCCATGCCTTTGGGTTGTTTTCCCAGGACTCTGCTGGATGCCGATAGGGACAAGATTGTAAACCTACGAGCGACAGCTTTCTGTGGTACCTGGTCAATGCAGGCGCTAGGAGACTGTCAATATACTGATATGACATGCTGCAATAGAAGAAGATCTGTATTCATATAGTGCCTTTCACAGACATGTAGCTAGTCACAAAGCGCTTTACATGAGTGTTTACATTCACTCCATACATGTGGTATATACATCATCAGTGACATCAGCTGCAGGCAAGAGAAATAAGATTAAACTAAAACTGGCGATTATAAGTGTAAAACTACAACTGAAAAAGGTGGTCCTGTTGTGGCTTAAGGTGCAAGAACAAGAGGAATGACATTTGCGTTAATAAAATAAGGTTTATCTGATATTTCCAACAACAGTTAGACATTTCTTTATTGTTACTATGACAACAGCTACAATGGAAATAGATAGGAATTTAGATTCCTGCCTCCAGCTAAGCAAGCCCTGAATGTTTACACCACCAACATACATTCGCATACACAGATATCATTCATCAATAATTCAAAGTTGTCCGTTAGTATCCATAACTGACATAATCCACGGCAAAACATATGTAAATAGATACCTTTTGGATTCGCCTTCGGTTTGTTTTACCCTTCAAACATGGCGGCGGTTGGTTGCTACGCAGGTCACATGATTCGTGACGTAACGCCGACCTCGAGATTTTGTGCATTCCATTAAACAGAAGAATGAGAATAAATGTAGATATTCAAACGCAAATTGGGAAAAAAAGGGCAACTTTTGAGCAAATAATTGTATATTAATACAATGGCACCACAGTTTAACGTGCTACGGACATGTTTTACATATTTGATCAAATTATGCAGCAAAAATTAACAAGCAATGCAAACATTTCTCAAAAACTTTAGATTTAATACCAGTTGGAGCTCCATTTAATTATTTTAATTATATTAACAATTAATTTAATTAATGCTAATGCCACACGGACACTCTGGATTGCTGTTATTGTTTATTTCCGCGTTTTTGACCGTATGTTTTGGTGAATGGTGGGCAACTGATTTTTCCAGGCGTAAAGAGCAGTTTATTTTATGACACAGATCTTTTTACAGAAGCAATGCTGTTTGTGAACATTGTTTTAGCCCACCATAGAACTACAGGCCCGTCCTAAGGGCTGTGCGACCTGTGCCGTCGCACAGGGCCTCGCACCACACAGGGGCCTCGCAATCTTCCTTCCTTTTATTTTATTTTATAAATACACTAGTTCAAGGGTCCCCAAAGGGCAGACTGCACTCCAAATTTGGAACCCTAAACCCCTTTCTCTGGACCTCTTTGATTTCGTTTGATCAAAAGAACATTTTTACAAGTAAAGTCAAATTTTCACCAAAAGCGATTTGTAAACAGGCAGGCGCGCGGGCAGCTATGTATGCAACGGGTCCTCCGAAAAAACTGTCAGATAACTTTAGCAGTGTCTGAGTGAGATACAAAGAAAGTAACGGGAATGATCGCAGTGTAGGAGAGATGGATACTCGCGGAGGAGGAGCAGTGAGACAGGTGTGAGCAGAGGAGCAGACCCCTTTGTGTGAGCAGAGGAGGAGGAGGAGGATCAGCGGTGTGACAGGTGTGTGAGCGCTGCTATTGCCAATGTTTAGTCCGAATATCCACATCAAAAACATATTTTTAAAAGCATTAGCAAACACACTGTATGTCTAGCTTTAGCTAGCTGGAGTGTTTTTGTTGTGGTCAGAGTGTGTGGAGGAGGAGGTGAAGAGTATTTTGTTGTTGTCAGTGTGGAGGAGGAGGAGCGTATGTTGTCAGAGTGTGTGGAGGCATGGCAAAAACGTTATTTGATGAGAAAAAAATAATATTGACTCCGCCTCATAGCCATTTTGGCGCATTTTGCCAAAATCTAACTATTAGAAGAAAAAGACTCCTTTTGGTTCAATCTTTTGAGTTGCTCTGCCATTTTGCCACAGGACGAAAGAGACATGTCAGCTAAAAAGACCGCGACCAATATTGCACGTAGAGTGTGTGTGCGTGTGTACGTGCGCGCGCCAAACGCTGCATAGGAGCGAAGACACTCGGTTACACGCGTGCTGATCTCGTCAAGCACCGCGCGAGGTGGTGCTGAATTCATGTCAAAGATTATAACAGGAAAAACTTTCCTCAGATCTGGGAAAAAAGTGTCAGGGCAGGGCCTCGCGTTTCGAGTTCGCACAGGGCCTCGCACCCCCCTTGGGACGGGCCTGTAGAACTATTATTATCTATTTAATACATTTACGTTGCCCTCGAGAGCCTCGGACGCGACACCGATCCTCCTCATAATAAAGTAATCTAAATAATGAAACTCTCAAGTTACCAGATATCAGCATACACAAGTTAGTACTGAGTAAATTACGTCTGTCAACACATTATAAGATACGATACGCACCTGACACAAAGTGCTCCGAGCATATTCTTGCGTGTTTTGAGGGAGTTTCTTGCCTGTTTATCTTCGCAAGCTATAACCTCCGTGGTTGTTCTGACAAAAGCTTAGTCTTCTCACATTCATGAAGTCTAATGATGGGTATACTGTAAAATCCAAGTTTAACGGAACCTCCGGCACGATTTGAACATCCATTGACCCAGCAGGAGATGACCATTTTCAACTTTATCACGACATTAACACGTTTCAGCTTCTTTTTCTATTGTTTTTCCCACAGAATGCCAACACAAATGTCGCCGGGTCGGCAAATCCCCGTATGTAGTGACGTCATGTGGGAACTATGTATACAGCACGGTCCATAGTTAAAAAGAAAATATCCAATACACACAATATATTGCATATTGAAAAATAAATAATGACTGATTTTTTTGTGTAAAATTTAAATATTGCTCACAATTCCATTTATTTTTGTATAGCTCTAAATCAGCAGTCTTCTCGGAGGTCTTTCGTCTACAGCAGGTCAGAGAGTTAAACAGTTCGAGCACAGTTAATACAGAAATAACTCCATATTGATAAAAGGAACCGCTCCCAGGATCCAGGACTCAGGCTGTAGAACGAGAACTGAGGCTGTGCAGGTTCTCATTACTTTTCATGTGTATCAATTCCACCAATATTCACACTCTCCTTGAAATGTAACTATGTAAATCTAGCTACTCTATTGGCTTTGATGTCAAAATTCACATAGCCTATGATTCCAGTTGTTGAATCTTTATCATGAATGAGCAGTTCATAAATGCTTTTCCATCTTCACATTTAAAGGGGAACATGAACACAAATACACTTGTTGGGCTTAGCATTTAATTGCCTAGGCCATTTTAAATCAATAAAACAAATGTGAATACTATTATACACACATTACATACAAAAACACTGTCTGTTTGTGATATGCAATACAAATAAATATGGACATGGAAATATAGATAGTTAATTTATTCGAGAAAGGAAAAACTGTACAAACAGTGAACATTTAATTGTCAGGATTGGCTTTGTAGCTGTGGTCAATTAGTTCCTTATTCGGAGTTGCCAAATGGAACCACGGGCCATCTCCCTTTTGCCTCATTTGTCGTCGAACTTCCAACTCCAACAATCTACAAACAAATGAACACAAATTATTTGAAAGTGCTAAATACGCATTTTCTGATATGACACAAGTGGAGGACAGTCCTCACCTCATATCAGCCTTCTCTTTCTCTATTTGAATAACAGCCATCATCTTTTCATAATCTTTTACAGGAGAGTCATACAAGTTTCGGGAAATCCACCTGGTGATCGGGTGCTACAAAAGGAAAGATCAAGTTACTTTTCATCAACATTCATAATAATAATAATAATGACACAGCATCATTCAACCTCTGGTAGGTAAATGTTGACACCATGATTAATGTCTACAGGTCTATGCAACAGGTTATATACATATATTTTAAACACATTTCTTCACAGCTGTTTAATTATTTCAAGTCTTTTCCCATATTGAACAGTTTATGCTGTGTGATCAGGAACAGACATATCTGAATTAAGGGTTTGCATTTATGTGCTTTTTATTTACTGGATTTTGATCTCAACCTATCAACAATATACAATCAATATTCAGTAGACACTTTTACAGAATTCCACAATTTGTAATTTTCGCGGTTTTTGCGGCCTATGGGCAGTTTCAAAATGGCAGTGGGGGCTGGAAAATGTAAAACAACGCATCTGCGCATGCGTCAGCCGACATGAGCCCGATTCATTTAACGAGTGCCTTAAAAAAATTCACAGCAACTAAACTAGACTGGTCCAAAAAAATTCACTCCCCTCAGCCTTGACACACATGTGGAACGGAGCTTTGGGCCAAGAGCCAACTTGGACCATCCTGTAAAGATGTTTGAGAGGTAAGAAGATGATATTTCTTATTCCGGGTCCACCCCCATCGGCCCAGCGTGGTATTGCATGCATGTCAGCGCATGTCATTTTGGCCACTTTTGAGCCGGGACCCGCCCCCATTGGGCTAGACCAAGGGTCAGCACTAGATCATATACGGAATCGGGACGGAAGCGGAAGTAAATATTACAAATTACCTATTAATGCCTAAATTTAACCAGCTATTCCCATAAAATAACCCCAACCCACCCTTAACCCTAAACTTAACCATCTTACTCAGACGCCTAAAACTTAACCAGTCACCACTTAAGGACTTATTAGTCTAAAACTAATTCGAAAGTACGAGTGTTACTTCCGGTTTCGTCCCGATTCCGTATATGATCTAGTGCCGACCCTAGACCAAGCCCCGGTGATCCAAGATGGCGCCCTATTCAAATGAATGGCTGATGCCCAGTAGCGCATTGGGACTTCATGGAGACCGGGAGATTAGCAGAACTCGCCTATATTTGGGCATCGTCGGGTCCTCCCGGATCTGCGCAGTGGACAAGCTCTCATGATGCGTTACGCCAAATATGCGTGTGTGGCTTTCATGCACGTGCACAGAGGGGCTCGGCCGCGCTTTGACCAATCAGAGCTGATCATCAGAGCAGCAGCAGAGCTGAGTCAGAGCGGGAAGGAAAGGAGCAGAGTTTGTGGCAGTAAAGTGTGGATTTAAAGAAACCAGAAGGATTTAAGAAGAAATCTGTAGGTTCTCTGTCAGCTGAGGTCGAGCTGGTTTAGTTTACATTGAGTTTTTTGGGACTTTTTCTGGGTAGCCCACGTGAATTTAGTTTGCAGTACCACGGGCGCCCCCTGTGCCCATGGGTGGGACAGCTCCAAGCTAGTAATACCCTATCCAGTTATTACATAGATCCATGGGCTGGACAGGTAACAGCTTGGCAAGCTAGTAGGTTCAAAACTAGAACTCTCTGGAACTACATGAAAAGTGAACAAAGAATTGTGACCAAAATATAAACTCTAACTACATCCATAATCAGATTATCTGCAAATGTGTCCTAAAATTTTCTACTAATGTTAATAGTTACTTCCAGGTTTACCGCGATCGCTTTACCTCACATTAAAACAGTATTTTTGTCATGAAAACATTAACAGATCATTCTGAAAACCTCCATGTACGTGTATTAAGCATGTATTATCCGATAACATTTAAATGTGATAATTGATTGCCATATATGTTTAATGAGACAGCAAGTTGTGATGAAGTGTACGAACTACAGTCCGGAGTACTTTTACACACCTGATTTACAAGTAGAGATATAATTGCCACGAGCAGCGGCCACTTTTGGTGTGAGAGATCTGTTATCAAGAAATTATGATCGGTAGAACGTTTTGAAATTACATTAAGATCAATGGAGCGTTCTACTGCTGTTGTGAGTAACAGTATAACAAATTATGATTCAATAGTCAAATATATTTGAATATTTAAATTAATAAACAAACAAACTTCAAATATGATTTTTGTGCAAAAGTCAAAGCCCTAAAACACACAATATTGTACAGCAAAGGGGTCTGACGTTGAAACTGCAGCGGTTAAGTTGGAGTTGTCCGAGCAAAAAACGGTATTTTGTTCGTAACAAACTATAATTACCTTGTAGTACTCCCAGTGTTCAGGTTCATATCCCTCTGGAATCTCCGCCAGTTCTGCTTCACCTACACAGAAGAAAACACGTAGGTTTAAATCACAAAACAACGTGCATTTGTGTGTGCGTGATAACCACACTTACCCATAAAAACATTCACACAGGTAACAAACACAGCCACGGGAATACCAGTCAATAGGACATAATATTGCTGAAAGTAAAGAGTACATAATCAAATATGCATTCTACCTGTATGGCTGCTAGATCATGTTGATGCTTACCAACAGGCGCAGAAATCTCCTGTCATAGAAGTCGGAGGGTTTCACTATAAACATGTTCTTACCATGACCCCAACGCACTGCCACTGTAATGACAGATTTGGAAATCAATATTGCATATTGTAAATAATAACGTTTAGAGCTGTTTAGAAGCTTTGTTGACAGTATGATAGCACTGTTATTAGCAGTTAGCTTGTGGTTAGCAGGATAACCGCACTACAAGGTCATAAGACAAGACAGCCAAGATTGAGATCACAGTAAATATAATACCAACATCCAAAATATATCTCACCTTTATCTGTCTTTGCGACTGTACGACTGAGAAAATTAGCAGCATTATTTGTCGATTTTAGAGGACTCAGTCTGGCTGCAAAAGCAGCAGCAGACTTGAGAACGCTCATGCCCACCATTTCTACGGACAGTCCAACAAGACGACATGTGATTGGCTGTTATCTTGAACCGTGTCAAAATGAAGGATATAGATATTTATATTTTTTACTCCATAACGTCAGTTTAATGTTTACTTTCCAGCGAATATGTATCTAACTAATATAATATTATAATTTATTTGTGAAATATTAAGTTTTACCTAGGCATGCTGGGTAATTGTGGGACGGACTTGAATTAAAAATGGCGGCGTCCTCGCCAGTGGGACGAATTTTCAATCTGTGTAAAAAATTTCAAAACATCTTGAAGGTGTCTTCATCCACTAAATCACATAATGCGGTCTTTTCTTTTGACAAATGCTGCGTCAGTCTCTATGGGTATGATGCTTATATTCTGGCTTATTTAGTGATTGTGTTCTTGAACTGCTAATGTCATTGAGCTGTGTTAACTTGTATAATTAGAATCTGGCTGTTTTATGTTGTTATTGTATTCTCTTTTCTAGGGGAACATCTTCTCTGGCCAATCCATTGTCCCACCCAGTCACCACTGCTCAGCCGTGTCGACCCCTGCACACAACCATCTGCAGGAGAGGACTGGATGAATTCTTTGACTTTCCAGAGAACAGGGGTGAAGCCACTGTCAAGTCAGGTCCAGTGCAGCTTTAAATACGTTATTATAATGTCTGTGTTTAATGTTCACATTCAGCGTTCATACCACGGTGTTGTGTATTTCTTCAGGTGCCCCTTGGACGGCTAAACAATTGAGAACGAAAAGCAATGAAGACTTGCACAAACTTTGGTAAATATCTCTGAAAGATTTATATTTACTTTAACGTAGCATTTGATATTTACATGTTTACATTTTCTAGGTATGTATTGTTGAAAGAAAAGAACATGTTGCTGACACTTGAGCAGGAAGCAAGACGACAGCGGCTCCCAATGCCTAGTCCCGAAAGAATACGAAAGGTTTGTTGTATATTTGAAAATGTTTGTCTTTTGCCTTTTTATTATACGTTTTTTGTTTTTGATTGTCAGGTAGAAAGATCCATGATAAGACTGGAGACAATAGTAAGTGAACGGGAGACTGCATTGCGACTGCTTCAAACAGGACAAGAGAAGGGAAGACCAGGTGCCTGGAGGAAGAACAAATTTGGATACACATACTGGTAAAAAAAAAAAAATTGTTTGCCTACCTAGACTCACTATGAGGGTGTCCGAACTGCCCAAACAAATTCCATTTGTCCCAAACCACCCACTGTCAAAACGCGCTGCAATCTTTTTTCATTACATTGAGCTTGTTGTTAAGGATGCGAGGCAGTTGGTATCATTATAATCAGTCTATTTTCTAACAGCCGTTAAACTAATCTGTAAACTTGAATGGATTATTAATAAGGATGTGTAAAATGTGTCTATAAAGTCATGTTGCATATTTATACAGTTCACTAGATTTAAAGGCAAATGGCTTCAATGTTTATGCTTTTGTACTTCCTAGTAGGACTGGGCCAATTAATAATCAAATGTGCTCTCTCGTCATTGGCATGTATATTCAAATAAGACTAACTGCTTACTACTAATTAAGCCTCATGTTTAGGGGAAAGAATTGAAGACTAGGAGCATGTGTATTTACCTCTTTAACAATGTATGGTGCTTATACGCATTCAAATTCACGATCGAATATTAAGTTCTCTTAATTTCTTTCTGCAGTTCCAATTTCTACAGTTGTTAGTAACCACCTAAATATTTTATGTTTTTAAAGGTATCGTTTCAAAGAATATGCCATCCCGTGGTACATGAATAGGCGTTATAAGAGAAAGCAGTTCTTCACGCCATCATTTGTTGAGCCACATATAAGGTAAGACAATAAATGATAACTTTACCAACTTTTTTTGCTAATCCTAAACTCTTCTTGCAGGCTGCGTATAGAGCGGCACCTACGAGAGAGATCTAGAGAAGCTAATATGCAGAAAGAGAAACTTCAAAAATTCAAAGAACGGTTTCCACAAATGAAGATGCCAGCCTCTTAATCACCATTTCTTTTAAGAATTAACTTGAGTTGTTGCACTGTGTTAAATAAAATTGTGCATAAAGATCAGTTTTGGTGTCCTGTGACAGTTCTTGACTGCAGAATACCAGATTGAGTCATGCCTGTTTTTGGCATATAACCATTAGAACATTTGAGGATGATAAAAGATGACACATTTTTACTAAATGTTTAATTAAAATATGCAATTATGGCAGTGAGTAACTTAAATACATGTAAATGAGCAAACATTTGACAGCTTTCAACAAGAATTCAATTTGTATTCAGAAACATGTCCAGGAGCCTACAATCTTAAAATAAGGCAGAGCAGTAGACTGTACAAGAGTTTTAGTTAATCACATGAATGGATTGTTTTTTTATGGTACATACAAAAATGAACCTAGATGTTCAAGTGTCCTGAAAGGGGGGAAAAAAATGGTGACAAGATGACGAAGTGGCATTATCCAGTTGAAGAAAAATTCAAGGACATTTTCTGTCCACACATTGTTTTCCTCCTTCCTCATACTCTTGCTTGGAGATCCACATTTGCTGAAAGGTCCCCTGTAAGAGAAAATAACATCTTCATATGACCGAATACGTTACAATATAAACGCTACCGCTTCTATAATATCTTACAAGTGATGCCAAAATGGAGCCTCCAATCCAGGCACTGAAGCGGCGTTCCACCGTGGTGTTATTGGCTATCAGCTTAAGTCTCATGCTCTAATGCACAAAACATCAAGGTTGAAAGCAGGTAGTTAAAGAATGTGGGACATGCCACAAAACACTTACAGGGGGTGTTTTCTGGGAGAGTTCTCTGTTTAGTCTGTCTGTGAAGCCTTGGATTAGTGTGTTGCCTCCTGTCACAACAACACTGCCATACAAACCCTAGAACGGAGAGTTCAAGATGCAAAGTGTGTTTTACTCAAAAGCCAATGTACCAGTAGTTAAACTTACCGGCCGAATGTCGATGTCACACATTCCTACACTGGTTGTTACGACATGACCAACACCTAACATTGTATTTCCAGACAAGCCCTTAAAAAAAAAACCTTTTAGTCTATGATCCAAGGCTAGACAAATTAATTGAACACACCTTTGCATTTGAAGGATCAAATAGTCCTTCAGGAATCTTTAACCTCTCTGCTCCAAAGTCACAGTTGTAGCCATTAGGGAGCTCATAGTGCACAGTTGGCATCTGGGCAGCAACCCTTAAAGAAAATACAAAGATTCAAGCAAGGCATTATAAGAGGGCTTCTACTTCTAATTCATAAGGTCAACACACCACGAAACACAGCACAATATTGGATGTGAATCACATGCTGAACACACATCACCGCTCTTTAATGGCTTTAAAAACAGCTCTAAATATTGATTTTACCCACAGATTACTGGAAACATGAGACAATGTAACACTGCACGAGAAGAGGAACAGTTGTAGTGTTTCACAAGAGTTTCCTCATGATTTTGGTGGCGAGGCCTTGCCGTAGCACTCCATCCGCTCAAACTTTCTGTGTGATTATTTGCAAAATATCTAATTAAAATTTTGTTTTCATTGAAAGTGAACCATTGTTCACTGACTGACTTTGGAGTTGCTGACTCCAAAATGTCCCTGTATTTGGCTAACAGCTATTTTTACATTCTTCCCTATCCCCAATGAAGAAAAGCAGCCCCACAGCATGATGTTCCCACCACCATAATACACTGAGGATGGTGCACTCGGGACAATGAGCAGTGTTTTTTGGGGGTGAAAGTAAAATGTTTATTCCATCTGACCAAAGCACCTTCAAGATGGTAGCCATGACTTCACAGGAGACATTTAATCATTAGGACCAAAAAGTTGTATGAATACTAGTGGATGCCCATTTTAAAAATTCTAAACAAAATCTATATGTTTATGGTTGTAATGATGACAAAATGTGCGAAGGTTCAAGCAGGCACCATACATAAGGTGAGCCAACTTGAGTAAAATTGTGATTCAAATAAACATACGCACTCGCAGAGCATATACTGTGTATGGAACGTTTATACCCGGACTCTCTGATTATTATCCTGGGGGATTTTAATAAGGAAAACTTGAGCCAGGAATTACCCAAATACAGACAGTTTATCAAATGCCCGACCAGAGAGGAGAACACTCTGGATCACTGTTACACCACCGTGCGCGGAGCTTTTCGCGCTGTTCCCAAGCCAGCCCTCGGCTTCTCAGATCACTCCATGATACATCTGGTTCCTGCTTACAGACAGAGACTAAAGCTCTCGAAACCTGCAGTGAGGAGCTCCAAAGTGTGGTCTGATGAAGCTGTGGAAGAGCTGCGAGCATGCATGGGATCTACAGACTGGGACCTTTTCAGAGCTGCCACAGACAGTTTGGATGAATACACGGACACTGACGTCATACATTCACTTCTGCGAGGATAGCATCATTCCAACAAGGACCAGGGTCATCTATAACAATGACAAACCCTGGTTCACTGCTAAACTCCGGCAGCTCAGGAAAGCAAAGGAGTCTGCTTTCAGGCAGGGGGACCGCAGCGGCTACAAAGCAGCTAAATATCAGTTCAGGAAAGAACTGAAAGCAGCCAAGTCCCGGCACAGAGAACGACTACAGGAGCAGTTTGGTAACAACAATACTGCTTCTGTCTGGAGGGGCCTACGGGAGATCACCAACTACAAACCCAAAGCCCCCCCCTGTGCTGACGACCACAAGCTAGCTGACGAACTGAACTTATTTTTCAGTCGCTTTGATGCTGCCCCTGACACCTCTCCCTCCCCCACCCCCCACTACTCTAACGACCCTCCCATCAGCCCTGCCCCCAGCCTAACAATAGCCGCTAAAGAGATTAAACAACTCTTCTTGAGGCTGCACCCCCGCAAAGCTCCTGGCCCGGACCACGTGTCTCCGGCCACTCTGAGACACTGCGCCAGTGAGCTTACTCCTGTGTTCACGGACATTTTCAACACCTCTCTGCAGTCCTGCCATGTCCCGGCCTGCTTCAAATCCTCCATCATTGTCCCCGTCCCGAAGAAGCCCAGGATCACAGGACTCAATGACTACAGACCTGTAGCACTTACGTCTGTCGTCATGAAGTCATTTGAACGCCTGGTTCTCTCCCATCTCAAGTCCCTCACCTCCCTCCTCCTGGACCCCCTGCAGTTCGCCTACAGAGCCAACAGATCTGTAGACGACGCCATTAACCTGGCCCTCCACCACATCCTACAGCACCTGGACTCCCCGGGGACCTACGCCAGGGTCCTGTTCGTGGACTTCAGCTCTGCCTTCAACACAATCCTGCCATCCCTGCTCCAGGACAAGCTCTCCCAGCTCAACGTGCCCGATTCCACCTGCGGTGGATCACTGACTTCCTGACGGACAGGAAGCAGCGAGTGCGTCTGGGGAAGAATGTCTCGGACTCTCGGATTATAAATACAGGAGCCCCACAGGGCTGTGTTCTTTCTCCCCTGCTCTTCTCCCTGTACACCAACCACTGCACCTCCAGCCACGACTCCGTGAAGCTGATCAAGTTCGCGGACGACACCACCCTCATTGGACTCATCTCCAACAACGATGAGTCCGCCTACAGGAGGGAGGTGGACCGGCTGGTGTCCTGGTGCAGTGGTAACAACCTGGAGCTGAACGCCCAGAAGACAGTGGAGATGATTGTGGACTTCAGGAAGAGCACTGTCCCCCCGCCCCCACCCTCCCTGATGGACTCCCCCATCACCTCTGTGGAGTCCTTCCGTTTCCTGGGCACCACCATCACCCAGGACCTCAAGTGGGAGCCGACCATCAGCTCCCTCATCAAGAAGGCCCAGCAGAGGATGTACTTCCTGCGGCAGCTCAGGAAAGCCAAGCTGCCTGCACAGATGTTGGTGCAGTTCTACACGGCCATCATCGAGTCCATCCTCACCTCCTCCGTCACAGTGTGGTTCGCTGGAGCCACAGTCAGGGACAAACAGAGACTACAGCGCATTGTGCGCTCTGCAGAGGAAGTGATCGGCCGCAGCCTTCCATCGAGCTCGAGGCCGAGCTGGTCGTATCACAGCCGACCCCTCTCACCCTGCACATGGACTATTCCAACCACTCCCCTCAGGCAGGAGACTGCGGTCCATCAGGACTAGAACCTCCCGCCACAAGAACAGTTTCTTCCCCTCTGCTGTTGGACTCTTGAACACTTCTTAACCTGTCCCCCCGCCCTTTATAAAGTCACTTTACTGCCCATCATACGTCACTTTACTTCACTGTACTGCTGTCACCTTACATTGTGTGCACCATGTGCACTTGTATACTGTAAATAGTAACTGTAACTCTATTTTAAATTTAAATTTATTCTTTAGAAGTGTTTTTTATTCTTATTTTTATTATCTCTTTTTGACTGTTGCACTGAGCCAAAGCAATTTCCAAGTCTGTGACCTCCTGTTACTTACGTGGCAATAAAAATGATTCTGATTCTGATTCTGATTCATACAATTCATCTTGCAATGGGACTGTGACTAGTGTGTCAAAGTGTCTATGTGCCTTGGCCTTAAGTTGGAGTGACTTATCAATATTGATGATTGAAATTATCCTACAATGTAACGCATTGCTATAAATTGAACAATAATGAATTACTTACTGCTCATCATATGGAGAATCAGAAACTTGCAACACAGATGCCTGGAAGTCTTGGATGACGCACTGTGAATGATACACAGGACCATTTACTCCTTTTAAAACAATTGTAATGTGTACACAACAACCTACTCAGAATATGTTTTTTTTTTTAAATCACATTTTAGCCTATTGGTGACAGATCTCCAAAGGCCACCAGGCCAAGCATCAACCAAAAGAACACACATGAAGCTTTATTTGTTTGATCACTTCTGTGTGAGGAGGTTCAAATTTGGCTCAATGTTTTTGAAATGAAAACACCAGTGTAGGTAAGTTAGCTAGTTTGAGTGGGATATCTCTCACATAAGAAATTCTACTTACATTGCACATATAGTTATGCCATGAGCGACTGACTTGAGGTAGCTTCTCTTTTTTCTTCCAGTTGGCTGGAGAACCTTCCCGCACAGCTTCCTATGTCCAAATAAATATTTACAAAATATGTATTATGAAGCTGAAAATCAAAGATTCAAAATGTTTCCATCCATCCATCCATTTTCTTCCGCTTTATCCGTTGCCGGGTCGCGGGGGCAGCAGTCTGAGCAGAGACGCCCAGACTTCCCTATCCACACACACTTCCTCCAGCTCGTCCGGGGGGACCCCAAGGCGTTCCCAGGCCAGCTGAGAGACATAGTCCCTCCAGCGTGTCCTAGGTCTTCCGCGGGGCCTCCTCCCGGTGGGACGTGCCCGGAACACCTCCCCAGGGAGGCGTCCAGGAGGCATCCGGAACAGATGCCCGAGCCACCTCAACTGGTTCCTCTCGACGTGGAGAAGCAGCGGCTCTACTCCGAGCTCCTCCCGTGTGACTGAGCTCCTCACCCTATCTCTAAGGGAGCGCCCAGCCACTCTGCGGAGGAAGCTCATTTCGACCGCTTGTATCCGCGATCTCGTTCTTTCGGTCATTACCCAAAGCTCATGACCATAGGTGAGGGAGGGAACGAAGATTGACCGGTAAATCGAGAGCTTTGCCTTTCGGCTCAGCTCCCTCTTTACCACAACGGTCCGATACAGCGACCGCATCACTGCGCACGCTGCACCGATCCGCCTGTCAATCTCACGCTCCATTCTTCCCTCACTCGTGAACAAGACCTTGAGATACTTGAACTCCTCCACTTGAGGAAGGACCTCTCCACCCACCTGAAGAGGGCAGGGCACCATGGCCTCAGATTTGGAGGTGCTGATTCTCATCCCAGCCGCTTCACACTCGGCTGCAAACCGTCCCAGTGAATGCTGCAGGTCCTGGTTCGTTGGAGCCAACAGGACAACATCGTCCGCAAACAGCAGAGATGAAATTCTGTGGTCCCCGAACCGGACCCCTCCGACCCCTGGCTGCGCCTAGATATTCTGTCCATAAATACAGTGAACAGAACCGGTGACAAAGGGCAGCCCTGTCGGAGGCCAACATTCACCGGGAACAGGTCTGACTTACTGCCGGCAATGCGAACACAGCTCTGGCTCCGGTCATACAGGGACCGGATGGCCCTCAGCAGAGGACCCCCGACCCCGTACTCCCGGAGAACCCCCCAAAGGACACCCCGGGGAACACAGTCGAACGCCTTCTCCAAATCCACAAAGCACATGTGGACAGGTTGGGCGAACTCCCATGAACCCTCGAGTATCCGATGGAGAGTAGAGCTGGTCCAGTGTTCCGCGACCGGGACGAAAACCACACTGCTCCTCCTGGATCCGAGATTCGACCATCGGCCGTAGCCTCCTCTCCAGTACCTTGGAGTAGACCTTACCGGGGAGGCTGAGGAGTGTGATCCCATGATAATTGGAACACACCCTCCGGTCCCCCTTCTTATAGAGAGGGACCACCACCCCGGTCTGCCACTCCATTGGCACCGCCCCCGATCGCCACGCGATGTTACAGAGACGTGTCAGCCAAGACAGTCCTACAACATCCAGAGACTTTAGATAATCAGGGCGGATCTCATCCACACCCGGAGCCTTGCCACCATGGAGGCTACCAACCACCTTGGTGACCTCAGCCAGGGAGATGGATGTATCCGCCCCAGCATCCTCAGCCTCTGCCTCTGAGACAGAGGACGTGACGGGGGGATTGAGGAGAACCTCAAAGTATTCCTTCCACCGCCCGACAATATCCCCCGTCGAGGTCAGCAGCTCTCCACCCGCACCGTACATGGTGTTGGCAAAGAACTGCTTCCCCCTCCTGAGGCGCTGGACGGTTTGCCAGAATTTCTTTGAGGCCGACCGATAGTCATGCTCCATGGACTCTCCGAACTCCTACCAGTCCCGGGTTTTTGCCTCTGCAACAGCCCGGGCCGCGGCACGCTTGGCCTGCCGGTACTGGACAGCTGCCTCAGGAGTCCCCCGAACCATCATGGCTCGATAGGACTCCTTCTTCAGCCTGACAGCTTCCCTTACTGCCGGTGTCCACCACCGGGTTCGGGGGTTGCCGCCGGGACCAGCACCAGAGACCTTGCGACCACAGCTACGGGCCGCCGCATCGGCGATTGAGGCAGAGAACATGGTCCACTCGGACTCCATGTCCCCCTCCTCCACCGGGACCTGGGAGAAACTCTCCCGGAGGTGTGAGTTGAAAGTCCGTCTGACAGGGGGCTCAGCGAGACGTTCCCAGCAGACCCTCACTATACGCTTGGGTCTGCCAGGTCTGACCGGCTTCTTCCCCTGCCAGCGGATCCAACTCACGACCAGGTGATGATCGGTTGACAGCTCCGCCCCTCTCTTTACCCGAGTGTCCGAGACACGCGGTCGAAGGTCAGATGATACGACAACAAAGTCGATCATTGACCTCCGGCCTAGGGTGTCCTGGTGCCACGTGCACTGGTGGACACCCTTGTGCTCGAACATGGTGTTCGTGATGGACAAACTGTGACTGGCACAGAAGTCCAACAACTGAACACCGCTCGGGTTCAGATCAGGGGGGCCGTTCTTCCCGATCACCCCTCTCCAAGTGTCACTGGCGTTTCCCACATGGGCGTTGAAGTCCCCCAGGAGAATAACGGAGTCCCCGGGCGGTGCACCGTCCAGTACCCCTCCCAAGGACTCCAAGAAGGCCGGGTACTCTGCACTGCCGTTAGGCCCGTAGGCCGTCACAACAGTGAGAGACTTGTCCCCCACCCGGAGGCGGAGGGACGCGACCCTCTCATTCACCGGGGAGAACTCCAACACGTGGCGGCTGAGATGGGGGGCAATGAGAATGGCCACCCCAGCTCGCCGCCTCCCCTCTAAAATGTTTCTTTAACAGTAAAACTTTCTGGACATGAGGCACATTCATGATTCCATACATTATTATTTTACATACATATATATATATATATATATATATATATATATAAAATAACACACCCACACGCATTTATATATGGAACAACAAAATACATTCTGTTCAGTTTGCCTTTACAGCAACTGTATCATGCCACACCTTCGACGAAATCATGTAAGGAGGAATGATTTCAACATTTAGTTCCTGAAACAGCTCTCGACACTGCATACTCATGAAGTCTCCAGCGAGCGGTGATTTTACAATTCCTGTAAATCGAAAACAATTTTTTTTTAATTTATATTTAAGAAATTCAAATCTTTGATGGCAATGGATTTACCTTGTTGTAAAACATATCCATCATGCACTGGTATTGCTGTGGTGTGTGTGGCTCCACTGTCTAAAACCAGGCCTGTTGATCTTCCGTTTGCAAAACTATTTTGTTAAAATTTAGGAATGTAAATTCTTAAATGATCAAAGCCTATCTCAAATAAACATAAGGATTCCATAACTTTTTTATTTAAAGGATACGCAGACAGAACAGCAGATTTGCAGAGAAAGAAAGCAGGAATGTTGTAATGTTCAAACATCAGCTCTGTGAGTTTTTCTCGCTTGGCTCGTGTGTTCCACTAGGAGAAAAAATAGAATTATTTCAGAATAGAATAAATCAGGCCACCATGGCAGAGTATGAAGAATAGAATATTAAAATCACTCACTGAAGCCTCTGACATGAGCACTGGGTGCATGCTTGGTTCAGACTTGAAATGCATTTTGTAGGTATGATCCAGAATAGCTTGAAAGCTGTCCCAATCTTCAACTGGACATGTAAAAATCATGAATCATGTAAACATCACTAATCTGTTATCTAATTTATTCATTATAAACAAGATTGTCTGGATATTGCACAAGTCATAAAATAAATAGTCACAAAATAAAAACATTCATTTGATGGAATAAAATAAAAAATTATGAATTGATTAATTTAAGGAAAACATATTTAGCCTATTCTAAAGCAGCACTTATTACTGATGACAAGTGATGTCACAACCCAAATTAAACTCATTTGGCTCACTCTGCTCTCTGATTGAATATTCTGATTGTGAAGAAAACCCCAAAATGTAAACATGAACAATGTGGCCCATTACTCTTGATTACAAATGACATTTGATTTTCTCTTATCAGAAAATGATTAGATCACATATGGTTCCTTTATTTAAGTCATCTGAAAGGTAACTTAACTTTAAGAACTTATTTTATAAACAGTACGGCATGCTTTGTGTAAGCCCTCAGTCGTACAGGGATTAGTCAAAGCAAAGGAAGGTTTCTCACCCATCATCTGTACTTCTTAGCAAGTTTTCCCGACGTTTTCTCCAACGCGCGGTCCGAGAATTCATTCCCTGAAGAAGTCCCCAGGTTGAGGACGAAACGTCGGAAAAACTTGCTAAGAAGTACAGATGATGGGTGAGAAACCTTCCTTTGCTAGTACGGCATGCTATAACATGCTAGATATATATTATTCTTTATTATCAAAGCAGCCGTGTTTACAGTAGCTGTAAGGGAGCACAAGCTCTACTCTATGGGCATCTCAGGCTGCCTTTGACATACTTAAATAATTAGATTTCATCAAAGCTGGGTCAGGTGCTGAGAGAAAAATGTTATTTAAATATATATATAATTTGAAAGGGCCACTTATTTTCCAGGTCTGGCCTCATAGGAAGTGTGCTCTAATTCTATTCTACTCCAATTAGGGGCAGTGAAATACTTTTCTCAAAATAGGATCCCTTGAAGCCTCAAACAGACTAGGAGGAGAGTTATTGAATAGGTGATCTACTTAAAATTGTAATGGATGTTCACATTCAGAACCTGAGATCCAATATTTGATGTAGTGTTACACAAGTAATCATCTTTAATTTGAAGTGACTTACTCATTCCATTCTTTAACGGAGACATGACCTCCATATTCTCCCTAGGTACCCGCAGTTGGTTTGTGTCAATGTAATAAGTGGTTCCACTCTGTTTCCCCTTGTCACCATCTGTCTCCATAGGTGTGCTACCATCTTCTCTGTCGAGTGTCACTCCAATCACAGTGGGAAAATCTGCCTGTGACAGGTCAAACATGTATTACAACACATCACATATATTACCCTATATAACCCTAACCTAAATTCCAAGCACAGATGGCTAACATCAATAGCATGCACTTCTGCCACCCAGATCAAGAAAAATATCAAATATAAACAAGACAATACAACAGAGAAAATTCTTTACCTTGGGACAGTCTTCTCCTGCATAGCCAGCTCGCACAGAATATGAACCAATGTCAAACACCAGGGCTCCAACTTCATCTACAAGAACAAGAGTGTGGCCATGAAAACAGTACACGTTTACCCACTGAGTTTTACAAACCTAAGCAACCACGAGACAACTAGTTGATAATGATATTCAGACGTGGGAAGTCATTTCTAAATCATGAAGTGTGGTAAGAATTATTTTAAACAAACAATCGATATTCGTTTCGATATTTTCACATTATGCTCTTAATGTTTGTTTTATCCATTATTCTACTATTTTAATTAAAGTAGCGTTATGTGAGAATGTCCCAGGTAGTCTCACTCATTCATTCACATATTGTTGTGCAAGCGAGACCTACGTTTACAAATTAAGAATTAAGATAGGTTTCGCTTCATTGTGCTATAAGCACATATGATGAAAGAGGTGAAAGTCTGGTACACAATCAAGCAATCATATGTATTTTAAGAGGGGTATACTGAAGCTTGTAGCATGCTAACGATGTGATGTTAGCAGGCTAACGCTAGTGAAACAGCGTGGATCGCTACCGATTAGCTTTAACACGTTTTACTCACCACCGCCGTAAACACCACCACTCATCCTCCCGGTTTATCTGAGTTGTGTCTTGTTTGATAAATTGAAAGGGCAAAATAATAGTCACGAGCAGATCACAACAAAGGAAATTGTTAGCATGAGTATTTGGACAAAGCAGGCGCCGCTTCGCGTCCGGAGAACTGTCCAATCACAGAGCAGCAGCACGGACACACTTCCGCTTCCCTCGTGCTGCTCCCCGCCCCTCCCTCTTAAGCTTCTTCTTTCCTGATCCAAGTGGACGTGGCCTCTGTGGACCTGATATCATGTAAGTGGGGCTTTGCATTCACTTCTGTACTCTATCAACTTTATCTCGATGGACTCTTGGTCATTTAGCAACGTTACGAATGACACAATGTGCGCTGAATATCAGGTCAATTACATCACACAAGTTCAGTTAAAGGACCTTGAAAAGTGCACTTAAGTCGCAGGCACTGTTGTAATGTCTGCGTGGTTGCACTTCAACAGAACTTTGAGAGCAATAGCATGAGGAGCACTCACGCTAAGTTGCTGTTCTTATAACTTAAATCGACAGATGTCTAAAAAATTTACGAAGACCTTTTATGTAGATTTTATTAATATATAACTCCCGAGCTGCCTCGTGGTAAGTTTTTTTTGGCTTGCATTGCGCACGCGTCTAAAGTTCAGTGCTAGTGGATGGTTAGTCATTAGCCTCCCGTACATTACTTGTTTTAAAATTAATGTTTTATTTTTTGTTTGTCCTCAGCTCCGATGCAGCGCTGCCTCACACTGACCATTGCCCGTCACAGCAGGCTTTCTCTCAGAAACAAATTTGCATCTGTCCACTGCCAGCAGTCAGCAGCAATGTCGGGTCTCTTGATAAATCAGCCGAAATACTCCTGGCTTAAAGAGCTGGGCCTGTCTGAGGATAACCCTGGAATGTACAACGGCAGATGGGGTGGCAGTGGGGAAGTAGTAACATCATATTGTCCAGCAAACAATGAACCAATTGCAAGGGTAACTCAGGCCACCATGGCAGAGTATGAAGAAACAGTTCAGACGACCAGAGAGGCATGGAAGGTGTGGGCAGATATCCCAGCTCCAAAAAGAGGAGAGATTGTGAGGCAAATTGGTGATGCTTTAAGAAAGAAAATCAATGTTCTGGGCAGCCTTGTGTCTCTAGAAATGGGAAAAATCTATGTTGAAGGTGTAGGTGAGGTTCAAGAATATGTGGATGTCTGTGATTATGCAGTTGGTCTGTCCAGAATGATTGGTGGCCCCATTCTTCCTTCAGAAAGACCAGGCCATGCTTTAATTGAACAGTGGAACCCAGTAGGCCTTGTAGGCATTATCACTGCTTTCAACTTTCCAGTGGCTGTGTATGGATGGAACAATGCCATTGCTCTGACCTGCGGGAATGTCTGTCTTTGGAAAGGAGCCCCCACCACACCCCTCACAAGTGTTGCAGTTTCAAAGATTGTGGCAGAAGTCCTGGAGAAAAACAATCTTCCAGGTGCCATCTGCTCCATGACTTGTGGAGGAGCTGATATTGGTACAGCAATGGCAAAGGATGAGCGTGTGGATCTCCTGTCCTTCACAGGCAGCACTCATGTGGGCAAACTTGTTTCTATGATGGTGCAGGAACGATTTGGCCGCAAGCTTTTGGAGTTGGGTGGTAACAACGCCATTATTGTGTTTGATGATGCAGATCTAAATCTTGTGGTCCCCGCTGCTGTGTTTGCCTCTGTTGGAACAGCTGGTCAACGCTGCACCACAACCAGAAGATTAATGTTGCATGAAAGCCTCCATGACGCTGTGGTGGAAAGGGTTGTCAAAGCCTACAAACAAGTCCGAATCGGAGATCCTTGGGACCCTAGCACTCTCTACGGACCTCTGCATACCAAACAAGCTGTAGAGCAGTATCTGGCAGCTATTGAGCAGGCCAAGCAGCAAGGAGGTACTGTAGTTTATGGAGGAAAGGTGATGGACCGTTCTGGTAACTATGTGGAGCCTACTATCATAACAGGGCTGGCTCACGATGCTCCCATTGTCCACACAGAAACCTTTGTACCCATCCTCTATGTTCTGAAATTCAACACTGAGGAAGAAGCTTTTGCCTGGAACAATGAGGTCAAGCAGGGTCTTTCCAGCAGCATCTTCACTAAAGATATGGGACGTGTATTTCGCTGGCTGGGACCCAAAGGTTCTGACTGCGGCATTGTGAATGTCAACATTCCTACCAGTGGAGCTGAGATTGGAGGAGCCTTTGGTGGGGAGAAACACACTGGAGGTGGGAGAGAGTCAGGCAGTGACTCTTGGAAGCAGTACATGAGGCGCTCAACATGCACAATTAACTACAGTAAGGATCTTCCTCTGGCCCAAGGAATCAAGTTTGAGTAAATTACTTGCACAACCTCAGTCAATTGGACAATACTATAACGTCTATGAACATAACGGGTCTAATAACTTCTGGATCTGTCTTCCCTCATTTCTTCGGATAAATGGCATCCCAATGTTTGTTGTGAAAGTTTGTGGAATATATGAAGTATCGAAACCTTACCATATATTCGGATATGCTTTGGTGTGCTGCCTATACACTGAATTTGAACATTTTCTAAAAGGTCAAAATATGTGAATAATACAAACTATATTTTTAAACAAGACTCACAACATATATTGTAAATGTATTGATCAATTGAAGACTGGTGTTTGGAAAGCTGTGCAAATTGTTCAATAAAAGTTCTGTGTCTCACATGGCCGGTTTGCTTTTTTTATAAATTATACAATGAATTGTGTTTTCAGGATTTTTATTTTTTTTTGTGTGGAAGGTTAAATGGTGACTTGGTGCACTGTCCCTTTAATGAAAATGCGACTTGTGTCCATAACTCTGCTGCTCATACTCCAGCTCTGTCTCTCTTCAGTGATCCTCCCAACAGCAGCTCCACTTGAGCAGATAGCTCATACACTACCTGCGATTCCTGCTATCCATGCTGTTCAGGACATACACACGGACATTTTAATTCCTCTAATTCACGTTGGAAACAGGTACTATTTTAGTTTTTGCATCTTTGCATGTGTGAGGTAACATCTTGATGAAATGTATTGAAAGTAGTAAAAGGCAATGGCAAGGGCTACATTTTTCAAAACTTATAACTTGGTAAATGATCAGTGCAACTACACATTGTGATACATTTCATTATTACTTTATTTGATTTTCTTGTCATTTGTCTTTCCTTGCTACGGGAAACTCCTTAGATACTCTTATGGACACTATCCCTATATCAGATTAGTTTACAGCTTTGTTTACTCTCAATACACCATGAAAATATCTCGGAAAAGAGTATCTCTTCATTTAAATGTAAACCCTAGAACCTCTGATCTAATATTAGCTCTCTGATAAGGCTGTTAACTATGTGTAAATAAATGTAATCAAAAACTTTTCAGAATCTTATGGTTTCTCAACAACGAGCAACGTTTTGTGGGAAGGTTGATTATAACCTGATGTTTACAAATACTTTGAACAAATAACTGATTATGATCACTAAAAATGCCTGAACCAGAATTATGTAAAAAAGTGCTAAAATACTATGATCAGTACCTCCATGTATTGTAATTTTACTGAGTGGCATGAATATTTCTAGAAGTAAGGGGGACAAAATGCATTACCTAACTCGCAAAGACCTTTTACATTAGCGGTTGTTTGGTGAGGGTTTGTGGCTATAGGCTGCAATTTTATTTCAATTGAAAATCTAAATCTAGCCAAATTGGCCTCTTATCTTATTTTTCCAGCTTTGGGATGGCAACTTTGTTACATCATGGGATGGTGCGAGGAGCACTCACCAAAGGAGCTTTCTTTCTATTATCCATTATGCTCTACAGCTCTGGCTCTCCCTGGTATTTCTCCTACCTTCTTGACGTCAGTTGCCATTTGTGAGGGTTGCCCAGGCAACGGCCAGCCTCCCCGGGAGATGTCTGGTGGATAAGATGGCCCTGTAAAACCCTTTTAAGGTTGTTCTGTTGTTTCAACTTTAGTTGTGTTTGATACAGTCAAGGTTCTTACATGGAGGTTTTGGATGTGTCTTTGTATCTGATTATGATATAGCTGGGATTGCAGCTTCGATTAAGGATTTCGTCTAAGGATATAAAGCTTTTTAGACACCAGGTCTGCGTGACAGAATTAACTGTAATGATGAATGTTATTCCAACTATATTTACTGTAATGACAAATCATAGTTTCAATTATCTAATAAATAATGAGAACCAAGGTATTTTTTATAAAGTCTATAGATTTAGGCTTTAGTTTTAGAAATCAAATTAAAAGGCAGTACATATATATTTAAACATTTTGTAGCCACAGATCTTTTTTTAATCAGGTGGAACTAATTAAAGATGAAAGCGTTACAATAAAACTTTAAAGAATAATAATTGAATGAAATTTGTGTCACAATTCATGCTACAGTAATGTTTTACATTCATGCAAATATGTCCTCTATTTGGTAACCCTGAACATGATACTTGCCCGGGCTCCTCCAGGAGTTATTTATAGTCACTTGCATGTGTGCCTTTGTTTTTTTTTTTTCAGACATTAGCTATTGATGGGCTATTTTTACAATGACAATTTGCTCCATCCCTTTGGTTGCCAGGCAATGAGCAGAGGGACCTGATTGGTTGAGAATGTGCTTTTGGTCACTGATTCTCAGAAATCCGATGAATTCAATAATCTTTATTTTTGTATGTTGTGATTGCAAGTTGACCTAATTATGATTAATATTGCAACAGCTTTGTTCCCGAAACTGAGTGGGGCCGTAGGGTGTAAATACTAAACTTGATCCCAAAGGAAACCAGGCCTGGGCAACTTTCATCTTGTCACCATTGATTGTGGCTCGTGCAGCGATATGGAAAGCCTATCCCACTGCTCCCTTTCATTGGCCACATTAAAAATGCATCCTGTCCTAATGGGGAAAGATCCCTTTCAATGATCCCACTGCAGGCCCACTGTGGTGCACTGGAGTAAGTCTAGAGACAGCTGTCATCATTGTATCTGACGGTTATTTTTTGTCCATGTCCATGTTTTTTCTTTACATTTATTTACACAAAACAGTTTCATGTACATATTGTGTTTTATTTAATGCAATTGTAATAAGGGATGATTAGCACATTAAAGCTATGGGCTTCCTGTGTCCTATTCGGTTCCCTTTTTGTTGAGGGGGCTGACAGTCTATACCATTCTGCTCGTTGGGGTACTTCATTCATTCACAACTAACTTCAAATGGACGGATTAAATACTACATCGTGTCTACTGAAAATTCAGTTCCAAAAATACGTTTTAGCAGGTTTCCTTGTTTTAGATTACGTGAAACGTGGTAAGGAAAAGACAAACATATTAGCGCAGTCAGCGGAGCGCACCCCTCGGAGAAGGCTGTTGCCATGTTCCCACTTTTATGGGTGTGGTGATTAGCTTGCTTTGGAGCAGAAAAATATTGAAAGTGAATTCTATCCGGGCTTGTCGCGTTTTAGGATCATTTATAAAGACATATAATAACTACTATGATTACGGTTTTCTTCACAGCTGGAGCCATGGTTGTCGTCTGAATAAGGAGCGGTGTGGATTGGATTGGAGTCGCGCACAGAGCCAGAGTCTGATTCAGGTGAAGACGCTGATATCTTGATATTTTGGTGTGATCTGCTGTTTCCTGTTATGTTTGTGTGTTACTTTAGCGTTCATGATAGCCCAGATGTAAATGTATGTATTCGCGGTGAACATGTCCAATGACAAGGCAACATTATCCGTGCGTAGCCACATACTGGAATCACATACTGGAATCACATACTGGAATCACACACTGGAATCACATACTGGAATCACATACTGGAATCACATACTGGAATCACATACTGGAATCACATACTGGAATCACACACTGGAATCACACACTGGAATCACATACTGGAATCACACACTGGAATCACATACTGGAATCACACACTGGAATCACATACTGGAATCACACACTGGAATCACACACTGGAATCACACACTGGAATCACACACTGGAATCACACACTGGAATCACACACTGGAATCACACACTGGAATCACATACTGGAATCACACACTGGAATCACACACTGGAATCACACACTGGAATCACATACTGGAATCACACACTGGAATCACATACTGGAATCACACACTGGAATCACACACTGGAATCACACACTGGAATCACATACTGGAATCACATACTGGAATCACACACTGGAATCACACACTGGAATCACAAATCACATACTGTAATCACATACTGGAATCACATACTGGAATCACATCATGGAATCACAAATCACATACTGGAATCACATACTGGGATCACACACTGGAATCACATACTGGAATCACAAATCACATTCTGGAATCACATACTGGAATCACATACTGGAACCACATACTGGAATCACATACTGGGATCACATACTGGGATCACATACTGGAATCACATACTGGGATCACATACTGGAATCACATACTGGGATCACATACTGGAATCACACACTGGAATCACAAATCACATACTGGAATCACATACTGGGATCACATACTGGGATCACATACTGGAATCACATACTGGAATCACAAACTGGGATCACATACTGGAATCACATACTGGAATCACATACTGGAATCACAAATCACATACTGGAATCACATACTGGGATCATATACTGGGATCTCATACTGGAATCACATACTAGGATTACATACTGGGATCACATACTGGGATCATATACAGGGATCACATACTGGGATCACATACTGGGATCACATACTGGAATCACATACTGGAATCACAAACTGGGATCACATACTGGAATCACATACTGGAATCACATACTGGAATCACAAATCACATACTGGAATCACATACTGGGATCATATACTGGGATCTCATACTGGAATCACATACTAGGATTACATACTGGGATCACATACTGGGATCATATACAGGGATCACATACTGGAATCATAAATCACATACTGGGATCACATACTGGGATCACATACTGGAATCACATACTGGAATCACACACTGGAATCACATATGCTCAATCACACTTGGCGTTTCTGATTTTGTTTGCTTACCTCTAGTGTGGTTTGTGATCAACTTACTTACTTACTTACTTACTTACTACCTCTAGTGTGGTTTGTGATCAACTCATATCATTTTGTCTTCTCCCTTTTTATTGCTACAGTTTGCCCACACATATTGAATCTGCGTGCCTATGTAGTTTTTGGCTATATTCTTTTCAAGGTACACTAGGCACCTAGGGAAATAATGGTTATAAAACATTTTCCTGGTGGATGATCCTTCTGCTTTTATTTTATTTCCAATGTGCGGGATGTAAAACTTGATTATTAGCTCTGTAGATAGTGGACATACGTTCAAAACTATACTGTGGAGCATTCTATGAAATCAATGGTGACGACACGCCCTCCAGAAAAGGGACATGTGCACAATGATGTGTCAGTGTAATTTATTGTCAGCATTGATGATTTATAATTCCAAAAACCATGCAATAGTGGCCTTCTGTTTCTTGAATGTGTGTGTTTGTGTAAGTTGGTGTGGTGTACTGGTCTAATCACTTATTTGTATTGACAACATGGTTTTGCTATTGAGTCTAAGTGATTCAATAAATTCCCTTCAGTTGTATATCAGGTTTACTAAATGTGGTGTTGGTTTCTGGAAAATGCCTGGCATTTCCTCTATTCTAAAGATATCTGCCATAGTTAGCAAGTCAGGGTGCAACAGGTACCTCTGGTTATTTTACAAAGACCGCTTTCGAAATTGTGTTGGTGTTTAAAATATGCAGTACATACTTGCACTACTGAAAGATGCTGGTGAACACTGCAAAGATCATGACCTGCTTTGTTTTAGCAGTGAATGAACACGTCCGTTCTCATTGGTCATGTATTATATACTGCTCATAGTAAACTAAATTACACCATCCCCACTTTCATACCTGGTGCTGGCCCCAGCATGCAGGCTTAAGCTGGGACAGGGAAGACTGTCAATCAAGAGCTGATGGGAAGGTGTATGAAGAATATTACGGGACAATCTTGGAAAAGTTTCAGACTTTGAGTGAAGGTTTACTTTCCATCAGGAAAATTTCCATAAATTTAAATTTAAATTTTCATTAAAAAAAGTAATGGTTTAAATGAAAAAAATGTTATAGAAGGGGGGCAGTCAAAATCTAATCAAGAAATTGACAAAAGAATAATAATGGGAAAATATGTTGTGAGTGTTCGAAACCTCGTGAATAAGTGAAATATATTGTTTGATAACATGTTAGATAGTTTATGGGATACAAATACTTTTTCAAGGCCATTTCTAAAGAACAGTTTGTTTAAAACACTTTTTTTTTTGCAATTAAAATTTGAGAAATCATTACCTAAATGGCTAATTAGGTATACTGGTAACTTCTTGCCTCATCATGGCTGTATCATTAACGATCTGTATTATCTGCAGTTTGAGTTTTTGTCCAGTTTAAGCTCCTGATGTTATAAAGTGTTAATCTAGACCATGCTGTGAATGTCGTACTGTACATTTTAGAGCACTGTGGCTCGAGTAAAGCAACTGGTGCAGTACCACAACACAAAGGCAGATCTAGCAAAGGTCAGGCCCAGGGTCTGGCTCAAATGGCCTTTTGAACAAGACTGGGGGCTGTTTGAAGACCTGGACCACCCTCCAAGCCCATCCGCACCCTGCCTCCCTGCGGGCTTTTCTACACCCATCCTCTACAGGATGTCGGCGCTTTTTACCTTTTACCAAATGTAGTGCTCTTTCTCCCAATGGCTCCCTTACATTGTTGTATTCTTTGTTTGGGCTGCAGGTGTTGGGGAACGTGTGTTTCCCCGTCTAGTATTTGGACCATATTGGATCGAACTCACGGCAGTGACAATGAGTGAACTAGAACAGTTGCGACAGGAAGCGGAACAGCTACGCAACCAGATCAGAGTAAGACTCTTTGAGTTGGTGTCCGCTCATTTGATGTAAAAATATCTAAGTGGTCTTCACTTTCCATCTTAAATTATAACAATGACCAATAATTGTTTGTGTGTTTTTAGGATGCCAGAAAAGCTTGCAGTGATTCCACTCTGTCACAGGTAAATTATGACTGCAACATAGCATTCAATGAACTAGTGTTTATTTAAATAATGTTTGGCAGATCACAGCTGGCCTGGACTCGGTTGGTCGGATACAGATGCGGACACGCCGTACTCTCAGGGGACACTTGGCCAAAATCTATGCAATGCACTGGGGAAGTGACTCAAGGTACTGTTTTATCTCATATTCCTGTCTATAATAACTATATTGTACTTTCCCATGAAAGTGTGTGTAAATTAACGTTATAGATATTCTAGTCAAAGTGAAAAATATCCATTGAATCAATGTTCTTCCTATTTCTTTGTTTGATGCATTGCACTGGGGCAGTGACGGCAGTCCCAGGTGTGGGACTATTACCACTATCAAATAATTCTACTAATAATACTAATATAATCACCACTGTCACCACCACTAGAGTTACCACTGGCACATTCACTCATTCCTCATGTCACATGACTGACTGTTCTTTTTTATTTTAAGAAGCTAAGAGTCTAAATATTCTAACCCTTTATACTTTGAATGTTATGCATGAAATACTGATTTCTGATCCACCAAAATATTGCTGTCAATAGTGGGCAAACATGTAATTAGCGATCAGTTGGGTCAAGCTGATAGAAGAACCGCAAAGATTCATTCACTTTAGCGCACAAATGAATGCTGCTGACTTGCATGCTCTTGGCTCATAAATAAGGGTATAATACATATAACACTTTCAAAGTCATATAATGCTATGTTGAGAAATTGCATCGTCACTATATGCTATGTTACTATTACATGAGTCATGAGGATGCAAATGGTATCGCTGGATGAGAGCCCATTTACAGCTCTCACTGTTAGTATTATTTTTAGAAGCACTAATGAGATGGATAATTTTCAAGCTCTATGATGTGAGGAAGACCAATGTATAATAGTGAAACCTGTGTTCAAATATTGTTGCCACTAGTGACAGAAGTATTTTTAGACTGGTTTTGAATGTGCACGTGTGCATGTGTTTCGCCTAACCCTGCAGGAGGTCAGTGTTTATTTTGTATACAGTTTTGTGGCCCTTCCTTTGATTGTAATGTAGTAACATCAAATTATTTCCTTCCTTGTTCTGACCAACTAATCGGTTGCTTTTTTTCACCTGCCAAACCATGTTTCTTATTCACTTAGAATACATTTCAGGATAGTTTTCCATTAGTTTCCCCAAAAGTGAAAGTTGAATTGACAATGTTCTTTCAAGTTGTATACAGGGAATAAGTAAAGTGTGAGGCAATTCCCGTCCTAAATGTGTAGTAGCCTTTTTAATTTGCTCAAAAATTCAGTTCAATTCAATTTATTCTTGTATAGCCCTAAATCACAAAAGCAGTTATCTCGTAGGGGAGGACTTAACAAAACCGTTGAATTTGCCAACACAGATCAGAGAATCAACATTCTAACGCAAATAATGAAAGAAAATGAGTAGTGAATGATAGATGGATATTCATATTCATATTGGCAAATCAAATATTTTTAAAGGGCAGTTTATAATGTACAGACGCTGTTCTTATAAAGTCTGACAAGAACTGGGAGGAAAATTGAAATCCAGATTTTGTGGATATTCTAGTCTTTTCTTATTGAATTCAGAGCAATACATTATATTAGAGGGAGTAAAAAAACAAGAATACTAGAACAAATTACTGATTAGTTGAGCCCAAAAATCAAATCTGCAGTCCCGAGAGGAATCTCATTGAATTGAAAATAGGGCAATAGCAAAAGATGAAATGTATTTTTCCTCTTTTTTGTTTGTTTGTGTGTATTCCCCTAATCATAATTGCAGTGTCAAAACCAGAGGAGATGTTTGCAGCATTCCTGAAAGCTAACCAAGTCCACTGCTATTTAGTCATATCACTGCTTTTGACTGGCTTTGTGAATGCACATAGTTTCACACCTATTTGACCATTTGTCAGGATATATGTAATGTTGTCTTTTTATGCACAGGTTACTTGTTAGTGCCTCTCAAGATGGAAAGTTAATTATCTGGGATAGCTACACAACAAATAAGGTGAGATAGTAATGCAGCAGTGTATTTTACTTTATTGCATGTTTTGGTCATAACTGACTTTCATAAACGTGACTGTCCCAGATGCATGCCATCCCTCTGCGCTCCTCCTGGGTGATGACGTGCGCCTATGCCCCCTCTGGAAACTATGTGGCCTGTGGAGGCCTAGACAACATCTGCTCCATTTACAGTCTGAAGACTCGTGAAGGCAACGTCCGTGTGACCAGAGAGTTACCTGGACACACAGGTGAAGAACATCTCCATTCAATCTGTTTTCCCTCCAGCAGTGGAAGTGCAAGTATGTTTCTTTTAATAAACACATCTAATTAAAAGGGTTATTTTACAGGTTATTTATCCTGCTGCCGGTTTTTGGATGATAACCAAATACTGACTAGCTCTGGAGACACAACTTGGTGAGAGCATTTATTTTCTAACATTTTGGTCATTTACATTAACAAAAACACAAGTATATCCGTTTCTTTACTTGCAGTGCATTGTGGGATATTGAAACTGGCCAACAGGCCACCTCATTTTCAGGCCACACGGGTGACGTTATGAGTCTGTCCTTGAGCCCAGACTACAAAACATTTGTGTCAGGAGCCTGTGATGCCACGTCAAAGCTGTGGGACATCCGTGATGGCATGTGCAGGCAGTCCTTCACTGGTCACGTGTCTGATATAAACGCTGTCACCGTAAGTAATGTCCCCATGTGGCCAGCTTTCTATCTTTTATGAGAAGTAATCTGCAAACAGCCACATCATGTTTCTATGAATAAAACTGTGACCTTGTTTGCAGTTTTTCCCAAATGGAAACGCCTTTGGCACAGGCTCTGATGACGCCACCTGCAGGCTGTTTGACCTCCGCGCTGATCAGGAGCTGATGATGTACAGTCACGACAACATCATCTGTGGCATCACTTCAGTAGCATTCTCCAAAAGTGGTCGCTTGTTATTGGCAGGCTATGATGATTTCAACTGCAACGTCTGGGACACCTTGAAAGGGGAGCGAGCAGGTATGTCTATTCTTTAGATCCGGTTGCAGCTCATGTGTCCATTAAGGTGGTTTTAGATGTTTTCAACACACGTGCATTGAAACGCATTCCTGCAACTGTGGCTTGTGTGGACCATTCAGTGCTTATAATTCCATTCAATTAACTCTTGTACCTCTTTGAGGAGTTTCCAGCTCGTTCAAAATACAGCAGCAAGGATCTTAACAGGTACCAAAATGAGGGAACACATAACTCCGGCTTGCTTCCCGTGGAGTATAGCATAAAGTTCTAAAAAAAATCCTTTTACATACAAAGCCATAAATGACCTGGCTCCTTCTTATCTTCAAGACACGTTAGTGTCATATCAACCAAACCGAGCACTGCGCTCGCAAAATGCCAGACGTCTGGTGGTCCCTAAGGTTTCAAAAAGCACTGTTGGCGGCAGAGCATTTAGCTACCAAGCTCCTTCACTGTGGAATCAGCTTCTCATCCATGTGGAAGCAGATGCGGTCTCCACATTCAAGGCCAGGCTTAAAACACTCTACTTCAATTTAGCATAGGGTTAGGTTATTTGTCTGGTTTGGTTTACACACTTGGTGTGTAATCATGAATCCTTGGTGCTGTAGCCCGGGCTAGCATAGCCGTGGCTGCTGCTGTCTCTCCTTTGTTTGGACACGGTCTCCACATTCAAGGCTAGGCTAAAACAGTCCTCTTTAGTTGAGCATATGGTTAGGAAGGTAAGACTCAGGGAAGGCTAAACATCTTAGACTGTCAGTCTAGCTGTGTAGGGAGTCAGTTTTCTGGGAGAAATATGGTAACTTGAGCACCATTGTCCTGTTGTCCCATTGTCCGTTTCATGGTGCGACGACGGGACCTCTGAACCTGGCCTCCTCCATCTACACCATCTGCCCTGCCCGACCCGCCTGGAAGATGCTTCAGTCCTGCACCGGACCTGTCCACGTCCTTCGGCCGCTGTGTGGCCCTGGTCCACGTTCCGTAGCTTAGGTCCTGGATCTATAGCCTGTCTGTCCGTGTGGAGCGAATCCCTCTCTCCATATGTGGGTCTCCCTGAGGTTTCTCACTTTTTTACCCCTGGGTATTTCTTATGAGTTTTTCCTTGCCAACTAACTGTTGGACAGTTAGTGTCCAACATAAAGGACTGTGGTGATGATCCAGGACACTTTAACATTCTCCAACATGTATGGACATTTATCAACATGTTCTATATTCGTGTTCTATATTCTTTTTGTGTCTTAACTGTTGATTCTCTGATCTGTGTTGATGATTTCAATGGTTTTGTTAAGTCCTGAGATAACTTCTGTTGTGATTTAAGGCTATACAAGAATAAATGGTATTGTATTGTATCCCGAATCACAATCAACAGTTAAGACACAACAAATATAGAACACATATGTATTGGTCCATATGGTGAGACCAATGTCCATGAATGTTGATAAATGTCCATACATCTTGTAGAATGTTTAAAATGTCCTGGATCATCAACACAGTCCTTCTTGTTAGACACTAAGTGTCCAACAGACCCTCCTACATCGGCAAGGAAAAACTCAGTGGGAGAAATGTGAGAAATCTAGGGAAGACCCACTTTGAGAGAGGGATCTGCTCCACACGGATGGACAGGCTATAGATCCAGGACCTAAGCTACAGAACGAGGACCGGTTGTAGAACGTGGACGGGTCCAGTGCAGGACTGAAGCACCTCCCAGGCGGGTCAGGCAGGGCAGTCCTGAGACTGTAGATGGAGGAGGCAGAGTTCAGGGGTCTCGTTGTTGCGCCATGCAACAGACAATGGGACAGTGGGTGAAAAGGAATGAACAGACTACAGTCAAAATACAAATGCAGACAGATAAAGTAGGAAGGCGGAGAAGATAGTGCTCAAGTTACCATACTTCTCCCAGCAAACTGACTCCCTATGCAGCTTGACTGACAACCTAAGACTTTTTGTCTTCTCTGAGTCTTACATTCCCAACCATATGCTACATTAAACAACTGTTTTAAGCCTGGCCTTGAATGAGAGGCCAGAGAGGCAGCAGCAGCCATGGGCTTGGCTAGGCAAGGCTACAGCACAAAAGAAAATGTTTAATCCACGATGTATAGTTAAGTGAGCACTGATTTAAGATTAGAGTTTGTAACAAAGGTTGAAAGATGCAATAGGTTGGCCAGACCAGTCCCAGACAAGCAGACTCCGAGACCAGACAAACAACCTAATCATATGCTAAAATGAGTTATTAAGCCTGGCCTTGAAAGTAGAGGCCGTGTCTGCTTCCTTAACGTGGATGGGAAGCTGATTCCACAGTAAAGGAGCTTGGAAGCTAAATGCTCTGCCGCCGACAGTGGTTTTTGAGACCTTAGGAACCACCAGACGGCGTGCGTTTTGCGAGCGCAGTGCTGGTTTGGTTTGTGTCTTGTTTGACCATGGATCTATTATAATAACTGGATATGACATAACTAGCTTATAGCTGAAACACACATGTGCTCGTGGGCTTCCCGTGCTACTGCAGACTAAATAAGACTAAATTCACATGGGGCTACCCAGATATTTACCCCATAGAACTCAGTTTATATTAAAAGAGCTCAATCTCAGATGACGGGGAACATACAGCTTTCATAAAGTTTGGATTGTATAGACTTTGATGATTGACTTTTTGTAACTTTTTTTCCAGTTAAATCCATCAGGTTTCTATAAATCCTCACTTTAGTGCATCAAACTCTGCTTGTTTTCCTCCTGCTCTAGCTTTGCTTTGATCAGCAGCATGCTGATTGGTCAGACCACTGCCACGTCCACTGGGCACGTGCATGAGAGCCACACACGTGTCCTCATTAGTATTTGACGCAGAGAGTCATGTTTCCCACTGTGCAAAACTGGGAGGACAAAAGAAAATCGCAAATATGGGTGGGCTCCCCTAATCTTTCGCTGGCCATGCTCGCTTCACGCGCTACTGAGCACAAGCCATTGAATTGATTACGCCACCATCTATGATTGCTGAGGCTTGGATTTGACTCCCGGGATGTTACTTTTGTTGGTTTCCTCCGTGTACTCTGGTTTCCCATACCTAAAAACATGTACAATAGGAGATGGTTGAAGAGTCTGGTGTTCCACGTTTTTATATTAACAAAAATGTTGAGCTAATCAGTTGATTTGCACTTTTGTTTTTCTGACAGGTGTGTTGGCTGGCCATGACAACAGGGTAAGCTGCTTAGGGGTGACTGAGGATGGAATGGCGGTAGCAACTGGTTCTTGGGACAGTTTCCTCCGGATCTGGAACTAAACATTCTCTATGAACTAAATCACGGGCCAGGAAGTTCTCCACCGGAGGCTTCCCCATGGAGCTCCACTGCTGGCTTTACACCAAGCCAGCTTTCCTTCTGTCCTGCCCCAGAGATCCACCATGCTGCGGACAACCTGTGAGAAAGAACAAACTGACCCTATCTTTTTTTTTTTCATTTCTAGATTACCAGATAATTAAGAATCAACAGATCTAAACATTTTGGAAACTTAACCAATCCAAGGTAAAAGTCCTGTCCTTGTACCATTATTTCCCTGGGGTAAAATAGGCCTTTGTTACTGCGATTAACAACAAATGTGTTGACTGTCAGTCTGTAATATGTAAATGTAAATAAAGACGTTATATATGTATAGCATTATGTGTGTGTATATATATCATATATGCATATATAATGTGTATGTATATATTTTTGTAGTTTATTTCTGTTCTTTTTTTATTTTGGAAGTTTAAATGTACATATCCACATTAATATACACTTAATTTGCAGAAATGGTCAGATTCTAAAATCTTTTATTTATCCATGTGAGTACCAGAACAACCTTTTGAACTGCAATGTACAGTTTCACTAGTTTCTGGCATTGTTGATAATCGTGTGTGTGCATGTGTGATAGGTAAGATATATTTTGTACCTATAGCTTCATTCTTATATAAGTGTGAATGGGGTTTTCCCTCTCCTTTTGCAGAGTAGTTAGAGCATTATCCTGCTATGTTTATTTGTTTGAATGTGAAAGACAGAAGGGTTACACTTGTAACAAGCGTTTTGGAATATTGACTTGTGCATTGTATCATCCTTAATTTAGAAATTTGCAAGATGTGGAGAGAGTCCTGACTCTAAACAATCTTGGATTATACAGTCCGTCATTATGGGCATGGAGATTATGTTGTGTATTTTTCTTAATCTGGACCTAACTAAAGAATCATGAGCACATGAGTTCCAGCGTCTTTATGACTGCAGAGATGGAAAACATACAATATATTTTTGCACAGGACAATAATTGTACTCCTTTACTGGAGATCATCAAGTACCTGTTTAGCTTTGGGCTAATTATATCGTAATAACTAAATGGACAGTATGAATAATGAAGCTGACTACAATTACAGCTAGACCATGAGTTGACCATTTATTCACTTGGAAACAAAAGACACTGCTGCTGCTCGGACTAAGCTGATATGTGCTGCAGGTCTAAAGTGGAGACAATACAGTGGACTTAAAAAAAAACAAAAAACTGGTAATCAAAATGAGGCTCGTTCTGCTTCCTGATTGGATAATTAACTTGCAGTATTTAGGTCAACAAGTGTAATGTCCGTTGAATATATCAACATGAAGATTTTAATGAGAAAAGATCAAATGGGATAATTTTGCACATGTTGACCCTGTGTCTGGAGATGCCAATAAATAAGAAAATTGTAGTCAATGAAAGAAACTCTTACATACTGTCCCTTTATACCCATGTGTGTGAGTTGGACCTAAACGCCCTGTCTCAGGTGCCTCCCTTTGTGTGGAGAGTGTTTGAACTCCAGAGGTGTGGCACTGCTTTTGTGCCCCCATTTTGCCTTACAGGGATGTAAATGTGCTGTCATGTTATTTAGACCATCCAGGCTGTAGAAAAGGGTGTTTTTATTATAACATGTGTGTCCTATGACTGCCATAACTTTAATTATAGAAAAAACGCCTTGAGTGAATGTTGTAGACTTCAGCCTGAAATTCCTTTTGAAATGGAATACTTGAAATGTATTGCATGACAAATGTTGAATTGCTTGAATTTGTATCTTCTCAATGTTTTCATTTGAGCCAAAAGTCTCCACAGACCAGAGCTGAGATGTCATATTTGTACTCGAAAGTGCCAGACTTTGTTTCATGTGGTATTAAGAGGTGGACCAACAACTATGATCGATAAAGACTAATGTTGTGTCTGTTGGGTATCTGAGACGTTATAATAATCTAAAGGTCAGTAACATACAAGGTTGTTTTAAACTCTTTCCTTAGTTATGATTGTGATTGACTTTGAAGTATAGAGCTTGTTTTCAGTAATTCTGTACATGGCACATGCAGCTCTGCATTGCTGGTTCCTTTAGTTCTACAACAATAAATAGCTTTACAACATACAAAACACTCAACACTGCAACTTTAACAGTGGCTCAGATATAATGCCTGTATGTTCATTACATGGAATGAAATGGTGTAGGCAGAAATGTGCCTGTGTTTTCTCATTTCAAGGTGCTTCAGTAGCTGGTTTTGCAGATTGAAAGGCATTCAAGACGTCTACATTATTGGGTTGTTTTTTAATTGGGCTAATGATTATGTATAAAATCTGCCAATATGTGCAGCACCATCACAAATCAAAAGCACTACCCTTTCACTCTGTTTTTCCTTGTTAAAACTTTAATTTGTTTCTGTATTATACCCGTAAAGACCAGGACTAGATGGCCATGATTCTTACAGTGCTATGTGTGATAAGTGTAACCACTTGTTATGGAGTCATTTTTATAGTCTTTTTCACACCAGACCCTTTTTGTATTTGTACAGTGGCTTGGTGATACTGATATGTTGCCATGAGTAATTGTAACTGATTAAAAACAACTTTTAACCATAGATGTGTTTGTGGGCATGTTTAAAATGTTGGCCAACTTTATAACTGAAGAGGCCCCTCTTGTCTCCAAGGTCCAAGGAGATGATTCATCTGCTACTACATCACACATAGGATTTAGGTGAATTTAAAAATAAAGCAAGCCTTTATATAATATAGTTCCAGATTAAAAATACAGAGCTTTGCATCCATCCATTATCCATGAATTGTCAGACTGCCACCCACGTCACACAGCAAGTCTCTCACTGACATGGATCTACCACGGATCTGATCCTCCAGCAGGAGGGCTTCAGGCAAAGTGGGGTGAAGTGTCTTGCCCAAGAACACAACAGCAGACACCAGTGAGTCGTGAAGTAGGTCTTGTCGTGGGCTCGAACCCACAACTTATTTGTTTTAAGTTTATTAAAAACAAAGAATATACATAATTTCTTTTAAATCTCTGATTAGTCAAAGATTTTGACCAGCATTTTATCAGGTAGGCCTAAGGTATGACATTTTCAAAAACACTCCATTGCAAACTGTAACATTTTCACTAAGAGATCGACACATCATATACTTTTTCATTTTAATAATAAATAACCCAACAAAGCTTATATTTTTTATTGAAAATGTGATCAAACTTCATAGCTCATTGACTCAAGGCAGAGGAAAATTCACAGTACAGAACATATTAGTGTCTAACCCATGAGCTTGCCTGAAGAAGTGCAAACTCTAGATTACCAGAGGGAATATGTTCTGGCTAATGAGGTCCAGCGTTCAAACCATAGCGCCCCCCTGTGGGACTTTTTATCATAGATTTTGTGACAAAATACAAAGGGAGCAATTAAAAACAAAGTTAATTGTTTTGTTATTAGTCTTTGCACATTTATAAGAAATACAATCAAGAAAATTAACCAAAAATATCAGATTATCTGTTAGAGGCTAAAATATATTATAAAAATAAACATTTTCAGTGTTTGGATCTTTGTGGGCTTTTCAATGCTGTTGCTGCAGATATTGTTTTGTAAATACCTCCAACTGTTTCTCCAGATCTGTTGCTTTATGTCTGCAAAAAGAAATGTACTTTAGTTCAAAAGTATTGCATTAGTTTGAATAACGTACAAACTAACCGCAAGCTCTTGGAGTGCCTCTGAACAGTCTCCAGCTCATCGATCTTGAGATTGAGTCGTCTTATTTCTGCTTCCAGCTCTCTTTGCGTCTCGTCGACCTGCTTACAGAGGCGGGCAAAGGTTGTAGCCATCTCCCTGCAAACAAAGACATAAAACCAGGTTGGAGTATGAAGATGTCTATATGTAAATTAGGGTCATAAGGCTTTTAAGTAGTGTTTCTTTAGACACAGAACGTTTTGCGGAAGTTTTGTCTACTGCAGCAGCACCGCACGGTTTCAAAATACATTCAAAATAAATTCCAGGGGATCAAAAACAATTCTTTGGTTTAAATAACATTGGACTTCTACCCACTCCAATTCAAAACAATACTAGATTCTATATATTTCTGTCTTTTGGGACAATGCTGGAAAAAAAACAGAATTGGTATATCCTGCAACCTGCAACGTTTTGAGGACTTTTTGCTGTAAGTTAGTTAGTAACAATGAAAAGTGAGTTAAAAGACCTTTGTACTTAAAAATCCTTTGGCATGTCATAAATAAACAAGAGAGAAAAGAAACCTTGGGCACTATACATTAAAATGTTTTGGCCACAGCACTAAAACTGGATGGGATCTAACAGAACCAAAACTTACTGTTGGACCTGGTGACTGCAGTTTGCACTTGTGAAGCTGACAATCAGCTGCAGCTTCTCTGTTGCGTAGTCCACAAATTGGCGTTTTAATGAGCGCTCTTTGGCTTTCGTGGTCCAGGTTAATCTTTCGTAGAGATAGAGCAAACCATAGAGTGAGGCAGACAGAGCGATGAACCTCCAACCAACCACTCTGTAGATCTGAAAATATATATTACAACAAGCCTATGATACTTTTCTGGATATTTCAGGAACCTGTAATTAATAAATTAGACCAACATACCACGCCCCCTACAACAATCACACTCATGGATGTGCGGGAAGTAAGTGATGCCACGTTTGTTGCCATGGCTAACATCAGGTCATCCTGTGTCATTACAGCAGTTTGTTGGTTTGATGGTGCCACGATAGACGAAGGACCCGATGACGGGGTCTGGGCAGGAGGCAACGCTGGTTGAGAAGCCTGTGAAAGTCAAATTAGCAGGTGATATGTATTTTAGGTGTAATAAACTATATATTTATCGACTATTCACTACTAGTCACCTTAAACTTCTGGTCCATTAATGTGAGGGCTCTCTGTGCATTGACAGAGCCTAGGAAGCGATGAACTAATGATGTCCAGCCTAGAGAGAACTGAAACTCTATGTTTTCCTGGAAGTCATTGCAGATTGTGGCACAGTTTAAGTCGTAACTCAGATCAAACTTGCGGCTTGTCACCAGCATGTTGATTTGCCCCTGGACTGAAGATGGGAGGAGTGGAAGCATGCTCTCTGGAAACAATTAGACGAGGTTTAGAAGTTTGTGTTGGAATTCATTGTATATGGACATGAAAGTAACATGTACCGATCATGTAACTCTGACAAGCTTGAACGGAGGCAGTGACCGCATCAGAACAGCGGAAAGCCAGGTTTTTGCCCATTCCTTCTTCCACGTGAGTCAACAGCTCCTACAAGAGACTTTATTAGATGTCATGCATTTATTTATATACAAAAAGAGGGACGTTTACTAACAGTCTTGTAAAGCTTGAGGACGTGAGGTGAGGGATGGAAGTCTCCATGAAATTCATCGACTATCACATGTAAACGGCAGATCTCCTCCCCCATCGCACAGGACACCTAAATGATACACAGAAGTGACTAAAAAAGCTCATAACTGAAGCACTGCAAATCCACAAAGTACTTCAGTACCTTTGATTCAACATCTTCACTGATGGCTTTAATCTTCTTTTTTATCTCCTCAATAAGCAAGTTCAGCTGATTTCTAACAAAATCAAGTCGATCCATTTGGTACTCTCTATCCTCCATGGCCGCCACCCTAAAACCCCAAGCCCACACCAGTAGCGTCACATTAGGTAGTTTTTTTATTTTTATGACTGAACTAATAGATCTTCTATAACTTCATTCTTTACCATCTGACGTGAACAAATACATGAAAAAAGATTAAACTGTTTCCCACCTCTTCTCTGCCGCTTCAATGTTGATGGCATCCATGATGCTCTTGACTTTTTCTGTGATCTGCTTGGCCCTGATAGTGTGCTGTTCAAACTTTGTTTTCACTGCTGATTGCGAGATACACTCCTGCGAGGCCACAACACAAAACTTACTATGACACATACAGGCTGCACGAACTGGACAATGCCAGGGAACAAAACTGGCAAGATGGACACTTGCTACTTCAGGTGAAATTAAGACAGGGAAATAAAAAGAAAATTAAAAGTTTATAATAGTAGTAGCAGTTGTGCATCTTGTTTCCGGCAGCCAACAATGTGTCAGAGTATTAACAAATAATAAAAAACATGAAAATATTGTACCTAATACTTTGTAAATTAATAAATACACAAACAATAGGTGATGAAAGAAATTAAATCAGCCTTCGCCAAAGGGAATCTAGACTTCAGCAATGAAGACTCAGGTTGAGAGAAAGGGCACTTAAGTGACAAAAGTCCTGTTGGAGTGTCATCCATCCATCCATCCATGTTCTTCCGCTTCATCCGTTGCCGGGTCGCAGGGGCAGCAGTCTAAGCAGAGACGCCCAGACTTCCCTATCCACACACACACCTCCTCCAGCTCGTCCGGGGGGACCCAAAGGCGTTCCCAGGCCAGCTGAGAGACATAGTCCCTCCAGCATGTCCTGGGTCTTCCCGGGGTCTCCTCCCGGTGGGACGTGCCCGGAACAGCTCCCCAGGGAGGGGTCCAGGAGGCATATGGAACAGATGCCCGAGCCACCTCAACTGGTTCCTCTCGACGTGGAGAAGCTCCTCCCGTGTGACAGTGCTCCTCACCCTATCTCTAAGGGAGCGCCCAGCCACTCTGCGGAGGAAGCTCATTTTGATCGCTTGTATCCGCGAACTCGTTCTTTCGGTCATTACCCAAAGCTCATGACCATAGGTGAGGGAGGGAACGAAGATTGACCGTTAAATGAGAGCTTTGCCTTTCGGCTCAGCTCCCTCTTTACCACAACGGTCCAATACAGGGACCGCATCACTGCGCACGCTGCACCGATCCGCCTGTCAATCTCACGCCCCATCCTTCCCTCACTCGTGAACAAGACCTTGAGATACTTGAACTCCTCCACTTGAGGAAGCACTCCTGTTGGAGTGAAACTACAAAAATAACCCTGAAGACAGTTTAAAACTAAAGTACCAATCAGGTCAAAAGTCAAAGATTATCCTTAAAAGTAGACACCTGCATTTGATCAACCAACCACTGGATTATCGTATTGGCAACATTATAGGAAACAGATTGTAATTGTAGTCTTATGTCGTGGGACACCCAAGCAAACCTCAAAGCGCCGCTCAAAACACTTGAACTCATTTAGTCTTTCCTGAAAACCATCGGCCAATGCTCCGCCTGCAGAAGATCAGAATACATGAATGAAAACATGAACAGGACACAAAGACACTTAAACACAACTATGGGCCCTCACCAGTCTCAGGCATGCCCTGAGCCCGCTGCATACGGGAGTTCAGCACCTCTTTAGCAGAAACAAAGAAGATGTGATCAGGGGCCTTCTCTTTATCCACGACCTTCAACTCTTCCACCAGGAATTTGACACAGCGGTCCGTGTGCTGCTTTCTCACCTGGAACATATGCTCGTAAGTAAGTAATAACAATTTATGTCCCGTCAAAGTGTTTAACCATTTGAATGAAAAATATTATGTATGTATGATGAAATACAATGGGATGATAGACTCACATCATCCATGTACTCTGGTTCATTAGCAGAGGCATCCCAGCGGTTGTTCAAAATGAATATGTTTGGTTTGGACAGTTTTTCATTCACTTTATGGAAAAAGTGCTTTTCCTAGAGGAGTAAAAAAAAAAAAAAAAAAAAAAGATCATTACTTAACTGATATCTTTAAGTTCACGGCTCCTTTAACAAAGGTATTCATGTTAAGAGGCTGAGCCCCTGTTCACTTTGTTTAAATGCCAGAGTGGACTAACATGTACCTGCCTTATATCTAGCAATGAGTATTAGCATTTTCTATCTCCAAAAGCAAAAATATCAAAAGCCTTACCGTGTTCATAAGAGTGGACTCAGAATTAGCAACCAGGACAAAGACGTCAGCATCCAAACAAAACTTGTCAATCCAACTGTCTAGTTGTGTTGTAACATCTGTCCCTGGACTGGATGCAGATTTCAGATTATGAAAACCACAGACAAAACCAAAAGATGACAAGGACAAATGTCCTTTCTTTTACCTGTCGACAAGCACCAGATCATCTCTGAGTAAAGCACATTTAGTCTTTGGCCAAAAGACCCGAACGAGGCAGCCTGCATCCAGGCTCTCGTCCATGTGCAGCGCATGAGCCAGCTGGTTCACCGTCTGTACACAGGTTCCTTAGTCTTATGATCACAATTCAGTCATGAACCATTACAGTGTGTCTGTGTCGCTCCAGAATGTAAGTCACACTGTCATAATAACAGAAGTAACACCACACCAGACGCGCAATAGGATTTATACTGGTCGTTACCTTTATGCTCTTTTCCTCTTCAGACCCTTCAGTCTTCAGATAAGACTTGTCCTCGTCTGTGCCTTCCACACTTAGAAAACAATTGGTTGTGTGCCCTATACCACTTGGCAAAACTCTGTCCCGCAGCATGGCGTTAATAACTGTACTTTTACCATTACTTGTCCTGAAAACAAATAACAAGTTAATAGGAAAACGCTTTTATACACACAAACACACACCCACTCACATAAAAGGGTATAATTATACTATCATATTTTAATATAATAACAGGGTCTAAAACAATGTTGTATACAGTTATACTGGTTTACCTGCCAAAAAATGCCACTTTCATGTGTCTTCTTGCCAGCACCTCTTTAATGATCGACAGTTTTCTAGTATACGATTGAATCTCCAACTTTTGATCCTCATTTGCAATGCTTTCCAAAGACTTGTTTTCACAAGTATCTACAAAACAAGGAAATTAACAGTGTCAAATATAAAAGATCACATTTGTGAAAGTCAATATTCTTACTTTCAACAAACGCAGAGGTTTCTTTGACATAATCCAGTAGCTGGTCAAACACTTCACTGATCATCTTCTTGGCCAACACAAAATGTTTCAGGGGGGAAAACTCCCCTCTGGCCGAGTCTGTTCGTCTGAGTGGAGGAGCTGATGCCATTGTGATGGATCTGAGGACGGCAACAAGGTATAGAAAGAGAAGTAACAAATGATTCAACAAATATGAACATTTATGAATATGCCTAAATCTAATGGACAAGTGATCAGAAAGTACTATTTTATACTTCAGTTGTGGTGTAGATTTTTTGCCTTTTCTATTTTTAATACTTTTAAATGATGTATCTTAACTCTGGAACTTCTCATCCCTCAACAGGTTTAATTGATTTTATTTATTTTGAACCTGCAAAATACATATTTTTACATATTATCACAGACAAAATATACTTGTAAACTTGTTTAAAATAGCTTTTGGAAAACTAACAAACGGAATGTTTTTAACCAAATCTTTTTAATCCTCTTCATATTGACCTCAAAATAAAATATGACAAAAATGAACAAATTTACAAACCAAACAGAAATAAATTTTATACTCTGGGACAGATCTGAATTGTAAACTAATGAATGAAAGTCGAGTTGGCACAAATATGGATTTACCTTATATATTATCAATCATGCATTGCTTTTTAGTTTAGACCTCTACACACACACATGACAGTCTTGGGTGGGTTAGCAGCTCAGATTTCAGAGTTCCTCGAAATGTTTATGCTCCAGAAGCTGTTAAAGGTGTGCACAAATCTATTCACAATAGTCTGTATTGTACAAGATTTTAGTTCACATAGTTTAGTTTATTTAGTTCACATAATATGCACTGGTTTCCACACTTGTCCACACATGCATTATATTCAATATTTACACACATTGATCAGGCAGACTGGACCAACACAAGCAACTCACTAACGACTGTATGTTCTATAAACACGCACTGCAAAGACATCAGACCATAGACTGTATAGACATGGCTTATGCCTTAGCTAATGCGGTATACCATCATGGGTACACCATCATGCTAGGCTAACAAATGTTCTTTTTTTACAATTTAAAGTCCCTTACCTCGGTTCTTATCGACAGGACGTATCTCTCATAACACACTCTTTCAGCACGGTAAATAAGTATTGCTTTCCAGCCCAGATTCTCGCTGTCGCTACAACTAACCTTGCGTTTGGTTTGAGGCAGTGCATAAGCATAGACTGCATAAGCTAACAGTGAAAGACAGCGACCTTTCAAAATAAAAGCATTCTGACAGAGTCTGACTGATGCGTTTAGTCTACAGTCATAAACAGAACCATAAAATTGCAATATTATCTACATTCTGACCACACACATAACTCTCTTTGAGGGAGAGGGGGTTATCTAAAGTATTTTAACAGGCATTTTATTTTGTGAATTGCCATTACAAAAAAATCGTGTTTTGAGTGTGAAGATGTGTTCATGAGTGCGGTAATTGTAAACGCTTCTGTAATGCGAATACATGTTTGAATACGTATATTTTCATACAAATGAGAGCATATAATATATCTATATAATTTAGTTCTATAGAACATTATGCGCTTGACTAAAGAGCAAAGAGGTGAGAGCAGTGAGGTTTAAGTGCAGGCAGACCTGCACCAGCCAATCACAGAACAAAGAATGCAACCAGCCTCTGTGCTGTGCAGGCTGTGTTTATTGAGAACTTCACACGACATTCATAAATCTAACATGTAAGGAACATAGCCAAAATTGTCAGATGATTAACTAAACAGTACTTAGTGTTAATACTTTACTGTTTATTGTTACCTTTTATTTCCGAGTGTTGCTTTTTTTTATGTTAAAATTAGATTTCAGGATTACCAAATTAAGATTTTTTTTACTATTCATTGTAAAAAGTCAACACCACAAAGAATCTCAATTTAATGATAGTTCCCTGGGGTTGTCTGGCCACCTCAAGGATTATGTTGTCACATTGGTTTGTTCGTCTAGTTTTAGAACATGCAACTGCACTTCTTGGCAGGGTTCTATGCTCTACGAGTGGCTGTATGTCCGTGTCTTTGTAATTACCTCTTTTCCTCCATCCCCTTTTTCTGTTTTTGCCATGGCTTTTACATCAGCTTCAGCCTCTGTATCTCCAGGTAACTTCTAATCCTTTCACTACATGCTATTTTGAGTTCCTTCAGAAGTCTCTCCTTTAATCTACTTCTGTTCATTAATTGGCAGTTTTATAATATAGGGTAATGATGATCTATGACACTTTTTTAAATTCAGTCTATATTTTTTAACATTTTCTCAAATAAACAATTTTATGAGGGACTCATTTGATTTGATACAATAAATAGCAACATATCATCATTGTATACACATTTATTTTTCAATGGCATGCAATTCAAATCAGTATGTACATTGTACATATTGTACCTATATCTCAATCCGTGGGTATACATCTGGAAATAAATACTAATCAGTCATAGACAGCTGGTGGCTTATTGTTGTTCACATTTTTGTTTTCCAGACTAAGGTGAATACAAAGAGGTGAAGAGGAAACGCCTCTTTGTGTCTGTGTGTGACCCTGTCCCCTCTCACCGGCACTCTGCTCCGTGGACACTGAAATACACAGGACATCAAGCTTGTGACCTGGTTTTGGAATACTGGAACATTATCAATTTTGTTCTCTTAATTTTGGAAAAAACTTCTACAAACGCTCTCCAAACACTTTGTTTTTTAAAGGTATACGTGGACCAAACATGGATATGGATTAAAATGGTGAGGAAGAAAAAGCTGCTTGTGTTTGAGTAAGTACAATTTTAATGTCCACTCTATCTCTTACATTATGTTTCATGATTTCCTTGTATTATCAATAATATTTTGTGTATTTTCTTTAAAAACCAAGCAGGTTTAGCTGATACATATAGGTAAAATAATATGTGGCTACTTTCTTTCAGTGTAGCATCCATTAATAATGAGGTCTATTAGCAAAAGGCTCTCCTGGACTGATGCTGGTGTCCAGATATGTAGAGAGAGAGACTTCATATAAACATTACTGGCCAAAAACCAGAAATCCTTATTGAAAAATAACTGAAGGGGAAAACATTTTTTCTGTCAGCTTCCTCATTGTGTCAGTGCCATTGTAGTTCAGCTAGAATGAATTGTCTGTGTGTTGTGTATTGTATATGCGTGTGCGGTTAGTCTATACATTGACGTTTTTCTTCCTTTTAATCGTCTATAGATTCAGTCCTTCACTCAAACCTCTGCAACAGACTTGATCTATGTTATTCTTTTCCAACTGGAGGTACTGTGGAGTGTGTGAAATGATGAGTGTCTTTTTTCTCACAGTGTTTGTGGAAGCATGATGTGGGATGGATAAACAACAACACTTTGCTGTGAGTTATCAGTGTCTATGTTGTACGCCTAAAAAACATCATCTTTGGTTATGCGAAAATCAAATGAAAATTCACATGTGATCGTTTTAGTAGTGATGTCACACAAACTCCTGATTGTTCGCAGATGGCCTCCAATGACCCTGACCTTTCTGACCCGCCTGGTGACCCCCAGCCAGGTGACCTCATTGAGATCTTCAGACCAGCCTATCAGCACTGGGCTCTCTATCTGGGAGATGGATACATCATCAACTTGACTCCTGTTGGTTAGTTGCCAATATAAACAGTTAAAAGCCCAAATATGCATTATTCTCTCATCATTTTAAATAACCACAATAGTTTGACTCTGAAATGCCGCTGTTCTTCCAGATGAGAGCCAGGCCGCTGCCATGTCCAGTGTGAAGTCTGTCTTCAGCAGGAAAGCAGTGGTCCGCATGCAGCTGCTTAAAGAGGTGGTTGGAAGCGATTCATATCGGGTCAACAATAAATACGACCACAATCACACTCCTTTGCCTGTATCCGAAATCATCGAGAGAGCGCAGGTGCTGATCGATCAGGAGGTGTCCTATGACCTGCTGGGAAGTAACTGCGAGCACTTTGTTACTCTTCTGCGATACGGGGAAGGGGTCTCTGAACAGGTCTCTCTCTGTTTATTATTACTTTGCTTTTCATGCTCATTGTCCATGACCTTATAAAGTAAAGTATGACATACAATCTTGATCTTAATTGTTATGTAGCCTTTGATCAATAAAATAGTACAGAACAATGTTGTCCTCAGTAAAATGCAGGATATTGTTCTTTCTATCCCCACAGGCTACACGGGCCATTGGGGCCATCAGTTTGGTGACAGCCGCAGCCAGTGCCTTCTCAGTCCTGGGACTGATCAACACACGATCCAGGAACAGGCCTTTCTGAGCTTTTCACCAAAGAAGTCCAAATTACTAATAAAATGTTGTTGAAATAATATGAACCATGTTGTATTGAGCTTTCTCTCTCTCCAAAAATCCCATGACCTTTAGTTTATTAATTATAGCTAATTATAAGATATTTTAAGCATGAACATTTGAGTTCTCTATATACTGAGATCCCCACTGAGGGATGAATAACAGTTGACTTCTCTTTATGACAGTTTATTGTCTTGTTCACCATTGTCACTCAGAGGAGTAATCGTAGCAACAGGCTTCTATCAATGCGCTGCCGAACGGAACATTTTACTGTAAGAGATCCTTTGTTCCTTCGGCTGTCAGACTGTACAAGAGACCTGTATAAGTAAAAAATATGCACTATTGTTAGATAGTTAGTTAGAAATGTTAGTTATGTTTATAATTTATGAACTCATGTGTTTATATTGATGTGTTTTCTGCTGCTGGACACCTGAATTTCTCCTAGAGGGATCAATTAGTATCTATCTATCTATCATGGTGAATAAAACAGAATCAGAATCATTTTTATTGCCACGTAAGTAACAGGAGGTCACAGACTTGGAAATTGCTTTGGCTCAGTGCAACAGTCAGAAAGAGATAATAAAAATAAGAATAAAAACACTTCTAAAGAATAAATTTAAATTTAAAATAGAGTTACAGTTACTATTTACAATATACAAGTGCACATGGTGCACACAATGTGGCTCCCCCAGTTTCTAATGTACTTCAGTCTTAGAGCAGCACTTTCTTCCCTTTGTCTTATTTTGCTTTAGTAATACAATTTTGAAGCTGAAGCAAGGATTTCAATATTTTTGTAAAACGTTGGTTTATTGTTGCCCATTAGTATATAGATATGTGTGTGTGTGTCTATTTGTGTGTGTGTGTGTGTGTGTGTGTGTGTGTGCGTGCGTGCGCGGGTGTGTGCGTGTGCGTGTATACGTGTATGTGTGTATGTATGCATTTATTATCACTGTTGTGTAAGTATATGGAGTGTATGATTAAGGCCAAGTGTCTTTGAGTGTTGACAAAAGGGCTATAATATCCATACATTTTTAAATGTATTTTATGTCCATAATCATGCGGCGCTGCTATTACGTTTGGGTTCAAAACTACAATTTTAGTAGTAGTCGACAGTAGACAGTAGATGGCGACAAATCAACATTAACCATTAACCAAGTCGCGGATGTGACGTAGATTGAGTGCGACGCTTTTTCCACACGTGTTGACGACTCTGTAACTGCGGAAAGTAATTCATACAAGAGATTTGCGTCAAACTCCACAGTCTACTGTAAACATGGGGAAGAAACTCAAAGTCGGAAAGACCCGAAAAGATAAATTCTATCACCTTGCCAAAGAAACGGGTAAGTTAACCGTACATATTGGGTTGACATTACCTTTTGTGAAAATCAAAGTTTAGCATCACGATTGTATAATTTAATATGTATCGTTACAGGTTATCGTTCACGTTCCTCTTTCAAACTTATTCAACTTAATCGAAAATTCCAGTTTCTTCAAAAAGCCCGAGCTGTGATTGATCTTTGTGCTGCACCAGGAGGATGGTGAGCCTGTTTGACATTACTAAATGCAGTTTTTCTCAATAGTTATCAAGATTAAATACAAATGAAAATGCTTCCCCTTAGCCGGTTAATTTTGTGCACATTCTGTTATCTGTGACCTGTTTATGTTTAGGTTGCAGGTGGCATCAAAGTTCATGCCAGTTTCGAGTCTTATTATTGGTGAGTGTGTGGTTTTTCACGACAATTGCACTGTTAAAGGTCATTGTTAAAATAGATATTGATGTAATCTTGTTATTGCAGGAGTTGATCTTGTGCCGATCAAACCCATTCCCAGCGTGGTGACACTTCAAGAAGACATCACTTCAGAGAAATGTAGACAGGTGAGCATAACTAGAGTCAAAATCAAAACTCTCCGGCTTTGACTGTGCACTAAAACATGGCATGCTTTTTTGTCCAGGCCCTTAGAAAAGAGCTCCAGACTTGGAAAGCTGATGTTGTGCTGAATGATGGAGCTCCCAATGTTGGTGCTAATTGGCAACATGATGCCTTTTCACAAGGTAAGTTCAAAGATTTCAAGATTTACTAAAGCAAATGGGTCATATTTCACTTGTTGGTGTTTCAATATTGTCTTGTTTATTTCCAGCTCATTTAACACTTATGGCTCTGAAACTTGCCTGTGAATTCTTGAACAAAGGAGGAACTTTTGTGACTAAGGTTTTCCGCTCTAAGGACTACCAGCCTCTGCTTTGGATTTTTCAACAGTTTTTTAAAAAGGTGCAGGCCACAAAACCCCAGGCATCCAGAAACGAGTCAGCTGAAATCTTTGTTGTCTGTCAGGGTAAGTTTGCAACTGTTTGCATTTACATTTAAAATAAAATGGAAAGTTCCATAAGTAAGCTAAGGATTTTTTTCCTGTAGGTTTTCTTGCACCAGACAAAATTGACAACAAGTTTTTTGACCCAAAGCATGCCTTCAAAGAGGTAGATGTGCAGGCTAAAACTGTAAAGGACCTTATTTCTGACAAAAAGCCAAAGGTTTGTCTTGTAATATTTACAAATTAATATTTCCTTTAACATTCTGTTTATTTCACAATGTTTGTTTTTCCTTCCAGGCTGAAGGATATGCCGATGGCGACTTGACACTTTTTCACACTTTCTCTTTGACTGCTTTTCTCAAAGCCGAAAACCCTGTAGATTTTCTGTCTAAAGTCAGTGAGGTAAGACAGTCGGGTAACGTGGACGATGGCTGATTGTAATTACTGAAGTAGAAATCACTGGGATTTTGCTTTTACATCATATGCTTTTGTATTCCAGATTACAATCGACAACCCTGACCTCGAGGCTCATTCAGCCACAACAGAAGAGATAAAAGAGTGTTGTCGTGACATCAAAGTGTTGGGGCGGAAAGAGTTGCGGTAAGACTAAAGGGGCGTTCACACCGGACTTAACTTCGGCGTCAAAAGCGTCAGGTTTGCATTGAAAGTGAATGGTGAAGCGCGTCAGGTGAAAAGTTGCGCGTAATACGCACTCACTTGAAGCTTTTGACACGCGTAACGCTCGCGTATCAAAACAATCCCTTTTCAATCCCTTGAGCTTTTGAAGCTTTGACGCGGGCTTCAACCAATCAGGAGACGAGGAGCAGCAGCAGCAGAGGGTCTGTCTCTGTCATGGAGAGAAGTCATGAAACTGCTGCTGCTGTTTTATTGTCATTATTGTTATTAGTAATATTATTTGTATGAGTAGTAACGTTCTGAGTAACAAAAACCATTGTACACATGCTGTGTAGTAAACGTAGTTTATTTAATATAAGAACAGGCTGACGATGAGTCTGGCTCAGAGCAAGGCAGCTCCGGGCGGGCGAGAGCCGGGGAGAGGCGGGGAGCGAGAGGCGGGGAGCGAGAGGCGGGGAGCGAGAGGCGGGGGGCGAGAGGCGGGGGGCGAGAGGCGGGGGGCGAGAGGCGAGAGGCGAGTGACATGCGGAAGTACAGCTGAAAGCAAAACTCCTCCGTACGCAGCTCCTGGAGTAAATGACGGAACTCTGCAAACACTGCAGCCTCTCAAGTCTGTGGTGAACCCAGAACATGTTTTGTTGAAGCCCTACAACAACGTTATTTTGCTTTATATAACAAATAAAGGCTCGCTGCTCATTGAAAAATCCACCGCTGTCCTGACTACAGGCAACAGAGAAGCTCCTCCCACCGGCGTCAGGCGCGTCACTCGCGTCAAAAGCTTCAAGCACCAAAATGACAAAACTATCCCGGCGTCAGTTGAAGCGCGTCAAAAGCTTTTTGAAGCTTTTGGTCTGAACGCGCCTTAAGAGACAAAATACCATGATCACATTTTTATTTTGTATGTATTTTACTGATAAACCTTTTTCTTTGGTGAGATGAAGATATTAGTGTCTGTCTCTGTCATTGTTTATGCCATTATTATCTTTTGGTCATCTTGTCTATGCAATTGTTGATACATCAGATGCACTGTGAACATTCAAACAAATTTTTCATCTGGATATGATAATCATCTTATCTTATCCCCAGACTGCTGCTTAATTGGAGGACTAAGCTTCGGAGATATTATTCCAAGAAACTCAAAGAACAAGCAAAGAACCCGGATCAGGAAATAAAGTAATTTATATAGAATTCATCAATGTTGTGTTTGTATATGTTTTAGTCACATTGAGAACAATTTGTATAATCGTTCCTTTTACCCCAGCTTAAGTTCTGATGAAGCTCAAAGTGACTCAGACGAAGAGGAGGATAAGAAGAAAGCCGAGGATGAGCCGGTGGACAGTGAAGAAGAAATGGATAATAAATTGGCTGAGCTGAAGGCAGAAGAGGTGTCTGAGCTGAAAAGGTTTGTCAAATGTTTTTTTTTTTTCATTTTAAGCTGGTCTATAATCTGACAACCAGACTCACATCTAGATATTTTGTATTTGAACTATTAGAAAGAAGAGAAAGATTCTGAAAGAGCGAAGGAAGCAAAGGGAACGCGTGGAGCTGAAAATGGACTTGCCTGGTGTATCCATTGCTGATTCGCATGACGCCTCCTTGTTCTCCCTCATGACTGTCAAGAAGAAGAAAGTGAGGAGGAGGAGGATTGGCTGGGGCTGCTTTGGTTTTAGGTCTTTAAGTCTGACCCTGTACAATCTTCCTTTTCTCAGGTGCTTTCTGACGTATCTAAAGGAGACATGCTCGCAGCTGATTCCCTGGGGGACGGACAGGACGACATCCATCTTTCTGACCTTGACGACGACGATGATGATGCAGATAAAATGTCTTTGGCCTCTGATCTCGATGATGACGACCTAGAGGAAGTGCACCAGCAAGAAAAAGTGCTTGAGAAAAAATCACAAAAGAAGTGAGATTTGAATGCCAAAACAATAGACATTTTCTAGTGGTGTGTTTTTGTTTACATGTTTCTGTCTTTTGTTATAGAGTGAAGTTTGCAGAAGAGGAGCCTGAAGATGATGGAGATGAAAGTGGTTTGGTGGTTGAGTTGGAAGACAAAGAGGAAAAGACTGAACGAGAGACCAACTTGTGGTTTAGCAAGGTCTGTATTTATAATGATAATAAAAAATTGCATTGTATAGTTTCACATGATTAATTTAATGTATATTTATAGGGCATCTTCTCTGAGATTGATCTGGAAGCAGATGCAGAGGCAGAGGTGAAGCATACTGAATGGCTACAAAACAAAAAAATTGGTATAACAAAATCAGATTAATAGTTTTTAATGTTGAGTTTAGCTGGAATCTTATTGTTGCAACTTGTCTGTCAAGCCAAAGGCAAGAAAAGAAAGCACGAAGAAGAGAAAGAAGTTTCTACAGCTATAGTAGATGAAGCTAAACCTGCGCCGGTGGCCGAGGACAGTCACAGCGATTCTGACGATACCGATGATGAAATGTAAGTTACTTTACTAATGATTGTTGTACTCGAGTTTGTGTATAAAAAGTTTAAGTGTATTATCACGTCAATTCAATCATGTACGCCAAATCAGCCCATGCCAGAAATCCTGATGGTCTCCAATTAAGCATTTTAGTCTAATACTTAATTGGCGTATTAGATTCAAATAACTGCGCTAAAATAAACCATAAATGCATTTTTACAGGCAGATCACAAAGATGAAGCAGGCCAGTGGGGCGGCGGGACTGTCCACTGAAGCAGATGAACAAGAATTTCAAGTAGTTCCTGTAGAGAGCACCAGTAAGACATTTATACAGGTTTTAAGATGCACACAGATGCAGATCTTGAACTTCCTTTCAAATGTATTTAATTCCCCCTCCCCCAGGTAAACGGTCTCAGATTTTGGATGCTGAGGGCTTGGCTTTGGGCGCACAGATTGCAACATCAAAAAAGAGAGCCAGAGATCTTGTAGATGGTTCCTTCCACAGGTAATGGTATTTTCTACTTATGCATCGGCCTGATTAGCGATACTAATGGCTATCCATGATTTTAAATATCGTATTTAAACCAGGCTCTGTGATTTCTGATGTCAGGTTTGCTAGCTCTGATGAACCCTGGGAGGTACCGGAGTGGTTTCTGCAGGATGAGCGGAAACATAGGAAAAAGCCAGTGCCTGTCACTAAAGAAATGGTGGACGAGTTTAAAGAGAAGTGGAAGGAGATTGATGCAAGACCCATCAAACGTGTTGCTGAAGCCAAAGCCAGAAAGAAGAGAAGGGTACAATTTCATAATTATATGCACATGGTTAATGGAAATATCAAGTCAATATTTAACTATAAACATGGTCTAACAGATGATGAAGAAGATGGAACAAGCAAAGAAAAAAGCTGAGGCTGTTGTCAACACGGTCGACATCTCTGAAAAGGAGAAAATGGCACAGCTGAAAAAGTAGGACAACTTTTAAAAGGCCTATATCTCCTGTTTTTACAGAATATGGATTTAATGGATTTTTGTTATTTTCAGTATCTACAAGAAAGCAGGCCTGGGAAAAGAGAAAAAACAAGTAACATACGTTGTTACTAAAAAAGGAGCTGGAAGAAAAGTCAGACGACCTGCAGGTGTGAAAGGGGTCTTCAAAGTGGTCGATGGTCGGATGAAAAAAGATACTCGAGGAATACAGAAGAAGGAGCAAAGAACAAAAAGCAAAGGTGGAAAAGGAGCCAAAGGAACCAAAGGACGCCCAGGCAAAGGGAAAGCAAAGGGTGGCAGGGGACAAAAAGGAAAGTGAACTCTCCAGGGTCAATAGTGCGTTTTTCACGATCGCAGCCGTTGAGCTTTAGTGGACTGTGGACTGAGCGATGAACTCGATGAAATTAAACTAGAGTTGCGTCTTTCTGAAGATGGATCTCAAAAACTGAACACTGGGCTGTGCATTGGGAGATGTAAATGTGTGCTTCAACTGTAAATATTATTGTGTTTAATAAAATATAGAAAGATTACATTTGTTATTTCACTAATGTAATGCTCAGTGAAAAGAATGTTTGGATTGTATCAAGTTGATCAACAGCTGTAAACCAAAGGAGATACATTGGTTTTCTAGACAGTGGTAGAGCATTGGCCTTTGGACTTTAAGGTCGTAGGTTTGATTCCCCCACAAGACTTATTCCAACTGTTCCCACTCATGTCTGCTGTTGTCGTCCTTGGGCAAAACACTTAACCCCACATTGCCCGAAGCCCCCGCTGACGGATCAGCAGCCATCTACCTGTGCACTCACCACCTGCAGGAGGGTCAGCGAGAGACTGGTGCTATGAGCATTGGGTGGCAGCTCTAATTGACACCCCCTAATTGATAACTGCACAACTTGTTTTCTTGTGTGTAATCCACCTTTTCTTTTAAATATTTGTTAAAAGAAAAGGCACATTTGAACCCCGAGGTGTGATGACATTCAGCACATTATGGTTATTGAATCAAATCCGTGAGGAAGCTTCATGTGAATCACTGAAAGCCAGGCTATCTCATTTCACTGCAGCTACTTGCTTGGATTCCACGTAGTGAATAATAGTAAAAAGGGTTTGACAGATTTCTAAACGCCTGGTCCGTTCAGTTTGGAGCATAGACTGTAGTTATTTTTACTATAGATCCATGAGAAGTCCCGGACAGTGACAGATGCCAACATATCCCACAAGTCTTTGCGGTTGCTGTGATCAGCCGTAAACATGGCCGTAAAGTGTCTTGTTGTTAAAACTGCTGAAAACTCCTTCCCTACTGCTGCTGTCATGGAACATTGTTTTAGTTTCACTTTCTCGCTGCCAATGCTAATGCTATAATGTTAGACACTTTAGACAGAGTGTGTGTGCTGCTTTACGGAGTCTAAACTTTGCTGGTGCGTGTTGTAAATTCTCCACTTGTATAATCCAGCAGGAGAAATGCAGTTCCGTGTTCTCTTGAGCTGCTGCTGGCTCTGTGCTCTGGCCGCTACGGAACTACAGCAAGAGGACGATGAATGGATTGACCCTTATGACATGCTTAACTACGACTCCACCACGAAGTCCATGAGGAAACCCGCAGAGGTCAGGCCATGATCTCACAACACAGACCAGGACTCAGTAGAATACCTTTTTATACCCATTTAAAAACTGTGGTACCTAATCTAACTATGTATCTGACTCTAAAATCTAACTAGAGATGGCTGAATGAAGTTGGTCCTTCAGCTCTCTGCCCAAAGCATTAAAAAGTGACTCACAGGGCTCAATCTGACAAAGCTTTTCTTCTGTGCATTAGTGATGTGGGTTGTTGTCTGTCCACTGGTGCACCATTGTTCATTTGGATGCTTGTGTGTACAAATGTGTACCGTTTTAAGCTTGGAAGGAACAAATAAGTAAATAAAAATAAAATAAATACAGATAATCTTATTTGGTCGTAACATTTTACTTTCACCATAAAATTACACAAATGCGGTGTTCTGAGCAGAATGCTGTTCATATAATAATAATAATAAATCATGATGCTTTGTTTTTACACTTTTCAAAAACAGTGTTTACAAAGCGCTGCACAGTCAGCAACAACGATTAGACATAGTCGAATAAACAAAGAATGTATTTTCCATTTGCAGTAAAACCATATTGGAAAAACTTTGCAAGACTACCCCTGTGTGCACCAGAAGCAATAAAAACAGTCAATAAACCAGTCATAATGATAGAAAATATCAAACACAAGAGAATAAGGCAGACAGACGGCACATAAAGACAAAAAAAAGGCAATGTAGAAAAGTAAAATACTACTTGTTTTATTCCAAACTGTGTGGAGAAGCAGAGAATCACAGACTTCTGCACACTGATGTAATGACCAACTCAAATAGTCTTATGGAAAATATCAACCAAACAGAAACATGTCCTGTCAATCAATGGGTCAACCATAACAGGGCTTGACAAATGCTTACCCAAACCGACTTGTTTGAATTGCAAGACGGTGATATTGGATCACGTTAAAACTGCAGAAATGAGATAATATGAAAAGAAAATGGCTTTGGCATTTTATTTGATATCCTAGCTAGAAAATCTTCAGTGATGGTTGATGAATAAACTGGTTGAAAAACACTGATATTCAAGCCAGATCAAACAATATGTTTAATCAATATTGTCTATTACAAAGGAAATGTCAAGACCTGCCATTTTTTTTAATTTTTGCTTCACATCTTCTCACTTCTCACTAACCCGTTTTCAGCTGAATCAATTCAAAACCAAATAATTAGTTGACTGTTACATCGTGTGTTCTCACTCACTAATGGTTTTTGCTCTTTCAATAGTCCTCCAACTACCCCAATGTGCCCACCAAAAGAAGAGGAAACCCTGCGGAAACAAACGAGCCGAATGAATGCAGCCAACATGTGCAGTATTTACAGAAACAGGTCAGTTTATTAAATGCCTTTTGATCCAGTTTGAGGGTCTTCATACGGTGGAACTTGATGTGTATCTTTCAGAATCAAGACCATCAGAAAAGGATTACCATGTTAACTCAGCAGCCTACATGTAATCCTGTGTTCAAGAGATTCCTCAGCAGAGTTGTAAAGGAAGTTGAAAGAGTTGGTTTGGTAAGTTGGTATTTAATGGTTTGCGGATTTTGTCTTAAAGTCATTACAATTAAAAAGTACTTACCAAGATATAACACTACTTTTTACTTCTTGTATTGGGTTAAATGTTTACTTTTTGACTTATTATGTATCTGCTTGAGTCTAACTTTCATACTACAAACTAACAAATGTAACCAAATCAATGTAATTAATTACTATCTCTAATTTTCACATGTACCAATCTGCATTTTTGGCCTCTTTCACATCCTTAGATCAATGTTTTCAGACAGAAAAGTAAAAAAAGAAACGATCACCCTCACTTAGCACAACAACTCTCAGCCCCAAGTGTCAAATGTTGACTCCCCGGGCTCTTTTCTAGTATACATGCAAGTATGCAAACAAGATTTAGACAGCCTGTTGTGTTCTGATTTGTTCACATCATTTTACCTAAGACGAGATACATTGTTTATAAAAGAAAATATGTCAGGTACTCCAGCTTTAATTGAATCCACTGTTTTTTGCAGCCCCCTGACTCTGCAGAGGCTGTGTATGATGCCCAAATAAAGCTTTCCAAACAAACTCTGGCAGAGATCAGGGCTTTGTTGGATGGTGAAGACAGCTGGAGGACTGGGGCTCTGGACAATGCCATCAGTCAGATCCTCACTGATCTCCGTCCACACAACTATGAAGCCTGGAAGTGGCGTTTTGAGGACACATTTGGTGTAGACCTTGACACACTATGGAAGGTAAAAACGTGAGAGATTTACTAATTAGTTTGGTTTTGTATAATGTCTCAATGTTTTCAGAGCACAATGTGTGTCTTGGTGATTGTTGCCATCATTAGCACTCCGCTGTGGTCTGCTGTCTCCTGGTTTGTGCAGTTCAGGAGACTATTCGCTGTCTGCTTTGTGATTAGTATTGTATGGAACTGGTTATACCTTTATAAGGTAAAATATCCTCTCAAGGTTTATTTTAAAACACTGAATATATTGAGCCTTTTAAATATTGTGCTCTTCTTTCAGATAGCATTTGCAGAGCACCAAAGTAACCTTGTCAAGATGGATGTTGTTAACCAAAAATGCACAGGAGTAAAGAAAATTGACTGGAGTGACAGTTTGAAAGGTAATCTATATGAAAGTTTGAATCATTTAAAGTGAATTAAAGTTGATTACTTTTGGTAGAGTGGTTTAGAACCACTTGGACCTTCCAGGATGACCCCTGTAAACAGTACTATGAAGTTCTCATGGTAAACCCAATATTGCTGGTGCCTCCAACCAAGGTGCGTCTTTAATTCATGTTAATATAAACTCTGAATCACAGTACTGTACTTCTGGTTTTTATCATGTATTTTTTTTTAATTTTAGGCCATTTCTGTAACTATCACAACTTTTATGACGGAACCACTAAAGCATTTTGGTCAAGGAATCAGCGAGTTTCTTAGGGCCCTTCTTAAAGATCTACCTATCCAACTGCAAATCCCTGTTCTTCTTACTATTGTGCTCTCCATACTGGTGAGGAGGAAACTTTTTGTGAGTAATCAGAAAAAGAGTTGTTTAACGTGTATGCCCCCAGGTGGTTATGTATGGAGGCGTGAATGCAGCCTTCCAGCATGGCATCACTGCACCTTTCCGTCGTCAGAGAAGGGACCCTCCTGGTCGACTTGAGCCTCCTCCAGAGCGCCATGTGCCTCGAATTGATGGGGGAGGGGATGCACCGTTTTATCAACCACCGCCACTACAAGAGGGGCACCAGGGCTATGGGGATGGAGGTAGGGATGGAGGTGGGAACCAAGTCCGCCAACGCCCTTTTAATGGTCAAGAGCGGAAGCAGAAGATCACTGTTCAGAACGTGGGAAATCTGGATCACAGCAGAGATGAGATGGACGGAGACGCACATGATGCTCCCTCAGAATCACAACTGCCCAGTAATCAGTCCAGTGCCGAGTCTGAACCAGAGGGAAATGTGTCCATGGAACCGGCTGCAGTGAATACACCTCAGGAAAAAGCTAAAGAGACATTAAATAAGAAACCTTCAGGTGACAATGCAGAAATCACAGAAGCTGCAGTAAAAGTGCCATCAAAACATGAACCGCCACAAATGAAAGTAGAACGGGTAAGTTAATCTACTACTGGAGTTGCTTCACCTCAAAGGCTGATATGAACATGGTTCCTGTTTTGAGTATATTTGAAACGTTACTAATGCATTGATGGCACAAAGTCACATTTTTGTTTTTGTTCATTTCTAGAAACAAGATTCAAGTGAAAACGATCGAAGTCCAAATGTGCAACTCATCGAAAGCATTGGACATCCTGTCCAGGAAACAGCACCAGAAGCTGTGCCGTAGAAGCTGCAGCTGATCAAGATGTTTTAATATCTTCATGTATAGGAGAGTTTGACCAATCCCTTTTTTGATACTTTGCTCTCACAGGGTTTTTGTATTCATATCAAATCTGTAATGTGATCATGTGATCTGAAAAAGCCAAAACACAAGCCTGTTTAAATGAACAGTTGCTCTGTTTGTAATACCTCACTTGTTGGCCTGCAAGTGGTCTGTTTTTATATAAGATTATGTCTAATGTAAACAGTTGTTGGTTTTATACAATAAATCATTTTTTCCATTATTGTTTCCTTGTTACTCCTGTGCTGCTTGAAGATAGTACAAAACAATGCTATAAAAGGCAGAGGTGGCAAGTAATGTAAGTATTAACCGAAGAACTGTAGGCGACTGCACATCAGTAAAACATGAAGGCAAATTAATTTATTGTGATTAATAATCCTTTTAGAATAGGGTAACAGCTGGACTGATCATGAAACATAGATCACAGGATCACTTAACTGTCCATACAAAAACTGAACTTGGAAAGAAAACATTCCATCTCAAACATTTAATCACTTTCTGCCACTTTCACTTTTTATTTTGTATTATTGTAGGTTGTGTGTTTTGTTGTGTGTTTGAATAACAGTATGTCACTTGTACAAGTAACAATACACACTATTTCTTTTTTCATTAAGGTTCTCCAAGTATTTTTTTCCATGATCAGAAAGAAGTAGCTATGAAGATATAATTCTGATGCCAACTATATAAAATGAGAATATGAAAACAACATACGTTATATTTAAGATATTTGTTTGACTTTTTATATAAATGTATTTTATTATTATTATTAATGCAAACAATACAAACCAGTACCTTACTTAATCTTAACACAAAATAAAAAGTCATACAAACGTACAAAATAAAAATAAAAAGGGCGCATGATCTCAGTCATCTGTACACATAATGGTCACTTCAATGAAAGTTTTATGGAGTTCTTCGCATTGATAAGAATGAGCGATTTATGAAATTATTCAAACTCATTCCTCCAATGGACAAAAACTGCATTTATGAACACTTTTTTAATTTTTTTGCGAACACTATCAGATTATTTACACCAAAAGTCTTTTCTTGTGTGAGTGTGTTTCGGACGCGGCCTGCGGACTGCGCGTGCACTTCCTGATTGGCTGAAGTCGGCGCTCCTCCGGTCACGCTTATCACACTTTGCAAACCTCTTCTCACTTCACAGGATCATGGAGCTATTGGTGCGATATTTGGACAGGAGAAACTCTGTCAGGTAAGCCTTTTCATAACGTGGCAATGACAACTATGTCTTTACAAAGCTCTAATCTTTACTTCATTACTTCAAATCAGGTGTTTGCTTTATGAAGAAGACATAAAGAAAACAACATCTCTGAAACACCAATGCTAACTTTACCTGACGTGGCTAGATTTGACCTTTCTCCTCTTGTCCAAAGCACGTTTAGCTACTTTCATAATAGTGGTTACATTTAGTCTGTGTGAGGGAGATAAAGTGATATCAACAAGTTCAGAACGCCCAAACACTGTACAAACTGTCTCATATTTACTCTAACCTTGGACTTAAACCAGGGAGCAACATGAATGCAGCCTGTGTGCTCTGGAAACATTGATTCAACACCAGAAAGAAAGTGCTGACTGAATATTTTTCACAGTTTTACTTCTACATTTTACATGCAAAAGGAAAGCTCCTCTTCTGTCTTCAGTCAAAGCCCAACTTTGAAACCACAGAAAGGGAACTACCTACTGAAATCCATCTTCCTCCCTCTGTTGGGACCAACATCATGGGTTATTTTTGAGAAAAAGGAACCCCAAGAAACGTTATACATTCTTTTTTGGATAATTACTAATTTTCATGTTTTAGAATGTGAAATATTATTTCAATTATATGATGAAATGAGTATGATGGGCTGAAATCTCTCCCTATGCTTTTCAAAATTAAAAATTACCTGCTGCAAACACAGCCATACAATTTTAATAAAAAAAACTGTAATGTCATAGCGTTAGAATGGCATTATACAGCACAGAGTCAGGAGAATTTCCTCATATTAGCATATATGGATCTAAGAACAACTCCAGGACTGATGTTGAAAGTTGTTCAGTAGTTCATTTGGTAAGTGTGTATTCTCTGAGCTGAAGGTTGGTTAGAATCCTGATCCTGACATTATTAATGGTTGAGTGGTCGGATCGACTGTGCAAAACCAGCTTCCGTTAGTGAAAACTACTGTGTGTCCTTGAGCAAAACACTTAACCAACCTCGCCTCCAGTGTTTGCGTAGGTGTATGAATGTGTAAATGAATGTGTGTGTGTGTGTTTGTGTTTGCTGTTTGGTTCCTTGATGGGAAGCTCTTTGTGTGCCTTGAAAAGGTAGAAAAGCGCTGTATAAATATGATTTCTTACCATCTTACCATTTTCATAAATTATCTCCTTTTAAGTGACATTTTACTTTGCAGTTCTCTCATGACATCAGACATTATCAAAGAGGAGAATCTTCGAGATGACTTGAAGTTTTATTTCATGAGCCCCTGTGAGAAGTACAGGGCCAGACGCCACTTTCCCTGGAAAATGGGTGTTCAGATATTAAAAATTATCATGATCACCACACAGGTATGTGACCTGGTTCAGAACCATTACCAGCCAAACATGCTCTGAAGATGTGTTTTCTTTCCCTTTTAGCTTGTTCTATTTGGCCTCAACAATCAGTTAGTGGTGGCATATAAAGAGGAGAACACCATGAGCCTCAAAAACTTATTTCTAAAAGATTATAGCGGAGTGGACCCAGACGACTACAGTGTGGCTGTTTACACTCAGGAAGGCGTCTACGACAGTCTCTTTTACATCTTTGATCAGGTGAATTTCAATTAGTGTCTATTGGGGTGGGGCCTATTTCATTATGTATGTATTGTATGTATTTTGATCTATTTCAAACCCATGTTTACAGATTGTACACCCCAAAAAAAGTGAATAGGATACTACAAAAAACATAAATATAACAGAAATGTGCTGGAGATATATTTTTTATCATTTTAACTTTTTTATTTTATGTATGTATTTTTAGTATGTTGAGTTTTAACAACAAGAAACCTTCACATTGTGAAGTTCACTCCATAGACTAGTAGTGACCTACTACTGTCACCACATCAGCTCTGGGGCAGACTTAAAAAAAAAAAAAAAATTTTATTTTGAACCTGCACAACTATTTATTTTTTATTTTTTACATATACTAATATAACTAATACAAAAAGGAGTTGGATGAAGCAAATGCATATTTGATTCCAACCCCCATCAAATAAACATGTGACGGAAGATGGGAAACTAATCTGTCATCGCTGCTCTGACCACCACCATCATTTATACACAGTTCTTAGGCAGTGTCTTGCCTAAGAACTGAATGACATTTTAGCAGCAGCGAAGTATAGTATAGCATTTGATTATCGAGTCTTTGTTTTAATATTATAATTATAATTATTTTGTTTTATTTGACCTTGTGTCATATTTGCAGTACAGCCAGTTGGGAGAGCTGTCAGTGGGTCCTATCAGTTATGCAGAAGACACAGATAGAAATCTGCTTCCAATAACCGTTTGTAAAGAGAGCTACAGAAGAGGCGACATCAGCCCGTCTGATGAAGCCTTTGACATCGACGCAGAGCTTGAAAAAGGTACATATCTTTCACATGGACCTTTCACATCTCTATTTTCATCAACAAACACACAAAAACAGTGCATCAACTCCTGCTCGAAGCGGGGTAGAAGGAAAATATTTGGATCAACTTTAGAATGTGAAGAATTTAACATGGTTCCAGTTCTGGCATTGACAAGGGATACATAAATTACGGCGAGAGAGATTGAAAATATTCAACTAAGAATGCTGCTAGCTGAATAAAAACATATTTATATTAATATACATGTACCTTCATCATCTTTGCTTTGAACCAGTGCAACGCTTTGCAAAACCTGCACTTTATGATTCAATTCAATCAATTTTTGTTTAGCCTTAAATCGCAACTGTAGTCTTGAAGGATTTTACAAGTTGTCGATTCACAGATCAGAGAATCAAACATCCATCCATCCATCCATTTTCTACCCTTTAATCCATTTCTGGGTCAGGGGGGTGGCAGTCAGAGATGCCACCCAAGTCTCATAGCACCAGCCCCTCACTGACCCTCTGCAGGTGGTGAGTCCACAGGAGGACGGCTGCTCTCTGAGTGTGAGCATAGCCTTGATCTTTCAGTGGGGGCTTTGGGCAAAGTGGGGTTAAGTGTCTTGCCCAAGGACACAACGACAGCAGTCATCAGTGGGAGTCGGTGGAGAAGGTGCAGAGGTGGGAATTGAACCCACGACCTTCTGGGCTTAAGGCCAATGCTCTACCAACTGAGCTACTGAGAGAATCAAACAGTAGTTCTTAAATGTCCTGGATCATCATCCCTGTCCTTAAACCCTGCATCGGCAAAGGACAACTAAAAAAAAACATCAAGATATGTTATTTACAGTCTATGGGAGGGACCGGCTTTCAATTAGGGTTGAGCATGAGTCAAAGGGATTATTATTAATATTATTATTTTTTAAATGTATCAAATCAAATCAAAAGTTCTGTATTGTATGATAGCCTATGCATCGTTGCACAAGCTCATTCATGAAGGTGTAAAAGTATGCTGCTGGAGAACTATTGTGAAATAGTAACATGGTTGAGTAGATTTGAGGCATGTGAGTTAAGAGAATAAGAGATCCCTCCCACAGTGGGGAAATTTCAGTGTTGCATCTTCAGTTACAGAACAGTAGGAAGGAGCAGCACACAGCAAAATATAAGTTAACAATAACTGTTAACTTCAGCATAATAAAGAAGCAAGCATAACATCTCTAGCTTTACCCAGTGGGGGCGGGTCCCGGCTCAAAAGTGGCCAAAATGACGTGCGCTGACATGGTTGCAATACCACCCCGGGACCCGGAATAAGAATTAGCCAATGTTAACATATAGCATCTTCTTACCTCTCGAAAACACCTTTACAGGATGGTCCAAAAGTTGGCTCTTGGCCCAAAGCTCCGTTCCACATGTGTGTCAATGCTGAGGGGAGTGAGTTTTTTTGGACCAGTCTAGTTTACGCGGTGTGAATTTTTTAAGTCACTCGCTTAAATGAACGGGGCTCGTGCCGGCTGACGCATGCGCAGACGCGTTTTTTCACATTTTCCGCGGCTGAATCACTCCAAGCCCAATTTTTGGCCCATTAGTTAGAACGGCGGAGATAGGCATGACTACGTCCGTTAATATATACAGTGCTTTAGCATAATAAATAAGTATAGTCTCATGCTTCGGAATTCACTCAATAAGATCATTAAAATCAGCAGCAAAATCTTTGGACAGCAGCAAGACTCACTCACAGCCATTTACAATCACACGTTTTAAGGAAAGGCTCCCAGATCTCCACAGACGGATCCCACACTCTGCACTCTCTACAGTCTGCTCCCATCAGGGCGTAGGTTCAGGTCCCTCCCATTCAAAACAAAAAGGGCCACATCCAGATTCCTCCCAACCTCAATTTGCCTTTTAAACAGCTGATTTGGAGACCTATTTCATGTAATTTTATATTGCATTTCGGCTCTTTTACTGTATTTATCCCCAGATTGTGTGTTTCTGTGTTTTGTGTACCCCCCCTAGTGATCTGTCTGTAAATGAAGTTCCTCACGTATGAATAAAGTTATTTGAACTTGAAATTAACAAAATAATTTCCGGACATTTTTATCCACCCACACTGACACTATTATTCTGACAGTTATCAAAATAACTTATTTACTGTTTTTCAGTTTGCATTCACCATGAGCCAAGAACTGTGAACCAGTGGAAAACCCAAAACTCCTCCTTTTTCGACCTAGACTTCTACAGGTATAAGTCACTGACAAAATCTGATGATCATCACATATCTCTCTTCATTCAGCTGACCTTTCTGACTGTTTTTATTTTTTAAGACTTATTGACATAAAAATAAACTTTCAACTGAAGGGAATAAACCTGCAGACTGTTCGTCAAAGGGAACTGCCCGACTGCTATTCATTTGATGTATTGGTAAGTGAGGGCGATCATTATGTTTTATACGTTTTTTTAAGTTACAAGATGACTCTGCTGTAGATTAGTGCTAGATTTGGTATGTTCTGTAATAATCGGATGTATGGAATTGATCAGTAAGCAGTATGTTGCCTTTATTCACTTTCCCCAAAAACAAAATCACTTACTCCACAGATCAGACTGGTAAGATGGCTTTGTATAAAGAGGAGATTAGCTAGGCTACTGTCGAAAACCATTTTAATTTACTTTATCTCCAATATGACAAATGGCGGATCACCAGAAAAGTTACATTAATTCATTTTTCATTCATTTGCAAACCCTTTATTAGTCCATTTCTGGGTTGGGGGTACATATGAACCTTTATATTTCACTTATGTTTCATGTTCCTCAGATAACATTTGACAACCATTGTCACAGTGGAATGGTCAAAGTTTTCTTGGACATTGATGCTGAGAGCAGTGCTTGCAAAGACTGGAAAATATCAGGAACAGGTATAATTCTATGTATTTGCTCAACCAAAAACACTTATGTAATATTGTTCTCAGGTTCATGCTTCACAGGAGGTTGTAAATGTGTATAAAACCTCAGTTATCTTAGACGTTTGTTGGCTGGTTCAGGGAGGGTCTGTGTCTGTGGAGTGAGTGGAGGAGATAAACTCATTCTGTTCCAGCTCAGAAGAACACGCACTATCTCCTGGTGTTTGATGCTTTTGTCATCCTGGTGTGCATCATCTCTGCTGTCCTCTGCTCCCGCTCCATTGTGCTGGCCGTCAGACTGCTGCAGGTCAGCGCTCACATATCCTTCACATGAACCGAGACTGTTCGAACATTCTTAGTCTTGTTGTTGTGCAGTTTGTCAGAATCTAATCTGTCAGAAACAGTGATGAAAGTTATCTTTACATGTACTGACGCTACTATCACTATCATTCAACAATCAAATCAAACTTAATTTCTTATGGACTGCAATATAAGCTTCTCGTCTGGAATGTTGGATAATCTCTTACCATCATGTTTTTTTTCACTGTTTTAGAGATTTTCTCGATATTTAGATGAGAACTACAGTCGCAAAGTTTGTGAAGACGACCAGAGTGAGTTTCTTAATGGCTGGTATTTGATGGTCATCACCAGTGATGTCTTGACCATTATTGGATCCATTTTGAAGATGGAAATTCAGGCAAAAGTAAGTCTTATGTCTAAGCTCAAGATACACCTACCCCAGGGACCAAACCTCATCACGTGTTCTGTGTAAAAATGTTAGTCTGTATTTAGTTTAGAGGACAGTGGCAGCCTTTTATCTACACGGGGTTTTATCTGAAAATGTCCCCGCTCCCATCTCTGTGTAGAGTGAGAGGACAAAGGCCCATAACAATTGTAAACCGCTTTGTGACTCTGGTCTGTGAAAGGCGGTATATAAGTAAAGATTACTTCCTTACTTTGTGTAAAAATGTACTTTTTCCAAATCTCAGCTCATTTTGCACAAGTGATATACACCCTTTTCACAATGATTACGTGTTTAAAGTCAAATCTATTTTATTATTTGTATAATTGTAGTTAGTGTGTAGACACTGTATGACAGATGTAAAATGTAATGTCGTACTTTGAACGACAATAAAACTTGATGGTGGCTCTGTCGAATGACCCCGGTTTGATAATATAAACATTAGGTGCCAATAAACGTACAGAAAAGGACATAGCAGAAAAAAGGCAAGGGTAGACCTGGGTTTTAAACTAAATAAAACAAACATTTTGTCAGAGGGCTTCCAAAACCAACAAATTAAATAATGATATAGATTTGAAAGCTTACTCATGGGTCTCGTTATGTGGTAAATAGATCCTCAGCTAAAAGTTCATTAACATGTTTTTTATTCTTTTAAATAAACGCTTGGTGTGCTGACAGTGCTGACAATAGTTTATTAGCCTCTTCATTCTTTGTATCACTTCCAAAACAAGGGAGGTCTGTGAACTAGACATGGCTGATGAGATTTGTCCCTCTACACATATTCTAATTGAAATATTTCATTCAAAGAGGATTAATTATTGATCATGTCTTGTTTTTTGTCTAGAGTCTGACGAGTTATGATGTGTGCAGTATTTTACTGGGAACGTCCACATTGTTGGTGTGGGTCGGGGTCATCAGATACTTGGGCTACTTCCAGAAATATAATGTGAGTTCTGAATCTTCAACTTGTAACTGAGGATCTATCATCTGTTCAACATCTATGTTTTTGTGTCTAGGTGTTGATTTTGACAATGAAAGCAGCGTTCCCCAAAGTCCTGCGCTTCTGTTGCTGTGCAGGGATGATCTACCTGGGCTACACCTTCTGCGGCTGGATTGTCCTGGGCCCGTATCACGAAAAGGTCAGTCGTATAGCTTTTATTTACCCTTTAGGTACCAAAGATCTGCGTCAAGAGCTCCTGAAACAAGGGCACTCTGGTGACCTGGTATCACACAATGGTTTTTTATTACATTTTTCTTACATATTTGTTGTCTACTCCTCATTCCTACTGTTCTGTAAGCGGTGAAGCTGCACTGAATCGCTTAATCCATCCATTTTCTTCCGCTTTATCCGTTGCCGGGTCGCGGGGGCAGCAGTCTAAGCAGAGACGCCCAGACTTCCCTATCCACACACACTTCCTCCAGCTCGTCCGGGGGGACCCCAAGGCGTTCCCAGGCCAGCTGAGAGACATAGTCCCTCCAGCGTGTCCTAGGTCTTCCGCGGGGCCTCCTCCCGGTGGGACGTGCCCGGAACACCTCCCCAGGGAGGCGTCCAGGAGGCATCCGGAACAGATGCCCGAGCCACCTCAACTGGTTCCTCTCGACGTGGAGAAGCAGCGGCTCTACTCCGAGCTCCTCCCGTGTGATCGCTTAATCTTAATCTTTATTTATTCATGTTATTTTTAACCTTATAAAGGTCCAGGGCTGCACCTTTTGTCCTTTTTTACATCAAATTTATGAAAACAAATTAGAGAAATGTGGCACATTTTTAAACAAATAGGTTTATTTGTATTTTGAATTATGGGTCAACATTCAACATGCAATCTTGCTCATGCATTTATTTTATTTTGTATTATATTTTCTTAATATATCAATATTGAAATATGTATATATGGAATAGTCCAGAGCATTTATATATCATAATAAATATACAATCCTCTCAATGTTTTGGCTGCAATTATAATGAGTTGCCACAAGAGGGAGGTGTCTACCTGTAGTTAGTCACATCCCGAGGGCTGCTTTAACTTTTCTGCCAGAGCCCTCCGAAATGTGTGACATCAACTAGTGAATGCCTTTGCAAAAGAACATTTAAAGTAATAGAAATTGGAAGTATCAAATCATGCTAAATTACTCTTGTGTTGTGTTTCTGAACTGATTTCACTGAAACTATCATCCTCTGCGTCACATATTTTTGAGAAATGAGGATATTTTATAGTGTCGTCTTGAAATCATCTTGCAGCCTCAGAATAGTGTCTCTAGAAAACCATTGTGTTGAAAAGATCGACAACTATATTTTGCTTAATAGTGAGCTTGCAGACTCTATCACATCTTGACATTGTAGTTATCAACAATTAGAATATAAAATACAAAATCCATCACATCAAACGGTAAATATTCTCTCGTCTAAATGAAATGAAACCTCTGCAGGACCTTCACTGACGACACATTTCTCGTGTTGTCATTGGATTAATGTCAACTTGCTCTTCAGCAGTTACGAAGCACCGGCCCAGGACTTCCCTCGGCCTGGATGCAGAGTATTTACTGCTGAAATAAACAGAGGATGTGGACACTCTTAAAGAACTGTGCCCCAGATCCATGTGTCCGACGGGATGTTGTTTTGAGATATTATCACACACACACTCCCTACGTTTGTCCCAGGGTCTGCCCTACCAATATCTGCCCTTATCTCCGTTCTCCTGGTGTGTTTACATTTCAGATGCCACCAAGTGTCTCATCTCTCTTTAAAGCTGGGCTATCCAACTTTTCTTTATCTAAATAATGACCACAACATACTTGACAAAAAAGGATTCAATTTGACTCGATACTCTTGGCTATGGATATTTTGGCTTTTAAATATTTGTCTATTTATTTATGTATTGTTTATTTGTTTGGGTCAGTGCTTGTCAATGATCCCACCTCTGGATTGTAGTTTAGGGCGAATTAATCCCAACTGATTATTGAAGTACTTGGCAATTCAGCTCTAGAGGAACCTTACACAGACTTAAACGTTTTATGAAACAGTTCTATAATGAATTTGTAATGCAAAATGGAATCATAGAAGTCAAGGTGTTCTCCGGGGCGTTTTTTTGGTACTGTCTTTGTTCACTGACCTTTCACTTAGCGTATTTTACGGACAATAAGCGGTGAATGCGTTTGGATGGAGGCTAATGCTTAAGCTGTTAAACACCAGTTAAAGTGGCCAGTTAAAACAGTCCTCTATCTGCCACATTACAATATGAGAAAATCTGAGGCTTATATTCAAGTGCGGCCTATATGTGGACAAAATGTGGTTTCTTTTCAAATGTGGCTGATGTGACTTATACACGGGTGCCCCTAATAGTCCAGGAATATGGTAATTGAAAGAACAATTTACCAACTTATCAATTTATTAAAGTAATTGTAGCCCTACTATTAACTTGAAATTAATAATAGTAATTTGTTGACCACATAAGTCTCATAACGCCTTCGTTATTGACCAGGCGGCATGATGGCGCAGTTGTTGGCCCAAAAACATTAAGTGCTTTGTGTGACCTTGGTCTGTGAAATGAGCTTCTGTATATAAAGAAAGATTACTAACTTACTTTTGCTTGTTTTCTCTCTTGTAGTTTGAGGGCCTGAGTCTTGTGGCAGAGTGTCTGTTTTCTCTGGTGAATGGAGACGACATGTTCACCACGTTTGCGCAGCTCAAGGATAAGAACACGCTGGTGTGGGTCTTCAGCAGGGCCTACCTCTACTCCTTCATCTCTTTGTTCATCTACATGGTGCTGTCGCTGTTTATCGCCCTCATCACTGATGCCTACGAGACAATCAAGGTAGGTCTGCAAACTATGGGGTTTTGGTCATAGATAATAAACATGTGTCTGAGGATTTTATATGTTTTGACAGAATTATCAAAAAGATGGCTTCCCGCTAACAGACTTGCAGAAGTTTCTGAGAGAGCAGAAGGATTTCACCGCTGCAGAGGAGAACAATCAGATAGATGTCCAACGTCCAAGTTCTTTCCTCTGCTGTTGTAAAAGGTATTGGACTTGCTCAGTTATAAAGTACATTTCAAATACATGTTCCTGTGAACGGCGATATTAATAGTAGCATCTAAAACTAGAACTGGACTTCCTCTTCAAAGCTTCAGTGAAGAACCATGTCTCTTCATAGTGTTTTTTACCATTGCAAGCAGCACAGTTTTCATGTTTTTTAAGATTGAGCTTTTACTACTGGACAGGTGAATTAAGCAAGACATAGCAGAAAATGTTAATGATGAAGGAACAGAGTTGTTTTAAAAGTGTGCCTCACTTTTAAACTTGTTTTTGTCAACTGTTGGCAAACATTTTTCCTTTCTCCCAAAATGTCAGGTTTACTTTTCCTGCCACATCAGTGGTATTGTCTATTTCCTTTGTAGTGTGGTGGAGGCTGTGATCCGCAGGCAGCAGGCTGCAGCAGTCTCCCCCATGCTGTGGTTTTGGCCTGGTCCTGCGTGGTCTGAGAGCAATGAAATTAGTGGTGGCAGCTCCGTGGACACACCCAGTGATGGGCTGATTACAGAGAAACTGAGGCTGGAGGAACCCCTGTCCCTCAGCCAACATTTTTCTTGTTTTGTTGCTTTCCTTATAAAAAAAAAAGTTCACTTTCAGAGTGGTGGCAGTCAGATACAAGCAATCAAAATATTAATTATGTTTGCTGTGGTTAGGTTTATAATCGCATAATCAAAGATAACATTTTTAATGTCACGACTAGAGTCTTTCCTTCATAAATGGACAAAGACTGGAGACTTGTGTAACAGCTGTTGTCTGTAGATAATATCATATCAAATCACCTGCTTACTAACTAGGAAGATTTTTCTAAATGAAAATTTTCTCAATTAAATACATGTGTTTTGAGAGAGGGGAAAGGACCCTTTAAAAATGTCTATTTGTGACCAGAAGGGACATTAAAAACAAATCTTACACAAATCAATAGAAAAGGCCCATATTTCAACAAGGATCAAAGCTGAGGACTTGAGATTCGCTTTTTCTCAAATCTGTTTTACACAGAAGTTGGTGGTTGTGTGTTAATGCAATTTAACTAAAAAGTTTCAGTTCTGTTTCTGTTCTAAATAATTTCACTCTTCTTGTTTTTGATTTACAAGTGTGAGTGATCCTAGTTTCTTTAGTCGTAAATGGCGATTTCACTGATGTGCAGTAATGAGGAGTAAAAGGGATGTGAGTAATATTAGAATTGTAACTAAATATGATTTCTCTCTAAAACTGAAGACAACCACTGTAACCTTTTCAGAATTAGATGACCCTTGGCTTTTAGTGCTTCCCTAATGTGGTTACAAAGGGCAGTCAATGCCATTATATGAGGCTTTCTTCTGAGTTAATGTCATTTATGCAACTTCCTCACTAAATTAGCTAATGAAAGGATGAAATTACATCTTGAAATTCATTAGACACTTCCTATTCTAATAAACATAAAAAACAGATGCTGTTTCTTACGAAAGTAGGTACTTTAAAGAAACCCCACAATAATTAGTGTTAGTGTTTCTAAGATCTCATTCAGGTAGTTCTCATACATGTTTGTTTTTGTTTTGCAGAGTTCCTGAAAATGACGATGTGATCCTCATAACCTGATCGTTGTGCAGAGCTGCTCTTTAAGGATTCAGTGATGGACTGTCTTGTGCAATATTTATTGTTTGTGAATACTGTACATTATTTTTTGTATATGAAAACATTCAACATAGTGTTTTGAAAATATGTAATAAATGCAAACTGGAACAAATTAAATAGATGTAAATATTAAGGTGTAATTCTCTCCCCAGTCAAAACTGCCTCATGTAGCTAATTTACTACAATTACAAGAGGGAACAATCTGCATAGATAAATATCAAATTCAAAAGTCCATCTATAAAATCTGAAAAAAATTGAGGTTTTTTCTTTTGTGTGTGTGCTCCCAATTTTCAAATCAGGAGACTAACACTGTTTCAATGATGATTTACCTGTCTCCCTTCTACTGCCGTCTTCCAGAATACTTGATACAGGACTCCCGGCATTGAAAGATGTTAAGCCAATTTAGGCCACAGTATTTGTGGAGAGAACACGTTAAAAAAAACTTGGTTTTAATAAAAACAAATTGTCTCTCAATTTCAAAAAAGACCAAAATGATGCTGTTTAGCAGTTATAAGTACCTGTCATTATAATCATTGTTGATATTCCAATTGAAAAAGTTTAGGGAGTTGTGATAGATGGATAGATGTATTGTAATGGAATGATTTAGAGCAAGTCAATAATTGAGCATCAATACTTTAATTGTGTTGAAGTCTGGGGAAACACTTAAACCTTTTAGTCACGTTGCAAAAAAGGCCATTAGGTTTGCATCTAATATCCACAATAGACATCATTTCTTCAATTTCAAACTCAAGATACAGGATTTGATTAACTTTAAAACTGCTTAAATAATGTCCAGGGCGTTTAAACTACCACCTTTTCCACGATCGAGATGCTCTTCTACATAAATACAGTTTAAGGGGAAGCAAACGTATGTGCCTATGATAAATGTAAAACCTCGCTCAAATCAATGTGTGTCAATAATACAGTCTATGGTGTCAATGCGTGGAGCTTCTCTTTGGAAACAGTTATCTGATCATTTAAAAAGCAAGTTCATAAACGATTCAGTTCAAAACTATTTTTTTTTTTAACAACCGTTTTATGTTTTGATATATGAAAAATAGATCCATTTCTTTGAAATAAATACTACTATAAAACATTACAATAAAACCCATGAAACTAGTTCCTTGCTCTCAAATAAATTCACATACAATTTTTTGGGCTTCTGTCAAAAATGAAAAAGACTGGACCCTCAAACAGCTCTTAGCCCAATGCGTCAATTAGTCAATTAGGCTCCTCCTCCAAATATGCAAAAGATTGTGAGAGGAATACTGCTTTATAGTATTTCTGTCAGGACAAACGACGTGAATGAGAACGAGTTGTTTATTTAACAAAAAGTTAGGTACCCCAGCTTTAAGGGAACACAGTTCTCGCACCTTGTCGCCAGTGGAGGAATGTGATTGGAGCGCGCACACGCCCTGCGCGTCACCGCTCCTGACTTCTGTCCAGAGTTTCTGCGCTGATCTCACTCGTGCTGTCGCAACTCTGCGTCTGTCTCATTTCTCAACTCATCTCCGCGCTCCGCAGACTGTTAAGACACTACAATGCTGCTTACGCTTACACGGAGTTTTTGACAACGCTTGGAAACGTCTTCACGAAAGGTAAGGACACCTGAAGCTATAAACTACTGTAGGATTCTGCTTCCTTGTAAGATAAATATTAGATCTTACAGTTGTGCCTACTTTGGCTGAGCTATTGTTTTCCCTAAATATAGTAATTGTATACCAAGAACAAATGATTATAATGTGTTAGTTTGAACTAAAAGACTTGTTCATAAAAACTATAATTTCATGTCTGACCTCGCGTTTTCGTTTCGACCCCTGTCAGAATAACTCTGGTTACTATCAGGAGCTGTGGGGCAGGTCACTCCAGTTAAAAGCATCTTTGGCATCAGCAGTAGGTTTTGTTTAAAGCTTTCAAGCCTCAATAACGTTTAACTATGTAGTAAAATCCATCTAACTAATTCCTGGCTCTCAAAAAAGTTTGGTTCTATCACTATAGTCACTTTTCACATGCATTTTTGGGGGGCTCTTTCACTTCTTTTAACAGATACTGACTCACACTAGTGGCAGTAGTATGATCACTGCATATTACATTGACACTTTCTGAATGGACAAAAATGCCAAGTACCCAGGCTTCAAAGTCATACAAAATCCAAGTAGCAGTCTGGTCTGGAAAGTCTGTCATTATCAGCCTGTTAATCTTGTTTTTTCAGATAAACAGATTACATGAACTCTGAACAGTCATGCCTCTAACTCTGCGTCTCTATTCCCAGACTAAAAATGGCCAATCGAAGCTGCCATTTCAACGAGTCCATGGGTTTTTTCTACCAAAATGTCGGAGCGGACGACAAGTGGGCCAAAACCCAGCTCATCTTGGTCCAAGTAGTGGGCTCTCTCTTCTGCTGCTTCATCCTGGTCTCAAACGCTATGGTGATCGCCGCCGTCATCACCAACAAGCGGTTTCATTACCCCTTCTACTACCTGCTGGCCAACCTGGCAGCATCGGACTTCCTTGCAGGGATTGCCTATGTATACCTGATGTTTAACACGGGCCAAATATCTCGACAGCTCACAGTTAAAGGGTACTTCATCCGCCAAGGACTGCTAGACGTCAGCCTCTCCGCATCGCTGACGAACTTACTCGTAATAGCATTGGAGCGATACATATCCGTCCTTAGCTGGAAAGTCCACAGCAACCTGACCAAAAGGAGGGTCACTTTGCTCATTGTGCTCGTCTGGGCCATTTCTATCTTCATGGGTGCTGTTCCCAGTCTGGGTTGGAACTGCATTTGCAACCTCGGTGACTGCTCCCAGCTTGCTCCAATTTTCAGCAGGAGCTATCTCGTCTTTTGGTCCGCATCTAACTTGTTACTGTTCCTAATAATGGTGGCGATCTATGTGAGAATTTACACGTATGTCCAGAGGAAGACGTCCATGCTCTCGTCACACACCAGTGGCTCCATCAATCGTAAAAGGACGCCCATCAAACTCATAAAGACTGTCATGGTGGTTCTCGGTAAGTGACCTCATTGCCCGTCATCTAAATGGCACTTTGTTTTATGATCTATGAGTCTGGATACTTCGGCTATGGATGGGACAATATGATAATTATAATAGTATGATAATAATGACTAATGATATCCCAGTATGATAAGATATATATTGAAAAGGATAAGAATATAGTATCAATCAACTTGTATTTGTAGAGCGCCTTTCCTACACATGGTAACACAAATCGCCTCACAACCCATATCACATCAGGCATAAATCATAAACATTCAACTCTACATAAACACAACAATCGAGCAAAAAATTGCAATTAAGATTACAAGAATTATTAAAAACATAGAAAATAAACTCACACAATCTAATTAAAAACCTTTATACATGAAAACCACACATGGGATTAAAATCATAAATGGCCACAGTTTATTAAAAAGAGTAAAGCCTAAAATCCTTCAGTTAATCCTTCATCCTACTAGTTACTGTCTCATTGATTTAGACCACACCGTGAGCAGTGTGTATCAGAGATGGGAAAATAACACTGAGAAAATCTGTATTATTGTAAAAATCCTGTTGAATATTCCAAGCTGCAGTACTCATTCATGGGAGCTCTCACGGGAGATGTCTTTTGAATTGTGTTTGTTAAAGGTTTGTAAGGGGATACTTTACTGAGAGGATTGGCTGCTCCACTTCTTTCATGAAATAGTGGAGAGAAAAGCAACTGCACGAAATTGTATTCTATAAAAACAGTACACCGAATACTAAATACTTAACTAAACAAACTCGAGGTTAACAGGAAACACACTGCATCAGCAACTCTATAACAGCTAACAGAGCATGTGTATGATCACTCTTATTCAATAATCCCATCCATCCATTTTCTTCCCCTTAATCCATTTCTGGGTCAAGGGGGTGGCAGTCAGAGCTACACCCAGAACACTTAGCACCAGCCCCTCACTGATCCTCCTGCAGGTGGTGGGGGGTTAAGTCTCTTGCCCACAATGACAGCAGAAATCAGTGGGAGTTGTGAAATAGGTCTCGTGGTGGATTCGAACCTACGACCTTCAGGCCCAAAGGCTCTACCAACTGAACCACTGTCGCCCCTCCACCCATTTACCTCCTAATGGTTTCACGTCCTCTTGAACTCTCTCTTCAAAGTTCTTTTCAACTTTCCCTTACGACACTTGTCGACGATCGGTCTCGTGCCGGTTTCAATCATCCCACACAAAGTAAAATGCTTGATCTCCTCTTATTGACCACTCTGTTCAAGTGTTTTTTAGATACTTTTGCGCCTCATTAAGACTCAATATCAATATTTGAATCCGTACAATGTAATAAATACATACCCATGTGTGTCCGTGCAAACTGGACTAACCCGTTTCAGAAAACTAGCCATGCGAATCAAGGTCTGATACAGCTGATTACAACGACATGGGTTATAGTGTGTATTATAAAAAGAGGCACTAACATTCACACACAATATTTAGGGTTTTGTGGTTCCACGTAGAGTAAATCTATGTCCTCCACTCAGACAAGTACTTATAAAGTATGTCCACATGCTCAGTGAAGAAAGGGGGATAATCTCCCATGTTTGTGGCTGAATATAATGGCTCCTTTTTTTGTCAGCAGTTGCATTGTATGAGAGGATGCAGGTGCCGCAGACAAGTTTGTACATGTGGCTTCTCTTCCACAGCTCCCTGAGTGGCTTAAGGAGATCTTTATTGCCCAAACATGTCTCAATTGTGTGTGTTAATGCCTGTGACCTGCCATTATTTACCAAACATGCAATTGAATATTGAGAAAAATGCTATTCTCCAAACCAGTACTAGCCTGCAGTGTCTGAAATACTTTTGTTATTCCTTTTTTGTTGTTAGTTCTTTGTGGCCCGTGGCAGGATTTATAAGTCTCAATTTGAGCTTGCAGGTTTATAGACCACTATGGCGTGTTGTACATCATATTAAAACAAAATGTCTCAATTAAACAATTACACCTTTCATTTTGTTCTATACATTGAGCGAAAACAATTGGGTCATACAGTACAGACCAAAAGTTTGGACACACCCACCCATTTCAAGAGATTTTTATTTTCATGACTATCAAAATTGTAGATTCACATTGAAGGCCTCAAAACTATGAATTAACTCATGTGGATTTATGTACGTACCTAAAAAAAAAAAAAAAGTATGAAACAACTGAAAATATGTCTTATATTCTGGGTTCCTCAAAGTAGCACCGTTTGCTCTGATTACTGCGTCGCACACTCTTGGCATTCTCTTGATGAGCTTCAAGAGGTAGTGGTCTTCCAACAGTCTTTAAGGAGTTCCCAGAGATGCTTAGCACTTGTTGGCCCTTTCGCCTTCACTCTGTGGTCCAGCTCACCCCAAAACCATCTGGATTGGGTTCAGGTCCAAAACCATCTGGATTGGGTTCAGAGTGTGAATCTACAGTCAATAGTCATGAAATGAAAGGACACTCATTGAGAAAGTGTGTCCAAACTGTTGGTCTGTATGTTTTTTATCAAACTATTACTATCAGTCTGCAATACTCAGCCTTTACCTTGCGTCCTATTTTGGTTCAGCCCAGCGTGACTGAAGTCATCTATTCAGAAATATCCAACAGAAAAAAATACAAAATGATAATTACATATTTAGACAAAATCAGCTCCAAAACTTGAAATACAAATAAACCTCAAAGTGCTACAAATTTGAATAAAAGACAAGAAACAACAAAACAAAAGCATCAAAAGTACATAAAATGACCAGAAATATCACAAAGAGGATAAAGATTACCTTCCAACAAGCTTTCCACAAAGAAAAGAATAGTTGGATTATACAAATACAAATGTATATACAGTATATATTCTGTTGTCCACAGGGGCTTTCGTGCTGTGCTGGACCCCCGGGCTGGTGGTCTTGCTGCTGGACGGCCTGAACTGCACCAACTGTAACGTGGTCAAACTAAAGCGTTGGCTGCTGCTTCTGGCCGTGCTCAACTCTGTCATGAACCCTTGCATCTACTCCTATAAGGACGAGGAGATGTGGGCGACCTTCAAGAACCTCCTCCGCTGCATTGGGAATGGGACCAGGAGACAGAGGTCCACCAAGGCCAACATGAGGCCCCTAAGCTCCGGACAGGACACGGGCACCAGCAGCCAGCCGCCGTCAGAGGAGATGAAGAACGAAGATCAAGACATACTTAAGACGTGAAGAGGAGGCATTTCTCGGAATCCATCAAAGACACTGGAGCTAACACCGGTGCTCCAAGATGCTTCGCTTTTCATAGCATCGAGTGGACGATGGGTTTGAATGGTCCTTATCACACTGTGCACTGTGCACATTTTAAAGAACGTACTCATGAACTTATGGAACTGTGGAGTTGTTTTTGTTTTTTTACTCTAAACAATTTTGGACAATGTCTATGAACTTTCCTTTGTGAACTTGTGTTTTATTATATGTGAAAACACAAACACTTGTCGGCATAATGTTTCGATTGTCATGCTGTGGAGGTTCATGAGTGGAGGCGGTAATAATGATAGAAAAGAATATGTTAAGATCTGAAACCAGACTGTTTAAGAATAACACGTGTGAACCAACTGCGAGTCACCGGTGCACAAATGGTCCATGTATGTTTGATTAAGGCTGCAGCTCACTATTATTTTACTAATCGAGTTTTCTATTGATTGGTTTTTACATTCCATAATATATCTTAGAAAAGTATGATTCACATTAAAGGGGTCGTATGCAATATTTAAATTTCAAATTACAGCTACATTCCCCAAAGAGGTCAACATGTGCACAACATGTTTGACCTTTTCTTAGAAATAGTGTAAACTGGAATTATTCTTAAACAAGGAAAAATCATGGAGATGTTCAAATTATTTCATTATTTTAAAGAAAATTAACCAATCAGATGAAAATGAGTCCCTCATATTGGTTGTCAGCGTGTTATAATGAGGCTGGTCTGGTGGCTCCATCTCTTTTGTATATATGTATTATATATATATATATATATATATATATACACACACACACACACACACACACACATTGACCACTATGAGTGCATATTATATACATAGAAACTTCTTCAAGGCTTCAGCTTGTGGAGCAGAGTTGGCACAATACAGAAACATTTCTGTGTGAAATGACTTCTTTGGCCTAACGTGCTAGTTTCACAGACCCTTTAAAGATTTAACTAATTACATAAATTAATTGATTATATAATAATTGATTATAATTTTCGATTTTTTGTGTAATTGATTAAAGCTGGGGTACTTTCACATAACAAATATTATGCAATAAAATGAATGTAACTAGTTCCTAACTCTAAAAATAGTTTGACTATTTCATTAGTTCTCAGTCTTTATAAAAAGTAATTTGAAAAAGAGAGGCCCACCCTCAGTCAACCCTAAAACATCACATTAAGTATTTAACAAGGTGTCACCTGCGTGTGAATACCAGATCCTGTCAGACCTCTGAAGCTAAGCAAGGTAGGGCTTGGTTAGTACTATCATGGGAGACAGATGTGAGCACCAGATGCCACAGTGAGGTCGCTACAACTTTAAAGTTCCCAACTGTGGTTACGTCCTTAGGCAAGACCCACATTTTCTGGAATTAGTTGTGTGTGCGAGAGAATGGTGGTCATCGGGGCCGATGACACACACTGGTTGCCTCGCTTCTGTCAGTGTGTCTCAGGGCAGCTGTGGCTACAGTATAGTTTATCACCAGTGTGGACAAAGTGAATGAATAATGCCATGTGAAGCTTCTTAGAGTGTCCAAAAAGGCTGTATAATATTGTGGCTTTAACATTAATGACATGTTTCCTCATAAGATGACGATTGCATGTTCAAGCCTAATTTTTTGTTTTGTCTGTTCATTTAACTCTGAATCTGTTCAGTGCTAAAGTGGATTTAATCCTTTATGCTGCATCAGCTTTTTCTGTAGCATTTACAGTATAAACTGAAGTGTGTATCTTCCAACATACATTCATCCAATACATTTTACCAAAAATTTATATACTGTACACCTCCACAACTCATTCTTGATTTAACCTGGTTTCCAGTGGCTTCAGAACAGAGAAAGAGCCAAGTCCCACTAGGCTTCTTTGTGCTCTGTTCCCCCGCCACTGTGTAAACCAAACTAGTTCTACCTGTAGTCTGTAGTCTGTAGTCTGTAATGGCTGGTGTGATGTAATAGCAGCACACCTGAACGCAGGCTGTAAATGTTGCGACACACTGGATTTCTTTGCTCTATATTGTGACGATGCTCTGAGTGACAGGTCCTGGCTCAAACATTAACTGCTGTAACGTGTTCCTGCCGTCCGGATAGGAGAATTTCATGTTTTCACACGTGACTGAAGCTTGTATAACAGTATAGTGCATGTACAGTACTATTGTATTTTTAAGTCTCCCTCAATACAATAATGTCTTAAACCAAATGTGATTATGCCATTTTATTTTGAAAGCATACATACATATGTATTTGGCAATGAGTACTTGTATTCTTATTGATAAATCACAAGTTTCTAATAGATTAATATGAATTGGGATCCGGCATTATTTTATCCAATACTGATCCTGACTTTCAATATTTGCCAATGCCCGATATGAACAGAGGCTCACTATTCAAAGGAACCTTTATCCCCTGGAAATAACATCTTTACACTAAAAGGTTTTGTGTTTTTTTTTCAATTATTTATCTTATACATTTCTACAGAACATACTTGAGTAAAATTAGGGCTGGAAACAAGTTACATCAAAGACAGAGGAGATGATTTCTAGTTTGTGACTTCCTTTTACTTACAATGGCAGTCAAATAATAACTGACGAACTCAAATTTATTTTAATTAAAGTCAATAAAGTTTTTAATGAAAGAAGCTAAATATTCAAATATCAAACACATTTTTATTTGCCATTTCTCAAACACTTTGTGGACTGCCCCGATGTAACATTTTCCTGACCTTCAAATTTCAAATCGATTTGCTTTATGGCTCAGTCCTAAGTAAAAGTTAAAACTATGACATTCTTGGTTAATCTACCCATATATATTTTCTTACATCAGAACCGATGCCTGCTCCAACTACAGACCTGTATACAGTCTATTGATCCAACTCCTATTAACGGGCATAGCAGTCAAATACAAAATAGTCATGTCTATTGAAATAATCTGTTATTACTCAATCAGAAGCACTGAATTAAACCTCAATTTCTGTTTCAAATGTGTACATGTGGACATTTAGTCATCCACTTCTTTTGAGACTATGTGACGTATTGACAACAGAAGGTTTCTTAAGGACCCCACATGACTGACCAGCGGCTGATGAAATAATGTTGCTGGAGTGGTCCTTCTTGGTTATTTTATTTTATTTTTTTCAGAAAGAATTTAGTCTTGAGTTTGACCTTTTGATGCTTGAGACAATAGCCCAAAGATTGTTTCCTTAGGAGCTTCTTTGCATTAATAAACATTTAAACCTTGTCCGATGTAATACTGCTTTACAGTAATTTATGTTGTCCTACAGCAAAAGTCAAGTACGCCCACTGAAGCTGTAGCTGTTCTGTAATTAAACATAATTAGGATTTAGCAAAAAACTATTTAAATTCCACAGCCGTATCTACATGTGTTATTTTTTGTTATTTTAGAGGAAAAACTTGACGCACCAGATGTGTGTGTTTAACCACTGAACCGTAACTACATGCTATTTGCACTGGCTGGGGAAAAAAAAAATGTGTTTCCTGTTTCTCCCATGTTCAAATTTGGACAACACCTTCTGTCATTACAAATATGATTACATAACTTCTCTTCAAACTTTTAGATTGTTCTGGTGCTGTTTGATACATGCTTCACTGTAAAGAATTTCCTTGTAGAAAAACGGTAAAAAGCTGCGAATATGGTTCCAGGGATTTACTGTTTTCTCATCATGGCATTACCGTTGATAATTTTAACGGTTAAAGACTGTTTCACTGATTCACATTATGCCTTTTTGATTTCAGGATTTAACTGTATGTTCCTGTTAATTCACATACAACAAAAACAGCATTATGGTGTTAATTTTGTATTCCGTTAATGAACACAACTTTTCAATTATTTTTTAACATCTTCAGTTTGTACAAGAAAATAGTGGAAATCTTTACTTCTATAACATGCTGAACGCGAAAGCATCATTTTAACAAAAGCAGGAGTGTACACTTCTTACACTCATGGTTGCTTGCTGACAAAAAATGTCCCAGTATTTCAAAAATACAACAAGTTGATGTTAAATTACGGAAATCACATTGTGTTTTATGGTATTGTAAAGTTTTTTGCTTAATCACATTGTAATTGTGCTAATAAAACGCCACTGGATGTTTTTTAACCAATTTATACTTAAATTTGCATGTTTGTTTTTCAAAATAACATTTTTTTAATTTTGAAATTTCATTGTATTTTTGTTACAGTGTTGCCAAGTACTATGAATACAACATGACCCTGTACAAAGTCCACCCAAGCTCTCTTTGCCTGACTGCATTCAAATAGTTTTTTTGTTTGTTTTAACATGACCTGTTATAGACAATCACAGCGTCCTAATCAGCTTGATGTAACTGGGCTATTAAGGTGAAGTGCCTTTCAAACAACAAGGCTGTGATTGCGGAGCCTCTTGCGCTGATGAGACAATTGGAGAGGAGGGACAGGCCTGTGGTGGTACTCCGGGGTACACTGGTCTTTGCATCATTTCAGTCAATCATCTTTGGGAGCGCTGGGAGGAGAGGACCTAATGGCTTTGCATGCTGTGGTGGCCTTTTACACATTTTTCCTGATTGTAAGTGTTCATATTTAGCCTCAATTATGAATTTGCTTTCAAGAACTACTCAGCTATAGTTGCCTTTGGATTCTCAGAAACATTTTTTATATACAGGCAACATTTGTCCAATTAGAATATTTTTAGTCTGTTTACTTGGACTAACAGTATTATAATTCTGCTGTCTGAAACTAGTATGTGACAGACTCATTACACAGAAAGTAAGATGTATCAGGCCTTTTTTTCTTACAGCATGTATAATCGGCTCACAGCTGGTAAAAACCCCAAAACAACCCAGTGTAATAGCTCTATGTCACATATTGGATTCACATTTTAAGTTTTTAAAAGCTGGAGAAAGTGTGTGTGGATAGGGAAGTCTGGGCGTCTCTGTTTAGACTGCTGCCCCTGCGACCTGGCAACGGATGAAGCGGAAGAAAATGGAATGGATGGATCTTAAGTCAAGCTTTACTGTTTGATTACAGAAAGAAACGCACTTTTGAACAATATTCTAAGTTTCTTCTGTGATATCCAGTCTTGTAGTACGGGGTGTCCAAAGAGCGGTTTCTTTTTTTATTGTGTTATTTTTTTTCCCTCTATGTGTCTAAAATAATGATGTAGAGAGTGGAAGGCTGGCATGACCTGGACAACACAGAGTACGACTGCTGGCCAATCAACAATCCTAATGATTACAACATGATAAGCTGCGGAGGTGAGAACACAAAAACAAGAATTTCTAGAAACAAAATGGGACTGTGAATGAATATAGTGCTTTTTGTAGGTTTGGAGATGGCCTGGGTGCAAAGGCCTCCGGAGAAAGTGACCAACGGGGAAGAGTTTAATGTGTCGTACACGGTTACAGCATCAGATTCATTCTATGACTACGCTGTGAAGAACAAGATTTTCCAGTTCAGGTACTCGTCCTGTTGTTTTCCCTCAACGTCCAAAATGAAAACATTGAAAGTGCCATTTCAGCAAAAGAAAAGCAGAACCCTGGCTTCCTATGCATGTTTGTCTTTTTATGAATGCTTGTGATATGTTTTGCAGCTTGCGTTAAGGCATACAAAATGTCCTCTCATAACTAATCTATTTGTTCGTCCCAACAGAAAGAATTTTATGAAAGTAAAATGTTACCCCAACATCTTTTTGCATGCTTGAAAGAACCTTTAAGTCACTATTTGACACTTTGACCTGAGAGCTTATTGGCTGTCTGGGGAGGGTCCTCTCTTCTTCAATTTTCTGTGTACAAAAATAAAATAATACTTCATGCATGTTTTTGAACTGTTTTAAGAGTAAGGAATTTCATGACATTTCGGCAGTATCTCAGTCCTGCCGACCTAATACTCACCTAATTACTTAATTTTGAAAATGTGGTCACAGCAAATACATTGACCCAATATTGACTAAATAATTTTAAATATAAATCTTAAGACATCTCTTTATTTTCTTTCACTGAGCTAAATTTCAAGTCCGTCACTCTTGAATGAGAAAATATCTTGATGAAGTGGAAGGAAACTAGTCTTGGATAAATTGTTGTTTGTCGCTGCAGCGATCCAGCCGATGCAATAAGTTTCTGTCACGACCACGAATGCCCCTCCAACTGGAACAACGCAAATGAGATGAACTGTTGTATTTATCACGCCAACATCCACTCCTGCCCTCTCGCTCTCATGGTACGCACTTTCAGCAAAGTCTCCTGCAGAAGGCCTTCACACACCCTCATCCCTTTCTTTATTCATTTTGTAGAACTCATATTTTCATGTTGTCTCATTGCAGAAACATGGAGGAATCTGTGGGCCATGGATTCCAGATGACGGCAAAATAGTCACCCATACGGTCTCCAAAGCTGGCACCATGGCTCAGAAATACTGGACTTCCAAGGTGAATCACAAGACAAAGTAATAACAGTGTTTAATAATTATTATCATTTATTTTGATGAATCAATACTTCAGCTAACCCGTTGAGAAAGAATATCTGTCCTGAGAGAGAGACAGAGACGCCTCACAATACACTTTATATCAGCTATTTCAGAGAGAAACAAGGATACAGGTGAAAAAGAGAGGACTCTGTAGATAACCTCTATTAGATGCAGACAGCATGTTGTGGTCTGGTTTTGTTAATAAAATTGCATGGATTATTTATGGGGAAAAGTGTGAATATTAAATCATATTTGTCATATCTGGAAACAATTAAAGTGGTGATTATGTATTGTGTGAGTCCAAGACAAATTTCCTACGAGACATAATAAATTAATCTTGAATCTTGTATTGCAAATTGATTTGTTTAGGTGGTGCTGATACATGTTGGAGTCACCTCAGTTATTGCTCATATTAAAATCGGACAAATGCACTCGGCACTGGAGTCGAAAGTGCTTGTAGTCTCTCCTCAAGGTCTGTGGTAAATTTCACCTTTCATTCTATTCTTTTTTTTGATAGTGTGTTGAGAAAATCTGCAATTGTATGATCTTGTTCCAGTGTGTGGGGACAATGAGTGTGAGTTGGAGGAGAATTGTCTGAACTGCCCGGCTGACTGTGGCAACTGCCCCATGTCCATCACCATCAAAGTGGCCATTGCCCTCCCTGTCGCCCTCTTCTGCAGTGGATTCATCTTAACTCTAGTGGTCAGTGGTTTGAGCAATAGTGAATTATAGTAAAGGACGATAAACTTTGAAACCACACAAGCTATGTCATAAAACCCATGTGACAACTTTCTATAGATCTCAAAACAGTTTGGTTCTATCGCTAGTTTTATTTATAGACTGTATGTAGATGGACAATGCTAACCCGCTAGCTCAATGAAGCCAAAGTTTTGCCCTTACTCGCTCTGGCTCCTTTTTGACTTTTATTGAAACGTAAACTCCTCATGCACAGTAACTGTTTGTGTCACTCTGGTAACTCAGTTGCTCAGTCGTTGCTACCCATAGATTTGCACACATTTGGCTTCAGCTTCTAGCTCAAACAGCCTGTTCAAGCTCGCTCTAATCAGCTCCTTTCATAAAAAGGCAAACTCTATGAGTGACTTCAGTGCTAGGTTTGTCGACTCCTCTTTGTTCTATGATTTTCTGGCCTCTGTCACATTTTATATGAGAGTAGGCCTACCGGCCCTCACTCAGCCAATCGACTGCCAGTATGTACCAGATAAAATGTTTTCTAATAAATGACAGACAAACACAAAAAACATCTATTCATGAAACCAACCAAACAACTTTTACTATGCTCATCGTTGCAGTGGCTTCAATACCAGAAGCAGAAGATGTTTTGGGATGAAAGTTGGATCATAAGCTACAACAAAATACTGTTTGGTAAGTAGACCCTCATAAGTCTGTCATATCAATACAGCACTCTTCTGTAGCTACAGTATTGTGTGCAGGTAAACTCAGTTACATGGGGAGTGCCATGAGCCTGCAGCGTGCCATGAGCAGCTCGGCTGTAAGTCGAACCACTGACATCACTGTGTGCACAGAGGTCAACGCGGCCTTCAAACCAGGATCCATTCAGCTGGGCATCTAGTAAGACCATACTCTCACTTGAAAAACATGCTCTGTGATCCTGGAAAGGCTTACAGCACTTGTGTCAGCCTGACTCAGGGCAGCTGTGGCTACATTAATACAGCAGTTTACCATGTCATGTGAAGCTTCTTTTTTTTTGGCAGAGACTGTGTGACCATCATTATAAATGTGCTAGAATTATTCAGGCAGCACGGTGGAAGGTTTCATTCCTGGGTCAGGCAGGACCTTTTTGTGTGGCGTTTGCATAGGTTTCCTCTGGGTGCTACAGTTTCCCATACCACTGGAAACATGTAGTTGAGGTGTGTGTTTGAGTGTGATGTAAGGATTTAGCAGACAGAGACGGATCGTGGTGTGCCAAACTCTGGAAGTTTATTTAAGTTGCTCTCAAGTTCCACTGGTTTACTCTGTTTCTTTTCCTCAGACAGAATAAAGGCAGTACACAGTTTATATAGTCATTGTCACGTCACACATCGAAAGACATACGTGTCACAAAGAGACAGTCACATCATAGTCATAACATGGAGTCCTTGTAGAGTCCTTGTACAGTCCTGCACGTAGGCCATATTGCTATCTAATACTAACAGTGACAGTGGGACAACGAATGGATATTATCCCAAGACCACAATCTGCTGTCTGTTACAGCACCTATTGACCAAAAGCAATTATTATGTATTAAAACATATTATAATAACAATCAACTTTGTCTTGTTTCAGTGATGGGAAAACAGTTGCTGTGAAACACATACAGAAGAAAAATTTCACTCTTTCTAAAACCATTAGGAAAGAGGTAAAAGAAGTCAGGTAAGACCATCCGCCAAGAACAGCAAGAACACACAACACCCAGAATACAGTTGATCGTGTCTATTGAATTGACAGGCAACTGGACCACCCAAATTTGTGCAAGTTTATCGGAGGTTCCATTGAAGTTCCTCATGTGTGTGTGATTACTGAGCACTGCCCCAAAGGAAGTCTGTCCGACGTCCTGCTCAACTATGACATTCCCATCAACTGGGGATTCAGGTGCAACTACACATGTGTTAGACCAGAACAGTATCCTCTCAACCGGTTGTGTTCATGTGAATTCAAGTCGCACCAGCCCGCTAACTCTGTGGATTTTTTTAAAGAAATTTCCCAGAGCATTAGTTGATGAATGACTCAATTCACATGCACTCCATATAAGATAGATAGATAGATTGATTCAGGTGTCCAGTATCGCAGCAGAAACACAAATAAATAAATCATTCTAAAAAATAGCTAATGATAGTATTAAAATGCAATAGCACTTTAGGTCACAGCAGCAGAGGTGGTGTAGCCTCTTGTTTCGGACCATTTTCTCTGCTCTAGTCCAAAGTGAAATGCTAAATGACAAAAAAAAACCATGAACACTGTACTGCACCAAAATCTCAGGTAGAAAAAAGCAAGAAAAATAACAATTGTAAAGCACAAAACAACAACTTGCTGTTGTTTCCAGCGCATTCATACGTAAACAATGCCACATATTATTCTTATGCCTGAAAGTGCTTTCTACTGGCCAACATCATGCATATTTTTTAAATCACTTGACTGTCTTTTCACACTTACCATAGTTACCAGGAATGATTTTTCACCTGCCCTCCATCACAGTTGTATACAGTGTTGTGTTGTGATGTCACATGAATGGGAATGTATGGATACAAGCAGCTGCCAGACACTGAAAAGTCCCATGTATTGTCATTGAGTTACCTTTTTGCTTGGCCCTCAGACTCTCCTTTGCCACTGATGTTGCCCGAGGGATGGCCTATCTTCACCAGCACAAGGTGTTCCATGGGAAACTCCACTCCAGGAATTGTGTGATTGATGACCGCTGGGTTTGTAAAATCTCAGGTAACACAGCTTGATCATCTTGAAGCCTTATCACGAAGAGGTGACGTTCCACACACAACTGTGTGACGATAAACAGATTATATAGACTCTTGAACAAGCATCTGTGTTGTTAAAGTGTATAAACAACATGTGCAGCTGTTTTTTTCTGTTTGATTTCAGATTATGGGCTCACTGCTTACAGAAAAGGAGATTTTGAGGCTATGAGCAATAGTTTGAAATATGGGGACGTAAACCGTGTGTACTGCGCTCCTGAGGTCCTTCTGGGCAGCAGCACCACTGTGACTCAGGGCGCTGATGTTTACAGGTATAAAGAAATGTTTATGCTTTTTCCATTCTTGTTTCAACATGCGGCCTGAAATGTAGTGGTGGTTATGATGATCAAACACAACTTACGGGTGACACTCAGAAAATTAGAATAGAGTTTATTTGTAAAACCAAATTATGATGTGCATTCAATACACACAAAGTGACCTTCTGTCAGGTTTTTGTTTGTTACCCTTTTGATGATTATGGCTTACAAATGTTTTGTTTGGGGTTTTTACAAGCCGGGAGACAATTATCAACATAATGATAAATAGATGCTTGATATATTTCGGTTTGTGTATAATGAGTCAATCACTTTTTAATTAATAATCTTTCAAGTTTGTTTTTTGTCAAATTGGTTTGAATGGTGGACATAATAATAACAACAAAAAAAGAATTGTAGTTTTGCTCAATTATTGTGAAATGTAATATTGTAATTTGATGCGACTATAAAGGCACCTTTATGAGAAAAATATAATAATATAAAATAATAACAATAATAATATTATACTGTAACCATCACTCATGTTGGCATCGTTTCAACATTCCTCTTCACTTCCTCTTAATCCTGTGTTAAACATTCTTTTGACAAGTGAATTCATCCTGAAAATGTAACTATAGAAATATTGTCCAAGTGTTTGCCAGTTTTTTACTTTGTTGAAATCTTGATATTTCAAATGAAACATTTCTCCTGTGTTCCTTGTCAGCTACTCTATGATTCTGGTGGAGATTGCGACTCGCTGTGACCTCCTTTCAGTGAGTATAGCAGCCAGATTACAACCTTCAGGTTGGTTTGATCTGGGTAACAACAGCCTTCTGCACCAGGACCAGACCGAGGGAGTGAGGGTAGATATCATGTGGCGGCCTCCTTTGCCTGAGGTCAGAGCTGGGAAGGCAGACACTGACTGCCCCAGCCAGTTGGCCTATTGTGAGGTATTGTGAGGGATCTGGTGTAATGTTAGTAGATACATTCATATATCAGCATAAACCAACTTTATTTTCAACAGCTCATAAAGAAGTGCTGGTCTCATAACATCACCATGAGGCCCACTTTTGAACAAGTCAAAAAGATGCTGGACAAGATGAACCCTCACAGAGTCAGCCCAGTGGACATGATGATGAATCTGGTAACAACCTAAAACAAGTCAACATTCAGGTCATAGAGACAATTACATTTTATAAATTCCACTCAATCATAGATGGAGAAGTACAGCAAGCACCTGGAGGCCATTGTTGCAGAGAGGACACAAGACCTGCTGCAGGAAAAGCAAAAGACTGATCGTCTTCTGTACAGTAAGCTATAACCCTCATACAGATGTATGCGCTGCTAAAAACACTGTTCACTAACCGTGATGCAGTTCTGTGGCGCTTACTGCCACCTAGCGGTCATTCACAGACGCGTGTCTCTGAAACAGGTATGCTCCCAAAGCCAGTTGCTGATGATTTACGCCAAGGTCGAACTACAGAGGCCCAGAGCTTTGCCAATGCCACAGTGTATTTCAGGTTGCCAAATCCAAACACCAGAAAATGTAATTTGTGAATTGGAAATGTAATATTTATTTTGAAATTGTAATTTCTCGGCACAGTGATATTGTTGGTTTCACAATGTTGTCTGGAGCCAGCACTCCTCATCAAGTTGTGGATTTTTTAAATCAACTCTACACCACCTTTGATGATATAATTGACAATTACGACGTTTATAAAGTGGAGACCATAGGAGATGCGTGTACGTATATATTATATATAACTGTATTTTCTGCATTATGCTGGTTTAGCCAATGCTCTGTCTGTTTAGACATGGTGGTTTCTGGGGTGCCCAATGAAAATGGCATCAATCATGCAGGGGAAATAGCCAGCATGGCTCTGGATTTGGTCAGTGTCTGCCATAGCTTCAAGATCCCCCACAAACCCGGCACTCAGCTGAAGATACGAGCAGGGATCCACTCAGGTATTGGTGCTTGTGTAAATTCAACCAAACTGTAGGCTACGTGAATGTGTTATTACACCATTTTGTAAGACAGTGAGACTTCCAATGCAAACTGCTTTTAATACTGTGTCAAACGTATGTTACATTCCTGCTCCATATCCTCCATTAAAGGCAACACACTGCATGTTTGGGTTACTTGCAGTTATTGTTATATGAAATTTGTTGTTTTTTGTGGGGTTGTTGGATTCAAACACAAAACTGCACTTTAATTCTAAGGAGTTATTTTTCCATATTAAAGTAAGTAATTTATATGGTTAATATAAATGGAGGTACAGCAGGAAAAAAAAAGTGTGTTTACTTCGAGCAGTTATCATTCAGTAGCCTCTTACCAGTGTGTGACCAAAAACATACACTTGAATCAATTGACTTTCAAAGTCATAATGGTATTAAAATAACTGCTCCGGGAGTTAAAGGATGGACCTCAAATTAAAATATAATTACATAAACTCTACAGAAAAAGTCACAAATGTACTGCTCTGGGAATTCTAGTGTCTAGTATTGATAATACATCCTTTTTCTTTATCTCTCACAGGACCAGTGGTTGCTGGAGTAGTTGGAACAAAAATGCCACGATACTGTCTTTTTGGTGACACAGTAAACACAGCCTCTCGTATGGAATCCACAAGTGACGGTAGAAAATTGTTTTGATATATTTTATTACCAACAGTATTTGAGTCTAATATTGTTGAATATGTTCTAATTATTATTGTGATTTTTGGTCCAGCTCTTAAAATTCAGGTGAGTGACACAACAGCAGAACTGCTCAACCGTCTGAAGGGTTACGTCCTGATCTGCAGAGGAACACTGGATGTGAAGGTACTACAGTATGCACTCGAGTGACTTCTACTACAGTTATATATCAGTCCTTTCCATAATTCCTGCTGAACACGAACATGCTATCACAAAAATAATGTGGGTCAACTATTTCCCTTTTCATCTTTCTAGCATTGTATGGACCAGTTTTTGTGTAACTTAATCTGTGGGTTAGGGTGGTGCCGGGTCCGGGGGAAGGGGATCTCAGCTGCTGCTCTCTGCTCCTTGACCAGAGCTTTATTTAAAATGCAGAAAACGCCCGTTCTGTAACACGACTCCGCTCTTTTGCTCATGTCTCCCTTCATCTTTGTTTCTTGAACTCTCAGGGCAAAGGGGAGATGCAGACATGGTGGCTTGAAGCTAAAAGACACTTTCAAATGGATCCGTTACAGACAGAATCGAGAGGAGTCCCAGTCCCAGTCAGCAACTAGACTTAAATGTTTTTAACCCTCAATTACTCAAGTAATCGTAGGTATTAATAATAAACAATATTTTGTATAGCTTCTTAACATAATAAAAGCCTTTGATGATAGTCTGCCTTGTTTTGCAAATGTTTTGTACTTTCTGCAAATTGTGAATATTGATAATACTGCTATTATTGTTTATTTTGTTTTTATTGTTGTTGATTATAATTCTGTAATATTGTATTATTCAACATTTTATTACACATCTGCTCTTCCTGTAATTAAATGTCTCATGCAATGCAATAGATGGTTTTTACTTATTGCTCCCCTATCCATCCAAGTGTACTCGGAATACGCTTTCAAAAAGCAATTTATTTTTTAAATATTCAGAATATATTCAAATACCAAATAATAATATCACAATTATACAACAGTTTAGTAAAAAAAAAATCAAACATTATTTTTCTAATTACCAATAAAAACAAACACAAACTTGGCACAAAAGGTCGCAATATTGTATGATGCAAATGAGTGTATTCATAAAATAGTATTCAGATTAGACCATATTATGGAATATGTCACAAAATACAAACCTGGTGTATCTAACTTTTCCTCAAGAATTTCAACTATGTAATATATTCTATTAAACTAGTTCCTTTGGTTTTCAACTTAAGTTTTCATGTGTAACATTTACAGATAATATTTTTCAGGCAGAAAAGTTAAGGACCACTCTGACTCAGCCCAAAGCCTCAAATGGTCACTCACGTCTTACGAGTATGCAAAAAATAATGATTATATGTTCTACTAAGATAAAGACTGCACGCTGGTCAAGTTTGTCCACAGAACTTAATCATAACAAGGCTCATTTTTGCATTTTGCATTAGTAGCCAATCACATTGAGCCATGTACGGTTGCTAGACAACGGCGGGACCAATAAGCCTCCTGTTTGGTTGCGTGTTTTCAATGTGCCGTTTGCACCATAAACATTTGTTTTTCCATCAAAATAACCACTGCAGTCTTTGGTCTCAACGCTCCGCAGCGAGGCTCTGCTTCACGCTTTCATCTGTCCAAAAGTAAGTCTCAGCATCATTCATTCACATGTGACAAAGCAGCACTGACTTATGTTGCTCTTGGCGCCTCGTTCTTAGTTCTTAGTTATTATTAGTTTACTTTTGTGTTTGAATTAACACCAGTTTTTCAGGTAAATGGTCACTCTCTGCAACATGTTGTGGAACGTTCCTTTAGTAAAACTTGTTGTGACCAAATACGTTTCTAAATATGGCTCAAGTTAGTTTGTTTGTAAATATGCCATAAATAGCTTTCACTTTTATTATAGGTTGGCTACTAATAACAAAGTAGGCCAACAGCACCAGTGCTATGGACCAAAACAGACTAAAGGAAAGGTCACTACTTGTTGGAGTTGGTGTAAGCCGGTCATATCTTATCTGGGTTTAAGGACATTGAGGCTGTCGGCCATCTGTTTACCAAGGCTGATTAAGTGTCACTGAGACCAAAGTGCGTGTGTGTGTGTGTGTGTTGGGGGGTGCGTGCGTGCATGTGTGTTTGTACTGCACATGCATCTTCATTGATTAGGGTCCTAATTTCCCCCCTCCTAAATAAAACTATTTCCCGTGCTTTGGTCTATGCTGTTCTGCTTTGTGTCATGGATCAATGTGATAAGTTTATGATAATAGCCTATAACCAACATCAACATGGTCCCCTTGTACACTATACAGACCAACACATTTGATGTGTGTTTGTCAATATAATTAAATATACAGTTTACACTAATAGTACCCTATGGTCTTTATAATAAAGGGAACCAACTGAATGCAGCTAATCTGACCAGGATCAGGTACGTCTGGATGTCGGATCAGTCCACGTGAACCTTAATCAGACTCGTAGCCTGAAAGCTGCACAGCAATAATGCCAGAGTCCTTCTTGAGTGAGTAAACGTGATTGTTATTGTCATCATATCAACATCTTGTTTAATGTTTTAACAACATGAGTTTTTATTGTCTTTCTGCTAGATTTCAAGGACAGTGGCTGCAGTTCTGTTGAATATAGAGCATCTCCCCAAAGAATGTTTCACCAGCCGTCTCTGCACCGGAGCTCTGTGTGCTCCACTTTCTGCACGGATGGAAATGTGCAAGAATGTCTGCTCCACATAACCCAGGTTAGTGTCCTATCCCTTTATTGTCTTTACATTTCCTAGAAAAACTTTTAGCTGAAACATCATAATTATTTATACTTCAGTCAAATGGCAGAAAAAAGTAGAGTAAAAAATGAAAATAATTCCTCAATCGAGTGCCACAAATACTATGGTAGATTGTAGAGATAATTGCTCTTTTGTTGCTTTTCATTGAAGCAAAGAGTGTGGCAAAACAACATTATGCAAACTCTTTTTGATCGCTGTTATGGCTTCATTTAGACAATCTGCTGCCTCAAAGTCGATAACTGATGAGCAAAAGTCACAAATCTCAGAGCAGGCACAACGAGTAATTATGGAATTATTTTTTAATTGCAATAAGACTTTTGTTGTGAGTTTCATTATATTTAATTTAATGTATTTATTTAATCTATGTTGAGCTGTTGTTGTAATGATTTAAATCTGAGATAAGAAACATAAAATTGTGGCCTACGCATATATGTGAACATGCCCACAACTTCCACCAACTGAAGTAAGGGGCACATGGAGGTGCATCTGCCATGTTTCCATTAGATACATTTGCTTTGACCTTCAGATAACCCAAAACGTCAAGTCGAAAATGACTGACTGCTGTATGCTGTTCTATGCTTAGTTAAAGTGATTGTCTGGAGTTTGTCAGAAAAGAGAGAGGTACAAGATTTGAAAAAAAGCTACGAGCATCAGCGCCGATGATTGACAGCCCTCGGCATCACTTGATTGGTTAAACTGGACGGCATCGTGGATTCTGAGCTATAGCTAAGAGAAGGGAAGGCGGGACTTACCCGTAATATTAGACTTCATAAAATGACTTATTTTTATCAACATTTAAGGCCAGGAGGGCAATTCAATACAATTCTTAAAATTTGTAATTCATTTAGAATTCCAGACTATCACTTTAAAAAGTATTTTTTTATATATGTGCAAATATCATCTAATTTCCTCTTTAGAATTAGTCCTATGTTCTTGATATCACCAAGTCTGGGATCCATGTCAAAATTGAACCTGGACTCTTTCTCCTAATCCTTGTCCTGACCCAATGACACCGGGTTGGTTGGCCATAACACTGATTCTAGACACAATCAAATTCAACACTCATCTAGTGGTGATATCAGATCAATGGTTATTACAGTATGTGAAATGAGGCACGTTAACCATATTCATGTCACTCATTTTCCCTCTTTCAGGAAATGGCATCGCTTGGCCTGTCTCCAATTTGGGTTGAATCTACCAGGCCCTCAGAGTTGGAAGTTGTGGCTGTGCTAAATTGCATTCATGATCTGATTCAGCTGCACCTTAAGGACCTCCGGGCTCTGGAAAACATGGAAGTGGAGCAGCTCAAGTCAAACAGTAGCATAGACTCCCTGCAAATCACAAGCACTCAATTAAAGGTATCTATCTATCTATCTATATATCTGTCTCTCTATCTCTCTATCTCTCTCTAGATCTATCTATCTTTCCATCTGTCTATTCATCTATCTATCTATCATCTATCTACCTACCTCTTACTGTAAATACTGTGCAGGAGGAACTTGAACATTATAAAAGAGAAAACAATGGACTTCATGAGAGAGAGCGCCAACTACAACACAAAGTCAAAAGTTTGCAACATGGCCTTAAAAATGAAAAAGAAGAGGTAATGTGTTATTACAGTTTTCTCAGTCGCTTTGGTGCCTTTTTCACATCACTATTAACGTTTGCACAGCAGTTTGTGCATTTCTCAGAACAATTAGTGCAAACTGCAAAACCTTGTGGAAAACCTGCAAAAGTGCATCACCTTCTCAAAATGAAAAGTGAATTCCTCAAAAGCAAGTCTTCGTGTCAATGAAATTGTCTGTGTCATCAGAGTAATAAGTCCTGACAGTGTTTATGAACAACACAGTCAAATGGTTGAGTCATGTTTTCATTGTGAGACTTTACTCTCTGTGTTTTCAATGCAAAAAAGTCAGATCTTGGTGAAACTGCCTGAAAAGGACAGCACTATACACTGTACGACCACACATTACTGTATTTAGTGAACTTTACAGTAACAGTAAAAGATACATATGTATGTATTATGAGTATATACTGCATATTCTCTTTGCTATTCTACAGCATTTTGCAAAAATGTTTCTTAATTAGAACAAACATAAGAAATAGCATTATGGTAGAAAGAGAGGGGCGGAGCTGTCAACCGATCATCACCTGGTCGTGAGTTGGATCCGCTGGCAGGGGAAGAAGCCGGTCAGACCTGGCAGACCCAAGCGTATAGTGAGGGTCTGCTGGGAACGTCTCGCTGAGCCCCCTGTCAGACGGACTTTCAACTCACACCTCCGGGAGAGTTTCTCCCAGGTCCCGGTGGAGGAGGGGGACATGGAGTCCGAGTGGACCATGTTCTCTGCCTCAATCGCCGATGCGGCGGCTCGTAGCTGTGGTCGCAAGGTCTCTGGTGCTGGTCCCGGCGGCAACCCCCGAACCCGGTGGTGGACACCGGCAGTAAGGGAAGCTGTCAGGCTGAAGAAGGAGTCCTATCGAGCCATGATGGTTCGGGGGACTCCTGAGGCAGCTGTCCAGTACCGGCAGGCCAAGCGTGCCGCGGCCCGGGCTGTTGCAGAGGCAAAAACCCGGGACTGGGAGGAGTTCGGAGAGTCCATGGAGCATGACTATCGGTCGGCCTCAAAGAAATTCTGGCAAACCGTCCGGCGCCTCAGGAGGGGGAAGCAGTTCTTTGCCAACACCATGTACGGTGCGGGTGGAGAGCTGCTGACCTCGACGGGGGATATTGTCGGGCGGTGGAAGGAATACTTTGAGGTTCTCCTCAATCCCCCCGTCACGTCCTCTGTCTCAGAGGCAGAGGCTGAGGATGCTGGGGCGGATACATCCATCTCCCTGGCTGAGGTCACCAAGGTGGTTGGTAGCCTCCATGGTGGCAAGGCTCCGGGCGTGGATGAGATCCGCCCTGATTATCTAAAGTCTCTGGATGTTGTAGGACTGTCTTGGCTGACACGTCTCTGCAACATCGCGTGGCGATCGGGGGCGGTGCCAATGGAGTGGCAGACCGGGGTGGTGGTCCCTCTCTATAAGAAGGGGGACCGGAGGGTGTGTTCCAATTATCGTGGGATCACACTCCTCAGCCTCCCCGGTAAGGTCTACTCCAAGGTACTGGAGAGGAGGCTACGGCCGATGGTCGAATCTCGGATCCAGGAGGAGCAGTGTGGTTTTCGTCCCGGTCGCGGAACACTGGACCAGCTCTATACTCTCCATCGGATACTCGAGGGTTCATGGGAGTTCGCCCAACCTGTCCACATGTGCTTTGTGGATTTGGAGAAGGCGTTCGACTGTGTTCCCCGGGGTGTCCTTTGGGGGGTTCTCCGGGAGTACGGGGTCGGGGGTCCTCTGCTGAGGGCCATCCGGTCCCTGTATGACCGGAGCCAGAGCTGTGTTCGCATTGCCGGCAGTAAGTCAGACCTGTTCCCGGTGAATGTTGGCCTCCGACAGGGCTGCCATTTGTCACCGGTTCTGTTCACTGTATTTATGGACAGAATATCTAGGCGCAGCCAGGGGTCGGAGGGGGTCCAGTTCGGGGACCACAGGATTTCATCTCTGCTGTTTGCGGACGATGTTGTCCTGTTGGCTCCAACGAACCAGGACCTGCAGCATTCACTGGGACGGTTTGCAGCCGAGTGTGAAGCGGCTGGGATGAGAATCAGCACCTCCAAATCTGAGGCCATGGTGCTCGACCGGAAAAAGGTGCCCTGCCCTCTTCAGGTGGGTGGAGAGGTCCTTCCTCAAGTGGAGGAGTTCAAGTATCTCGGGGTCTTGTTCACGAGTGAGGGAAGAATGGAGCGTGAGATTGACAGGCGGATCGGTGCAGCGTGCGCAGTGATGCGGTCGCTGTATCGGACCGTTGTGGTAAAGAGGGAGCTGAGCCGAAAGGCAAAGCTCTCGATTTACCGGTCAATCTTCGTTCCCTCCCTCACCTATGGTCATGAGCTTTGGGTAATGACCGAAAGAACGAGATCGCGGATACAAGCGGTCGAAATGAGCTTCCTCCGCAGAGTGGCTGGGCGCTCCCTTAGAGATAGGGTGAGGAGCTCGGAGTAGAGCCGCTGCTTCTCCACGTCGAGAGGAACCAGTTGAGGTGGCTCGGGCATCTGTTCCGGATGCCTCCTGGACGCCTCCCTGGGGAGGTGTTCCGGGCACGTCCCACCGGGAGGAGGCCCCGCGGAAGACCTAGGACACGCTGGAGGGACTATGTCTCTCAGCTGGCCTGGGAACGCCTTGGGGTCCCCCCGGACGAGCTGGAGGAAGTGTGTGTGGATAGGGAAGTCTGGGCGTCTCTGCTTAGACTGCTGCCCCCGCGACCCGGCAACGGATAAAGCGGAAGAAAATGGATGGATGGATGGGTAGAACTGTGACAAATCTAAACAATAAAAGAGAACATATTACTGTAAACTGAACATTCCTGTCTGTCTGCCACATATTTTCGTCTCAGGGATGTCTTCCCTTACAAGACATAAACAAATGATAATGTTATAAAACAGCAGAGAATTGTATGAAAGTAACTGATACATGAACAAAAGCATTTGCAATGTGTTCAAAGGAGAAACTGCTCCGATGATGTCACACATGACTCAATGTTGTGGAGGTTGAACAAATAGTTGTGAGAACTTTCATTCTGATCTGAGAAAAGCACCAAAGCGACTGAGAAAAACTGTAATATGCAGATGTTTTATGAAATCAATAGTTATACATTACGTTTTGAACCAGGTGCAAAAACTTCAGAGCATCATCTCAACCCGGGCTGGCCAGTACAATCATGAGATGAAGAGGAAAGAGAGAGAGTTTGACAAATTGAAGGAGCGATTGAATCAACTCCTTTCTGACAAAAAAGACAGAAAACAAGGTTGTAAATAATGTACTTTTTTGTTGTTTTGCATATCCACTCAACTTGATTATTTGGTTTTTAATGTTACTTTTTGTTGCCATTTTTCAGCCATAGACGTGTTGAACAGAGTCGGACGAGCAGATGGGAAGCGAAGCCTTTGGAAAACAGAGAAGACGGAAGCCAAGTGAGTTTTTATTTGGTCTAAACCTCCATGTTTTTTCTCACTTGTTTTTTATTTACATTTTTTGTAATCAAGTAAGTAATCTTTATTTATATACTGCCTTTCACAGACCAGAGTCACAAAGCAGTTTACAATTGTTATTTTTGGGCATTTGTCCTCACTCCACACAGTACAGGAGGCGTCATCAAACTCATGCCTCCCATCATGAATATAACTAATTTTACTAAGTAGAAGAAAAGTCAATTTAGTTAATTTAGTCAGATTCAGATTCATTTTAATTGCCATTTTCAGTAAAACAACATTGAAATACATCCACAAAAGTCCCCAGAGCGCACAAACAAGTAAATAAAACAAGGTTCAAAGTAGTTTCAATACGAGCGCAAGAAAGTTATAGTGCCAGTTAGTGACAATGAATTCAGTGTGTTGAACTGTATTTTTCATAGACGTGAAGAAGAAATGTATAAAACTCTACTAAACGATTACGACAACCGTCAGAGAGACCTCCTGCAGGAAAATGCGGAACTAAAAAAAATCTTGCAGCAAATGAAGAAGGACATGGTGTCCATTCTCAAGTCAAAAAAATCCACCAAAACAGATAAATTTGAACGTTTCCAGGTAAGACTAGCACATTCTGTCCAAATACCAATGAATATATCATTTTTTTTCTTTGTTACAGAAAGAGGATGATGATGATGAGGAGGAAGATGCACTCAATTCCACAAAACACAGTGTGGAGCTGTTTAGTGATGATGCTCGAGAACAACTAACAAATGGTGTTCGGCTTCAGTGGAGGCGACTCAAAAACCACATGGAAACACTAGACAGCAAAGGTACTTATCGTTCTAAAAACTAACAATAGTAATAATCAGCAACAGCCCTTCAGGTCACAGCAGCAGAGGTGGAGTAGCCTCTTGCTTCTCAGCAAGAAGGTCCTGGGTTCGAATCCCAGTCAGACCAGGGCCTTTTTGAGTGGAGTTTGCATGTTCTTCCCTTGTCTGTGTAAGTTTCCTCCGGGTGCTCCGGTTTCCCCTACCACTAAAAACATGTACAATAGGTTTGGCATGAGCCTCCTGTACTGGTGACCCCGCTCCCATCTCTGTGTGGAGTGAGAGACAAATGCCCAGAATTGTTAAACGCTTTGTGACTCTGGTCTGTGAAATGTGGTATATAAATAAAGATTACTTACTTATTTTCTTGGGTGGAGCAGGACGGGTCACAGCAGCAGAGATGGAGTAGCCTCAGGGTTGAGCAAGACAGGTCACAGCAGCAGAGATGCAGTGGCCTCTGGGTGGAGCAGGACGGGTCACAGCAGCAGAGGCTTCAGTGAACTTCAGTGAACTCTAGAGTCTCACTGTTCATTTAGCAGTCGAGTACGATCTATTGTCTACACTATGCACCGACTGTGAATTTTTCCCATCTCAACTATCTTGAGTTTATTATTTATTTATTTATTTATTATTTATTCTCAACTTTTTTTGAGTTTATTCTCATAATATTTCGAAATTAATCTCATGGTTTTGCAACTTTTAAGGGAAACTATTCAGACTTTAATCTCAGAGCGTCTGGCACAAAAAGTTATTATGTGTTACCTCCATACGTCCAGCTTCAGAAGCCAATAGGTTAGGGTATAGCCCACCTCTAAAAAAACCTTCTCCACCGACTCCCGCTGATGACTGCTGTCGTTGTGTCCTTGGGCAAGACACTTAACCCCACTTTGCCCAAAAGCCCCCACTGAAAGATCAAGGCCATGCTCACACTCAGAGAGCAGCCGTCCTCCTGTGGACTCACCACCTGCAGAGGGTCAGTGAGGGGCTGGTGCTATGAGACTTGGGTGGCATCTCTGACTGCCACCCCCCTGACCCAGAAATGGATTAAAGGGTAGAAAATGGATGGATGGATGGATGGCATTCCCAAAGTCAGTAACACCTTGACTTTTAAGGCCCCCTTAAAAATCTGACGGGTCTGCGCGGCCCCCCGAAATAATAACCAAGAAGACAATGTTCAGAATAGGCTCTTCTCGTTATTTTATTTGGGGGAAATAGCCTCTGCTACAAACATGTAATTGACGCACCCCATTTTGTAATACAAAAATGATTACAATTTGATTATTCAAGTCAAGTAATGAACACAAATATTTTAATATTACAAACAAAATATTGTCAATTTAACATACTTTTTTTTTAATGACCTCTCACGGCCCCCCTGCAATACCCTCATAGCCCACCAGGGGGCCGCGGTAATAAGCTATGTTCTCTACCAGTATGAAACACCTCGCAGGCTGTCCTTTTCACAGTCTCAAATTTTCTACTGAGCAGAAATTAGTTTTACTCTTGTTTTAAGTACCTGAAAGAGCTATATTTCTATATATATAGTTACAGAACAGTAGGAATGAGAGCACACAGCACAAGAAAAACGAACAATAGCTATACTGATAAAAATAAAATTAAGATTAAATAAAATAAAATCTGTAACTCTAGCATTAAAGACACAAATATAAAATCTCTATCTTAAACATGATAAAGAAGTATAAAATCTCTAAATTTGGCAAAATAAGAAGCAACTATAAAGTACTGTGTATTCTAGTGCAAGCAATATGTATGGGTATGTTGGCAGAAGTATGTTTACATCTGTACATTAGCAGCAGTATGTTTACATCTGTACATTAGCAGCAGTATGTTTACATCTGTACATTAGCAGCATGAGGCTCTGGGACACAGGGACTCAGTAAAGTGACAGTGACATGTGGTTCTATCCTGCACATTCTGACATTAGCTCAAAGAATAGATTTTAAAACAGCTCTGCTTGTGTACAAGTCTCTCCATGGCCTTGCACCAGAATACATTAGTGACATGTTGGTGTCATATGAACCGGCCCGGACTCTGAGGAGCACAGGGACTGGCCTCCTGCTGGTGCCCAGAGTGAGAACCAAACATGGGGAGGCTGCGTTTCAGATCCATGCAGCTAAGATCTGGAACAATCTCCCTGAAAATGTGAGGGAGGCGTCTACTCTGTCAATGTTCAAATCCAGGTTAAAGACTGTTCTGTTTGCCTGTGCATACAACTGAAGGATTTTATCTCCATTTCTAATGCACTGCTGTCATTTATTTTTTTTTTTAAATTTCTTGTGTAATTTTGAAAGTTGTAATGGTTTTATTCTTTTGTGTGATTTTAATGTTTTAATTGTGTTTTAATCTTTTGTGTGATTTTAATGTTTTAATTGTGATTCTGGTGTTTGTTTTATGTGATGATTTGTGATGTGGACTGTGAAGCGCTTTGTGTTGCCCTGTGTATGAAAGGCGCTCTACAAATAAACTTTGATTGATTGATTGATTGATTAGTTAAGGTTAAAGTCACAAACGTCATGACACTATGCAATAAGATAAGATAAACCTTTATTCGTCTCACAGTGGAGAAATGTCAGTGTCATCGTTGCGCACATTACAGCAGAGAAAGGAAATAATCCTTGCAACTAGTTCCTGACTATAAAACTGTTTGTATTTATCACTTGATTTTACATGCATGTATTTTTGGCCTCATCTTTAGATCAGCTTTTCCAGACAGACAGTTCAAAAGAGAGAGCATCTCTGCAGCCCAGCTCAAATAATGACTCACAGGGCTCTGTCTTACAAGGATATGACAGATGAAATGTTTTCCAATAAGAAACATTTCATAACCAATAAGGCCAAGCCTCTTTCTGTGTTATGAGGTACCCCAGCTGTACCTAAGAGCATTATTCCATGTTGTATTAGATCTTACTGAACGTCTATTTTGTGTTTATTGACAGTTGGGGAGTTGCCTGACAGAGATTACAGTTCTGTGTCAGGACAAACTCAGGAGCAGGAAATGGAGTCACTGAAGCTGGAGATTCAAAAGTGCAAAGACTTTATTCAAACCCAGCAGCAGCTCTTGCAGGTGAGACGGACACTGTTTTTTAATGACAATAACGTTGATAACTCTGATCCTGTTTTTGCAGCAGCAGCTGAGCTCCCCGTGTGGTGAAGAAGTAACATTATTACCAACGAAGATGCAGCAGGAGAAGGAGCGACTTGAAGGAGAGTGGGAAACTTTAGAGGAACAAAGACAGATCTTTGACAGAGAACGAAGCAACTTTACAGAAGCAGCCATTCGACTAAGTCACGAGGTGATGTGTCAAGATTTACTTTCATTTTAACGCTATACTCTTGTATTCATATTATTCTCTTATTTGCAGAGGAAATCTTTTGAGGAGAACCGCGCAATGTGGCTTAAATACCATTTTTTAAATTTGAGTCCATTTCCTGACTCAAATAAACCTGAAATGCAAAGCTCAGAAAGTCCTTTTTCAATATGTAAGTAAACGGGCGAAGGAAAACGGAAACGTTTTGTATTTCAGTCATTTTCAATCATTACATCATTACTGGAGGACAATGAGATAATCATTGACAACATAAATGTCAATGTCATTTATGTATTGACATTTTCAGGTTTGTAATTATTTTTTGCTTCTCTCATTTTAGTTGAGGCAGAAAATAACCCAGGACCCGCTGCAGAAAATGACTTCCACAGTTTGTGCGAAGGTTCCAGAACCAAAGCCGTGTCGGCGTCCTCTGAAGACCGGCGGCAGTGAAAAGAGGCATTATCATTTAGAAGCAGTTTGGTCGAGGATGTTGCTGAATAAAAATAGTCTGATTATGTTTAACTCCCTTGTTTTTCATAAAAAATGTTCTGCACTAAACATGCGATGTGCTGAGTCTCAAGTACTATTTTCACACTTTTGTGAATATGAAACATGTTGAAACTACAAAAAACAGAAGGGGTATGTGGGCTTGTTCACACTGAAGGGTACAAAAGTGTGAGAAAAGGACAAGATTTTAATAATCAGAAAATATATTATGTTTTTCATTTATCCAAATCCCTCTTCTGTCCAGTAGTGGAAGATAGAAGTAGAAGATAACTGTGGTACACTCTTATGAATGATATTTGTGGAAGTTTGTTACATATCTTCTGTTGTCCACGTTTGATTAAATGTTTTTCTTTCACAGAATAGAAACAAAGTGATTTCTTCCATATAGTAAACGAACTAAATGTGATACCAGACGATCATTTTTTTAATCTGAAGTTTAATTTTTAGAAAAAAATACGGAATCCTTTGTATCCGTCTGTTACCATTTCCCAAGATAACAGACGGATACAGATTATTTTTCAAAAGCATTTATTTTTAAATGATGCGTCACTGATGAGCTTTTATTTTCTATGTCACTGGCGTCTCTGTAGCATTATCAGATCAGAGGCTGATCCGGTTGTTTGAAATGTTTCAAAAAATTGATCTATCAATCTTTTCTTTTTATTTTATCCACATTATTTCTTTTATATGTTTGTGTTGAAAATCTTTTTTTTCTAATCTATGATAGTAATTTTAGTTTTTGAGTTATAACCTTGTGTGCAAACAAGATTCAGAAACCACTAAACTTTTACTTTGAACTCATATTTTAGCACCTGTGTTAGTAAATATACCCCTAGTGTATCTGTGGCTCCTGCTCAGGCTTTTGATGGGGCACCCTCATGTGTATTTATTTTTCATCTTTGTTTCCATTTTATTTGTAAAGCATGCAATATCTGCTTATACACTGTAGAGTTGTATGGTACATTTACTCTGTATCTAATGTTGGTGTGTAATAGTGATTATGTGTAAATTGTTGAATTGTACATACGATATGTTTCCAGGTAATCTGATTTATTGCCTATTTGTTGATTGAAATACTTGTATTTATGTTATAACTTTGAAGTCTACCTGGTGATGAGTAAACTAAGCATAGAAATCATGAATTTTGAACAACAAACACTAAAAAAATATGAAGAAAATGTCAAAGAGCCTTGGCTTGTCTTTTGAGATGCCTCCATTTATTTAGTTTACACAGAAACATGATAAAAGGCAAAGATTCTAAGCACAACGAGGCGTGCAAGTGCAGTCAAGATGAGTCTCCACCATCTCGGTTATGTCGATGATGTCCTCGCGAACGTTGGAGTTTTCACCTGCAGAAGGCAAAAACAGAATGAGTGTTATTGTATGGTATGTCCTTATTGGAGCCGGGATTGTGTATATGTCATGAGAACCGACTCAAAGCTAAAGTTGATGAATACTTGGCCATGATATTGGACATATTTAATTTAACACCAGTTTCATTACATATCTCTATGCTTCAAAACAGAGCCTGAAAAACATTGTGTTCCATGGGCTTATAAAGACAATAGAAAAGGTAGATCTATCAAAGGCCCTATACTTTGTAACGCTGCTGCTGTGTATGATGGACACTCACCGTAGGGCCTGCAGCTGAAACCCACTTTGCTCTGGGCGGTCCTTGTGGCAGAGCAGCCTTGTCTACAGCGCAACACGGGTTCAACGGACAAGCATTTGGACCGCACACCGTGGATGTTAATGTCTCTACTCAATTCAACCTTCTCTTGTGCCAAACGGCAACCTGGTTCAGGAAAAGCATTGGTTAAGAGATGCCAAATGTTGTCAAATTTGTTGCAACATCTGAAATACAAATGCTATTTAGCGAAAGGAGTATTTCAACTGTACACATGCTTGAATTACTGTATTTTACAGTCTGTAGTCGTTAGATGGGAGAGAGTCTTAGGGTCATGAAGTTTTGCCTGTCTTGTCTGAGTGCGTGTGAGGGTTTCGTGTTTTATCCCTCTGCTTCATTCAACCCCTTTACAAATGGTGTATTGCTGTTTATGTTTTTTACATGTTTTGATATCTATCCTTGTTTTATTGTACATACACTAGAAAAAAATAATAAAAACATGACTATTATTAATACTAGACCAGTTAGTGCTCTTACCAGACTCATCACTGCAGCTCTGGGAAGGCAGAGTCCAGGAATGGGCAAAGCTGATGGAGTCTTCGGACCTACGACCAGAGGGCATGCGGTGGTCGCTTTTCTGATCTCCATTGGCTTGTCCACAGAGGCCGCAAACTTTGTTCCTCAAATGATCAGGGATGTCAATCTGGATAGACAAAGAATATTATAAAACACATCAAATTTAAACATCTAAACTCCCGTATACGTTAAAGAGCTTTACCTCGATCTGATCTTGGCCGAAGGTGAGCTCAGTGATGCCAAAATCGGGAGCGAGGAAATGCAGTTTACTGCCCACCTGCTTAATCCTTATGTTAGCTGAAATCAAGTTAGAGCTTGTTAGGATACAAAAACAGCTACTAACTTGGATGAGAAAGTTTGAGAGCTCAGACCTTGCTCGTATGGCAGGCTCTGGATTTTTACACCATTGAGGGTAACAGCTGGAACACCTTCTTTAATGGACATGACATAATCCCTATAATGTACATGATATTAGTTTAGTTTATCTCCATCAGAAGTCTGTGAACCACATTTTTAAAGTCTTACTTTGAGTCAATCATCACACTGATCGTGATGCCGTTATCCTTCTTCATAAGAACAACAAACTTGAGATCATCTGTGCACTCCTGGGCCAGCAGCTGGTAGCAGGTTAAGATGTGGGGACTGTATGATTTGCCGTTGAAAGACTGAATCCGGCCACTTTCAACTTTGCACTGAGCTAAAAAACAAGACATGTTGTTGTTTTTTCAGTAATAAACAATAAAGTACTTCTCTATAATACAAATTGTTCTATGTTAAGAATTACCTCCAGTGGACTTTGCCAGGAGATAGTGAATATTATCTTTCACATTTTCATATGGCGCCATTTCTCTGATGTTTTCGAGTGGCAGAGACATGGGAAGAGTCACAGTGTGGCTGTACACAGACTGAATGAACAACAATGTGTGTTATGAAATATGTGAGGAAGGAAGTTAATGGACTGTGCTTCTAAATAATATCCTTACTTTCACTGATTTTAGAATGATGTTGAGCTGTTTCTTAGACTCAGCAACCACAGTGAAAGAGATCTGCTTTGTGTTTTCTGATCTCCTTTGCTTTTTGAAGCTGGACAGGTAGGAAGAAACTCTGCAGCTGTAGATCTTGAAAATCCTAAAAAAAAACACAATCAAAGACATTTGGAAGGATTATTATATGGCATATTTCTGTTTAAAAGTATGTGTACAAAAACATACCGTTGGACGTTTCTGACAACAGCAGTGGGCAGTCTCTTCCAAGCCAATCTCACACGTGCTGCCATCTTCTGCTCAACCAGGCCAGACTCAGCTGTGATCAGGGCATCATATATCTTGCTTGGTTCTCCCCAAGAAATCTTAGCCTGTTGAGATGAGTAGAGTTTAGGATGCACCACTCCATCCAATTTAGGCGCCATTTTGAATTAAAAAACGTTCTTACAGAAACTTTGTTCTGGCTCAGTGCTGCGGCATCAGCGGACAGCCTCCAGTTGCTATGACGATCCAGGGTGGTGATGACCATCTGTACTCGGCTCTCACTCTGGTCCTCATAGGCTGCAATTTGATAGCCCATTGGACTCTTGTTCTTGTTATTTGTAGTGGCGCGGAGGATCAACACAAAAGAAGTGTGACCGAAATCGCCAAGGAACTTTTTCTGGAAACAAGAAACAACAGGCATTAAATTGAGACCAAATGATAATGAACATTTTTGTGAGACCATACCTTGTTTCTAATGTCCTCGATGGTTGCTCCAAATGAGGCAGATCCTGAGTGTGTCTTAGGTGTCTAGTGGTAGAGATTCAATTACAAACTTGAAGTAATCTCTGTAGATTTGTGGAATTGTTATAAATTTACATACCCTCTTGTGATGGTTTGGTTGAAATTTGATCTGAGAGCTGTGGCGCTGATGATAGAAAATAGCACATGTACAATAAAAACTGCCTTTCATCAATCTACACAGTCTATATATATATATAATACACATAATAACACATATTTACATAATTATAGAAAATGTACCTGAGATCCTTGAGAACCTGAGCTGGAGCTGTAGCTGAACATGGAGGCCAAGCTGGATACAGTGGACTTGTTTTTCTGGTTATGGCCTTTGCTGCTGCTGCTGCTGCTGCTGCTGCTGCTGCTACTGCTGCTGCTACGGTGCTTTGTTCCCATGATTTTGCCCACAGCGTTGATAATCTTTCTGCCCATCCCAGAGTGAGATGAAGAGGAGGAAGAGCGACGTCTGCTGTGACTCACTGAGCTGGAGCTGCTGGAGGAGCTAGATGTCCTGTTGCTTTTCAGACCAGGAGTCAGGATTCTCTTGAGCTTAGAGAGAATAGGCGTGCCCTCTGGGATCTCCTCCATGTTCAAGTTAATGGGCTTCTGGAGTTTCCCATCACCCTTGGCTCCAATTTGGAGTTCCACTTCGTACTTCTCAACCACTTCTGTTTCAGCTAAAACATGACGAAACAATTGATTATACCGTTGTATCAAAATGTGATTAAATGTTAAGAAAAACGTCTCTTCATACAAATATGTGACTGGTCATTGGAAAAGAGGGACCAAGTCTACCCAGTGACAGTGATTCAGATTCTGAAAGTTTAGATCCTATGCTTTCCAAAAATGTATGTATATGCAAAAAACTGCCACAAAAGTGATCTCAGGTGGAGGGAACACAATGCCGCTTCACATTAGACTAACAAATAATGTTATCTGAGGCAAAGAATTGGTAAGTCATGACGTCATCGAACACATTCTGCAAAGAAGTAAAATAATAAAATGTGTACACAAAAAGCCTGCTTGGTGGATTTAGTAAAATTCAACATGTGGCCCTTTTTTCCTGCGGCTTGTCACATTTAGGATTATACTAACTTTCCATCTCTTTTTATGCACTCATGCATTTGCAACATTGCAATAGCAACACTGGTGTGCTTTTGTCTTACATTGTTGAAGAGAAAGACGAACAAGGTGGTTCCCAGCCAGTTTGTACAGAGCAGAGTTCTGAAGGAACTTGGCGTTGTGAGAAGCGATTCTCAGGCAGGATTTTACTCCAGCGGAACTGATGCAGTATTTCTTGTCATTTCTGCGTTTTCTGGAGTTGGAAGCTGTTCTGTCCTGAACTGGTCTGTTATCCCGCACATCCTGAGACTGAAACAAGAGGCCACAAAAATTCAAACCGATGTGTACATATTGAACCAGTGTTTCACCAGCAGGTTTGCATCTAGTTTTAAGCTTGTCATGTTACAGATCACAATGTAATCTGCTATATTTATTGCATTATATATGTACGTGATTATTTCCATGGGCTATACTAAATGTAAACGGATTGTGAAAGCATAAAGACATACATCGGAGGAGCTGGCAGAAGAACTTCTTGAGCTGTGAGAAGAAATCTCTTCAGGGATCAGAGGAGTCGTCTTTTTGGCACGTCTTGCAATGGCCACAGTTTCAATACTACAGACAAGCACATGAAAGTCTTACACATGGATGCATTTACAGTTGTGTACATTCAGAGTGAGCAGACTCACTCAACAGCGGCTACAACATTTTCAGGAAGGGCTATTGGAAGAGCCTTGATCTTGAAGTTTTTGTCCACAAAGTCCAGAGTTGCATGGATTTCGCTGGGCATATGGATCTTGGCCTTGGCTCTTGAGACCATGGCAACCTGAGCAATGTCAGAATTTATTCCCATCACAGCAAATGTGTTGAGGGCGATGCTAAAAACAAGGAAATACAAAATAGTAATATTAGGTTTTCAGACTTCTGCACTAAGACACAGACCAAATAAAACTTTCTTCAGCTCTTACCTGGGCTTGATCTGAGTCTGAATCTCAGAATTCTTTTGACTCAGAATGTTTTCAAGTTGGAAGTTCTTGTCCAAGCTAGTTGTGAATTTAGCTGCAGGAGAAGAAAGTTAAACAACTTAAATTAAACAATATTTTTACTTTGGTTTTCTGACTCTGCTTCCAAACCTTACCCTGAACATCTGCTACCGTGACAGCAACAGTGTAGAGGGCGAGCTCCATGGGCAGACCGGCGGCTGTGGGCATGATGCGTCTGATCTCAGCGGGCATCATTGCCTTGGCCCAGTGTGCGGAGACACCGTTATGGACCAGGTTCCGGAGGGTTTGCATGCTGGTCATGCCCAACTCAGAGGACATCTGCAACGACCACAGATCTTGTAAATTTGCAGTGCGCATTGAATAGCCCCAAAAACAATCAGAAGAGTATCTTACCTGAATTGCTTGTTCAATAACCTGTTTGTCGATGTCAACAAAAGCAACAGTCTGTCCCAAAACCTTGACGTAAACGGAACCCAGCATTTGACTGGTGGGCATAGCCTTCCAGTTGTGGAGCTGATAACAAAAGGAAAGATTTGTTCACTTGTTGGCACTTTTTTCTTATTTGAACAATATACTTACCGCCTTCAGGATGCGCTTCATCTTGGCACTTTGTTCAGAAGAATCAGAAACCTCTTTTTTCAAAAAGTGTTCCTGGAATCCCTCAGATCTGACTCCAATCTGAAAAGAAATAGTATTTTTTATAACAAACATTTACCACAAACACAAACGTAAGAATGCATTCAGATTTTACCTCAATGAGATCAGCAGCTGCTCCAGCAAAGAAGGCAGTAGTCTTTGCTATAACTGTCTTGGGGAGGATGGTAGCAGCATCGTTGATGGTATAAATGCTTGCAGCCGCACCAAGTGTCAAAGGATCTAATAAGAATATATTTCAAGGAAATTAGCTCAAACAATTTATGAAAAAATATTAAGACAAACAGGTCGTACGGCTATAGTAGTCCAGGAGGAAAGCCTTGCTGAGCTTCATGTTCTGTTTCCTTTGGCCCATGAATCTGAGACCAACATTGGCCACAGCAGCCCTGTAAAAAGCATTTCTGTAATTAGTTTGATGTTTTTATAACATACTTTGTTGAGGGATGATATATCTTACATTGAGTGGTCCATGCTTTTAGACAGAGACTTGATAAGAGAATACGTGAAGCTGGACACTGCCTCGCTTGGATCAGACTTGACAAGTTTGGCAACACGAGTCACAGTGGCTACGGAAGGTTTGGTCTCAAAGAGTGTAATGACAGCAAGTGTACGCAGCTCAGGCTCCAGGGTTGTGTCCATGTACAGTTGCATAGCATGGATTTGGACCTTAGTGACAAATTACTTTAGTTAAGAGCACATTTCTACAGAAATAACTAAATGGAGCATAGTTATGATGAAATACCTCTTTAAGGTTCAGCTTGGCAAGGCTTCTCAGTGCCAAGATGGCTTCAATGTGAACTCTCTTGGACAGTGTACGTCCTTTGGTGCCATGAATTGGAAGGAGCTTTGTGATAGATTTGATGATCCAAGGGTGAGCAGCATTAGCCAAAACCTTTGCCGACAGAACCAGTTCATCTGTGTTTTCCGTAGCTAAGGCTTGTTCCAAGTGTTTCTGGATTGGCTATGGATATGGCATGACATCATAAATAAGACTGTATAATCAACATTGAACGAAATAACAAACAAACAAAGTAGTGAAATACCTGAATAAGATCCTCCTTGCATTCAGCCCTCTCACAGTGTCTGTGGAAGAGACCTCCATAGCCGAGAAGCAGAGACTTCCGCACAACTCCTGCTGCATCTTTTTGTGTTTCAATGTAACTCTAACAAACGTATAACTTGCATTAGGAATGACTTTCTCTTAAGAAGAAGAAATGTATTACAGACTAGGCTCTGCTGTCACTTACCTTAACCTTTTCCACGTTTTCCCTGCTTGGCTCTAGCATGTGCAGAACACCAACCAAAATCTGGAGGGCTTCCATGGCTTCACTAACATGATGCTTGGGTTTTTTAATCTCCTCCATGGCAAGTTCCAAAGCCGCCTCTGTTCCGATGTAGGGAATGGCATCCACAAACCACTTCCTCGCTGGTCCTTGGGTATTCAACAGGGTGCGCAGTTTACTTAATTCAGCTCGACGCAGGAGCTGGATAAGTTCCAAAAACTTGAGAGGAGCATCTTCGTGTACGTTGTGTCTGTTATCGGCAACCAGGTGATTCAGGATTCCTTCAATCTAAACTCACAAGACCAACAATTGAAAGATCTCTGCTGTTAATACTCCGCTTTTTATTCAGAAAACTGATATAACTGTACCTGTTCCTGCGTGTCTGACATCTTAAGGATGCGGATTGGACTCTGCATAAGTTCAGTGGAGAACTCATACTTCAGGGAACCACGATTACGGTACTCTGAATTGGCAGGGACAATACGAGCCTGTTTGGTCTCAATGTATTTCAGATGTTGTCTGAAAATAACATTATCAATGGTTACTTTATCTGGTCAAACCTTGTTTTTTCTAAACTCACTATGTTTATATTAATTCAGATATTGTCATACTTGGTTTCCAGGGTGGCAGCACCGTTCAGCTCATTGAAAGGCGAGAACTGAATGTTTTCTCTCACAGACACCTCCTCGATGATGTGACCATTTGGCCCCTGCTTCAATTTGTATTCATATCCAGAGATATCCCTCAGGTTTGTAGAATCCTACAAATAGTTGTTCTCAGTTGCTTCGAAGGCATATGGTACAGTTAAGGTCAAATGGTGTGAACTTACCTTCTGGCAATGATGGCAAGTCCTAGTGTATGCCAACCCGATGTCACGTCTGACCCTTTCCTGGCATTGGTTCAGATCTCTGCTCTTGACCACATGGATGCTGCCAGGCTCTCTCTCAATGATGGCATAATGGGTCTTGCACACACCCTGGGCTCCCTCCTGAAATGGTATCAGCATGAAATCAGATTGATAGTCTTAGAAAGTCAGTAATTTGTTAGATTTAGCTCATCTGCTCATTTTCTGGAGTTTTAACAGACCTCCTGCAGTTCATAGTCGTTCTGTCTTTGCTTGATGGTCAGCTGGAAGATGTTGAGGATTCCCCTGTGGATGTTGAGCACCATTGTGGGCACACTTTCGGGGGCTAGGAGCTCTCTCACAATCCCATCCTGATACTTGAACTTGATGGGTGTTCTGAGGTGAGCTGCCAGATCTGCACGGAGCTGAGTTTGGCTGAAGGTGTCTTTCTGCCACACACCACTGTGCTCAAACACCTGAGGGTTCTCAAGCTACAAATGGACAGATGGGTATAAGTTGAAGTGATTTCTAAACATACAACAGCAACTACACTGTCCCAGCTAGTGTTTTCCTACACATTGTTTTTGTTTCAGTCTCAGAACAATCACAATCTATTTTATTGCAGAAACAGTGGTACTTTGCAAATGCATTTAGTTAGAATACTGAAAACCATGGTTAAAATGGATTTTGAGACATGGTCCAATCTGTATTGTACTGAACTGTATTCTCAATACTTTCACATGGATTGGTGTATTTACCAGTTCCATGAATACCAACAAAATAACTATGTTCTAAATACACTATACACAAGTATTATTATTGTACAATCATGTAATCTGGCAGTAAAGGTGTTTTTCTGCCTGTCCTTCCCGCCATGTATCCACAATATGTATTTTCTACAGACTCATTACTTTACTGTACTCATTACTGTGTTGCTCCTGAACAGTGTTGTTGTTTTACCTGAAGCAGGAGGACAGCACCGTGTTCGGTCTGCTGGTCAACACTGATCTTGACTCGGCTTTGCAGCTTCAGACCAGCACTGGCCAGGTCCTGCTCTAACAGACCGCCCATGATCCTGGCCTGGTAATCGTACTCATAGGTGTTTCCAGGAGCAAATGTCGGAGCTGATGGACATTTACTCAAATTAGAAACAATAGAATTGTACTTACATTTTCACGTTGTTGTTTATGAATATGACTTACCCAAGTTGGGGTGTTGGCCAGCTAAGTGGAAACAATATAACAGATAATGTTTAGTAAATTGGGAAAATGAGCATTTAAAGTTAATGAGTTTTCAAACAAATTATATTTGTGTTCTTTATATTACTGCAATGCAGTATTATAAAGAACACATGACGTAAATAGAATACAAAGTTCCAGTGTGACTTACCCACAAGGGCTAGAGCCAGGGCTAGTACAACGACTCTCATGGCTGAGCGGGTTGTGAGGATGGGCAGTCATCCCGGCCACTATTTAAAGGCAAAATGTGCTGACAGGGCTTATCAAAAATGTCAAAACGACCCCAAATGCGGTACCAATCACACATGCAGGGATCAATAGCATGGTCATTCAGATAAACTATTGGCATCTGTATAAAAGAAGGATAGGGTCACCTGACATTGCTGTCCTGAGATTGTACCATTCATCTTTTTTTTTTATTTAGCACTGAATTACCCTTATTATCTATTCTTTATTTTATTTTTTATTTTATTAGTTTATTTGACAGGGACATTACACATTGATGAACATTTCTGTAAATGTGTCAGCATTTGCTGCAAAGCTAGTTTTCAGCTGCTGTGTCCCTGGGCAAGGTGTATAATGCCAACAACAATTATAAAACAAAACAGTTTAAAAATTGAGGCTACATACTTACATAACAAATGTTGATATAATTCATACAGTGATAAAATCAGAAGGTTCGTTCTGTAACTTGCACAATAGAAAGGGGATTTTTGTGAGAGGGCAGGTCGTACAGTAGTAGATAGTATTGACGGCGGTAGAGAGCAAGTGGTGAAAAGGTGGTACTGCACCCTGAAAACTCCCCAGAAAGGGGACGGCGCTCTTGAGCAAGTGGTGAAAGGTGTTACTGCACGGTATTTTTCAAAGAGTTTTAATGAGTTAGCTTCAGTTGACCCTGTGTGTGTGTGTGATAAAGTAAATGCTTTCACAGTTGTCTAAAGTGATTTATGATCACGGTTTATTCTAAAACAGCTAAGTTGCAGGTCCTCCCTGTTAACGACACTTAGGTGTATGTGTGTGATAG